AAACTGTCACTGTCATCCTCCATAGGCTATGGATGGACCATAGCAACCTTAGTTCTTCATACAGGAAAAATATTGGAAATTGCAATGTTTTTTAAAAAAAATCATATTTTCCACAAAAATAAATATATCAAGGTGAATCAAAAACAAAACTGTTAAAAATAGATGTGACTTGATAATTAAAACTTAATTTAGAACAATATACGGTTTTGCCACTCTACAGAGTGTCTTAAACTTATGGTAAAAAACATCTTTTTGTTTAACCTGTATATTATAAACGTACGTGCATTTTTTAGTAATTTTTAAAATGTGAGCGATTCTCCATTAATGTATCTACAATATTCTTTAATATTTGTTTAAATCCGAAATCAAATAAAAAAGTTATTTGCGATTGAAATTCATCGAAAATTTGTGTGGATCGATTATTTTGCCTGTGAGTGTATTCTCACAGAAAAAAACAATGGTTCATTTTTTTCCTAATAAATAATAATTCCATATTATAAACGCGATTTGAAAATAAAAAGAATACAAAAATAAAATACCTACTTATTAAAAAAAAATGTTTTTTTTCTATTTCGAAATACCTTGTATATCATTTAATAAAAACCTTTAAAATTCAAAAAAAGATTTTTTGCATTTTTTTACAATTTCATGTTTAATTTTTTTTTTTAATTTTACTTTGCAACTCACCTAACACGAGAAACACCACGGAAAGAAACGCAAACAACATCATCATTTCCACGGAAAAATTTTTCTCGCTCAAACCTTCCATAGTTTTTTGCGTAAGCAACCCATCCATACCCTTTGCCCCCTTGGCTTTCAAAAGCTCCACTATTTTAGCCCTAGACTCATCATTTAAACCGTCCACGCCGCCCAGCTGATTAATTATATACTCCAAATTGGGCTCCTCCGCGTTCCCCAACGGCACGTCTTTTGTTTCATCGACCGCATCGTGTACACCTTGCAAAAGGTCCATGGTGACCGGATCGAACACGCGATTGCTTCGTTTAACAATATGTTAAACTGGACTCGGTTCACCACGTTTAAGTTTTATTTGCATTCAAAGTGTGTCGTGTATACGGCCAAATCATCAAAATGCATAGTTCCGCGATATGTTATCGTAAACAAAGTTTGTTTAGAATCTTGTAATTATTGTTATCGTTTTGCAATTTTTGTTTAAAAAATAAATGTTATATAATAAAAATTGGCCAAGGCCGCAAAGAATCCATAAATAAGTTGCATTTTTATTATAAGGAAAATAATTAAATACCTAGCATAAGTACATTATAAAAGGTATCCCGAAAAGACCAAAACAAATCCATAATACCCCAATAAGAATTTTAATATACTTATGTACGAGGTGTGTTCAGAAAATAACGGGAATTGTTAAATTTCGCGGGTTCGGAGGGTCCGGTTGTCATAAAATTTTCTTTATTAAGTTGGTATACATGCCCCCGAAGTATGATAAAAACTTTTGCTGTTTTCATTGTTTACTTTGGCTGTGGCAGCCGCTAAGGTTAGACGTGTTTTATGAGCTCGGAGATTTTTCGTTCGTTAAAAGAAATGGATCAAAGAATTTGTACCCAATTTTGCTTAAAAAATTAAATAAATTCTGTGATATGTTAACAAAGGCCTATAGTGAGTCTGCTATAAGTAAAACAAGAGTTTACAAGTGGTATAAGCGTTTCCAAGATGGCCGTGAAGACGTTGAAGATGACGAACGCCCCGAACGCACAAGCACATTAACAACCGATAAAAACGTGGAAAAAGTGGAAGAAATGGTTATAGACCATCAGAGAAGTCGCTGATGATGTTGGTATATCGATTGGCTCATCCCATGAAATTTGTTCCAAAATTGTTAAATTTTGAACAACATTTTTGGCCAAACACAATACTGTAATGATGCCCCAGCCTCCATATTCGCCAGACATGCCTCTGCCTGACTTTTTCCTATTCCCAAAAACAAAGAGAACCTTAAAGGGCCGTCGTTTTGCAAGCATAGATGACATTAAAGGCGCATAGCTGAAAGAACTAAAGGCTATCCCAAAGATCGAGTTTTAGAATTGTTTCGAGTATTGGAAGAAGAGCTGGCACATGTGCATAATATCCAATGGGGACTATTTTGAAGGCGACAACATTAATGTAGACGTATAAATATTTGTTTCAAAAAACGAAAATTCCCGATATTTTATGAACACACCTTAATTAAAGAACTAATGTCACAAGACGTAGGTAATTTTTCGCACGAGAACAATTTACAAAAGAAGTGCGAGAAAATGTCATGACATGAGTTCATTATGCTATTTTCCTATTGGTTCAAATTTGAAGAAAAATTCGAATTAAAAATTATATTTGCGTATCATACTGTGCTTATTATAATAAGCATAATATAATATACCTATTACCTTTATGGTATCCAAATTGAAAATAATATATTAAAGAACTAATGTCATAAAATGTCATCTTTTGAGAGAAAATGTCTTATGACACAAAGAACATATTATGACATGAGTTCTTTATACTATTTTGATTATATGGCAAAATTTTGAGAATAATTCAAATTTTAAATTAGACTTGCATATCATACTGTTGCCATGGAGACAGTAAGAAACGCAAATGCATATCATAGTGTGATTATTATGGTACCTATGCAAATAGAAAAATTTCCATAGCAAAATATAGCACCAATAAAGTATAACCCAAGGTAGCACGTGACGAAACCGTGACGATTTGTGTCCAATTGGACACAATGGACACAAATCCTCACGGTTTTATCACGTTGTGCTACCTAAAATACCTAAATGAATGAATTTAATTTAATACATTATGTTGACTTTCAAAGAAAATAAATACTTGGGTATCTAATAACGGTTTAAGCGTAATTAATTTTACACAAAGTTATAAGTTCGTTACAAATAGAATTTAAAATTAAATAAAATAAAATAAAATAATAATAATAATAATAATAATGCAAATTATCCAGTAAACCACCCAAATTATATGGGCCATATATAGTCAGTCCTACCTGATAAAGAGATAAAAGCGATCCCAGGCAAAATAAATATTGAATTTGAAAATTCGTGTTCAATGGGCCCATCCTGTCCACCACTCAAATCTACCATTATATTAAAAACCACTGTTAAACCTCTTTTAATTTATTTTTTCTGATTACAATCCGTACAACAAACTGTTTACAAACACATAAAGGACGCCCGAAAAGTATTTGACACTTCTAACAAACGCAAAATCCCCAAAGTCACCAACAGTTTTTAATGTGTTATGTTGGTAGATGTTCTCCACAAAACTAGAAGAACTTCTAGTTTTGTGATGTTCTCTGGCAGGTCAAAAACAGTTTTGCCAACAGTACTATAATTATATTATATATATGTACTAAAATAATTATTAATATGAGCCTTTATTTACAAATTAATTTTATGCAAAATGGCAGCGCCATATATCAGTTTTGTCATACTTGGATAGATGGCAACGCTAATAACATTTTGTAGGTGGGCAACCCAGTCAAACACACGTTCAAATCGATTGCCTACCTACAAAATATTGTTAGCAGCGCCATCTATCCAAGTATAGCTGAACCAAAGTTGCAAAATTTTTGGTGTTATTAGTTCAGTTTTTTCGAATACATGCGCTGCTTACTTACTTACTAATTTTAATAGTTATTTATGTCATTAGGTTAAGAAGTAAGGCTTTTTGTGCTAAGCTCAAAGTTTGAAGGCCGACGCGTAGCGGAGGCCTACAATTGAGCGAAGCACAAAAAGACACTTCTTGGCCGAATGGCATACAACATTTTATCTTCAAAGCACTTTATATAGGTCAATTTAATTTAACATGAAAGCGGCCTAACCTCACTTTTTTAGAACCTCATTTATTTATTAGCTAAAGATTACATTAAATGTACAATAATTATTTTTCCTTTTAGAAGCAGTAATAGTTTGACAATACCTAGCTACATGATTTAAGTAGAAATGGATTTTTGTAAGAAAATGGTTTACTTACCCTCTTGCTATTACATTGAATTCAATTAATTGTTTAATAAATAGGTATCTAATTTCAATTTGTTTGCATTTTTATTAAAAAAATAGGTAGTTTGGAATGTTTACGCTGTATTTAACATTTAATTTCACTGAAAACTTAAAGCAAATTAAAATTTGAAGATAATTTAAATCGTAGAAAAAGAAAACAACTGTGAAATTCACAGAAACGTCAAATTGCAATGTCCTAACCACACTTTTTGTTTTATTATTCATATTTAATTTTACAATAATTTAATGAAAAATATTAAACATTATAATGTTATAACAGTAAAACAAACAAATTAGTGCTTATTTTAAATAAATTAAACCAGTTTAGTACGTTAATTTCTTAGAAAAGGATTAATTTGTCAAAACAATACCCCTAGCGAGAAAAAATCGAACTAATTACTTGCCTCATAAAAATTTTTATCGGCCTAGGCCATAACAAGGTATTTCTTTATCGAATGTTGACAACAATAAAGTTTAAATTATAGACCGCGTGGAGATAAAATAATTTAAAAACAACCAATATTACATTAAAAAAGTATTTCCGCCTCTTGTTTAGCGCGTTTTTAATAAAAAAAACTTTTTCTTCCTGTCGTTTACGCGTGTTTTTGTTGTTTGGTTTTGCGTCTAAAAACGTATCGAAAACATCGAATTCGTCCGGTTGGTAACGCTGGTCTTAAAAGTCCGATATTTGAATTTGAAGTTTGATATGTATTAATTTACTAAAATGGAAGGAAATGGCAAAAATAATAAAGTACAAGGTAATGTTTCCAAGAAAATGGGTAGTTTATTCACTAAAGGTGTTTAAAAATGCTTTTTTATTACAGATGAAGTTAATATGTATTTGCAAGATCAAATTTTGGTAAGCCCTATTATTTTTTTATTAGGTATAACATTAATGTATTATTTATAATATTAAAATACTCCTATATATTATTTGTAAAGCAATTACATCACGAGAACGCAATGTTACGTAAAGATAACGAGGCACAGGAATTGTTATTAAAAGAAAATGAGAGAAAAATGAAAGATGCAAAGGTGAAATCATTTGATTTAAAAAATAGTAACAATAATAAAAATGAATTTATAACTGCTACACAATTGGCAAGCAGTAAAATTGTTGAATTAACTAAAAAATTACGTGAAAAGAATTGTGAGGTGGAAAGTTTAAAAACTAAATGTGCAAAATTAGAGGCTGCTATTTCAGAAAGCGATGTTTTAAAGGAAAAAGGTAATTTTTTTTTGTGTAATAAAAAATAAAAATTATAATGTGTAAGTAGTGGTGGAACAAGAAGAAAAACCAAAACATGAATTAGAAGAACAAATCAAAAAATTACAAGACAAGTTAAACATAGCAAGTGGTAAATTCATGGAAATAAAAAATGCAAATTTCCAGCTTAAAAATGATTTAAAAACTGTTAGAAGGGTTCTGCAACAAGAAGTAGGGGATAATTTTGAAAGTTTATTAATAAATCAAAATGCTTCTTGGAGGGGTAGGGCGCAAATTATTTGTGATTTAACGCAGAAAAATGTAGAGTTTAAGGAAAAATTGAAAAAACTACAAGAAAAATGTAATATCATATTTTAATTAGTTATTTTGTCTTATTTTGTATGTTTAGATGGTAGTAATAATTCTAGTCCTCATGAAGTATCAAAATTAGAGCAAAAAATTGGGTTGTTACAAAGAGAAAATATCGAGTTAAAACATTCAAACGACGATTTAAGTAAAAGATGTAATGTATTGAAAACCAAACTTAAAATGGTGGAAAATGAGTATGGGCTTATAAAAACAAGATATTACAGTCTGAATGAACAATCTGAAAGAGACCAAGAGTTTATTGACAATTTAAGTGTGCGATTTTTTATTTTACCAGTTAAAATTTTGCTTAAATATTTTTTTAGTCTCAATTAGCACATACTAAAGATTTGCAAAGTGATGGTTTTAAATCCAGAGATAAAAAAATTAAAAAGTTAAAATTGGAAAATGATGCTTTATTGAGCAATGTAGAAAAATTTAAATGCCAATATGATAATGCTACAAAATTACTAGATGAAAAATGTAGAGAAATTGAGGAAATAAAGAAACAAAAAGGACAAAATTTGGAACTAAAGGTTGAATACTAAAAAATTATAACTAGAAAAACTAATTTTCTTAAATAGGTTGTTGATGAAAAAACTGTAAGTCGTTTGGAGGCTGAAAGAATGCGACTTTTAGAATTAATAGAAATGGAAAAGAAGCGTTTTCAAAGTGAAAGAGATAGTCATGGTGAAACTCAAAATCAGCTTCGATTTGAGAAACAAAGAGCAGCTAAACTCGAAGCTTCATTAGCTAGAATGGAGTTGGACCAAAATGTTTCCAAGTAAATAAAATAGTTGAATTTCTTGGAAAAATTTAAAATATTTTTTAGGACTGGTAGTTATGCTAGTTCTACATCAATCATAAGAGCACAAGATAACATATCAAAATTAAAAGATGAGCTTGAGTTGACCCAAGAGCAAATAAAAGCGTTGAAAAATCGTTTGGAAATTGAGAAAAGGGAGAAAAATTCCGATTTTAAAGAGTTTTCGAAAATACTACAAGAGTTTTGTAAAAATACTTAAAAAATACTTACTTTTATTAACTGAAAAAAAAGTTGAATAAAACCAAATATATTTTATAATACATTTTATTTAACATGTATAATAACTATGAACTTAGAAAATTAAAGCATATTCAACTATACTAATTTTAGATATTAATAGATGCCAAAAAGAAGTCCAATTTGTTAATAAAAAATTAAGTGATGTAAATTATTTTGTAAAAGCATCAGAATTTTTTATATAAACTGGTCCACTTTTTATTTTGATTATGTAAAAGTTACAAACATTATTTTGGTAATAGATAACAACCTTAAAGTATCAACTATCTATAAAAATTGTGTATAATATTGCTCTATCAGGATATTAGCCATATTCCATGTTTATAACTTAACTAAATTCTAGTATAAATGGCATCAAATTATTTAAAAATTTGGCGCCATAACAAGTTAAATATAAAATCAATTTTATACATTATATACATATATTCATAAAGTATGTAATAAAATTGACTGTTAATGATTAAAACATCTAAAAAGGCACTAATTTAAATTGTCTTAAATTTTAAGTCTTTTATCTTACAAATGCAATAAAGGAATGAATTTAATTTCAAATAAATGCATATTTAAAAATTTAAAACTACAAAAGATAATTTGTTATGCTTAAATTAAAATATTTTAAGGTTCTTTTTTACATGGCAAGTCAAAATAAGGCAAAAATTGGGTTTTTAAATTTTTGTTTTTGTGACTGCATAATTGGTTAAATTATTAACTAAAAAGTAGGTTTTGTAATTAATCACTATTTTTGGCACTATTTCAACTTTAAAAGAAGTTTGAATAAGTGAAAGTAATTATAAAAAGGTATACTTTTAAAAGATATTTTAGTCTAATAAGTATGTTTTTAACGATTTTACTATGTTTTTGTAAGATAAACCTTGCACCATAAAAACCATACTCAAAAAATAGACTAAAATATCCTTGTGAAATGTAATTAAAATTTTTAAAAGTCGAATCAACAACAATATTTTTTTAATTACCAATATCTAGAATTTTACTTGCACAGGATTAAAACGAAAGCTAATTTTAGTTCTGTGGTAATAACTTTGAGATATGGGATCAATTTTTATGAAAAATCATGCAAAAATATAATTTAATAGTTATATAAAAACAATTATTACTATTATAGTTATAATAACAGTAAGGTACTACCATTCCAGGCCAATTTATTACTCGCTCAAAAATTTTCTTTAATGTTGTGAATTTGTAAAGTAGTTGATATCTTCATACAAAAATGCATTGTTGAACAATAAAACACATTTTTAAGATAAAATTTAAATTTAAAACATAATAAGATTATGTTATAAAATTAATATTTTTCACAAACACGACCTTTTGGGCTTTAAACTTAATTTTTTCAATAAAAGTATGATTACAACCCGGTTAGATCTATTTTTTAGGTACATTTTTTATTATCACTTGTTTAATTTTAATTTTATTGTAACAATTTAATTTATTAACCTAAAAAGCGTTTTTTTGCGCGATTATATTTATAAAATCACTGCAGTTTGTTAGGACGATAAATCAATTTTTTAAGACAAACTTGAAATTAAAAAAAATGATATTAAATAAATTTCTATTCATAAAATCACTACAGTTTGTTAGGACGATAAATCAAATTTTTAAGACAAACTTGAAATTAAAAAAATGATATTAAATAAATTTTGTGATGAAATTAACATTTTTCACAAAAACGACTTTTTGAGATTTGAAACTCTATTTGCAATAAAAAGTTTGATTACAACATTTTTGGTTACATATCAAACGTTTATTGCAAAATGAGTTTTAAAGTTTTGGGCTTTAAAACTTTAATTTTATAATTAAGGTAATTTTTTTACCGTCACTTTTTTAATTTTAATTTTACCGTAACAATGTGTTTTATCACCATAAAAAGCGTTTTTTGCGCGATTCTATTCATAAAATCATTGTTTTTAAGGAAGATATACCACATTTTTAAGACAAAACTGAAATTAAAAACTGATTAAATAAATTTATTATTATGTTATGAAATCAGAGCTGGGAAAGTTACTTCTGAAAAGTATCTAGTTACTTTTCTAAGATACTTTAGACAAAATAACTTAGTTACCTCTGGTAAGTAGATACTTTGAGTTAAAAGTATCTTTAGTTACAAGATACTTTAAAAAGTATCTAAGATACTTTTGAGTAACTAAGTTACTTTTAATTTTGAACAAAACTATAAAATTATAAAAATTCAACAAGTTGTAGGTTAGGTAATTACTTTGAATCAGTCTGGAATTCCCCCAATTTTCTTTAAAAAAGTATATAAGTTACACTGAAAAGTATCTAATTTATTTTAAAAACTATTTTAGTTACTTTAAAAACTATCTTAGTTACTTTAAAGTATCTAAGTTACTTGAATGTATCTTAGTTACTTTACCGAGTAACTTGGATACTTTTTAAGATACAAGTTACAAGATACTTTTCCAAAGTAACTAAGTTATAGATACTTTCTGTCCAATATAAAAAGTATCTAAGATAAAGTATCTTAGATACTTTAAGTATCTAAGTTACTTTTAAGTATCTTTTATTTCAAGATAATCCCAGCTCTGTATGAAATAAACATTTTTCCCACAATCGACTTTTTGGGCTTTGTAACTTATGTTTGCAATAAAAGTTTGATTACAACATTTTTGGATACATATCTAACCAGGGTGTAATCAAACGTTTATTGCAAAATGAGTTTTAAAGCCCAAAAGTCGTTTTTGTGAAAAATATTAATTTTAAATTTTAGGTAACTTTTTTAATTTTAATTTTACCCTAACAATGTGTTTTATTGTCCTAAAAAGCGTTTTTAATTGAAATTAAAAAACTGATATTAAATAAATTTTATCTTATGTAATGAAATAAACATTTTTCACAAAAACGACTTTTTGGGCTTTAAAACTCATGTTTGCAATTAAAGTTTGATTACATCATTTCTTGATATATCTGATATGAGTTTTAAAGCTCAAAAGTTTTTTTTGTGAAAAATATTAATTTTATCGCAACAATGTTTTATTGTCTTTAAAAGCGTTTTTAACGTAGTTTAAAAGGTAAATTCTCATATAACTTGTTTCGATGCTGTATCCACTTATTTTTGTAAAAAACTAATTCTCGCTCAAGGTTTTTTTTAGTGTAATGAGCATGTAGCATTTTAAGGTAATGGGAACTTAAATTATGACAACCCTAATCTATTAATTTTTTCCTAAAATGCAGGCTTTATGTTGCAAATGTCACGTAAGTTACCGATCACCAACTGCAATATCCTAACATTGATGAATATTTTAACAAAGTGGCTGTTGAAACAACTAATGTTAGTGCTTGATTAACTAAAAATATACTTAAGATTGACGAAAAATTATTTTATCCGAAATCGGCAGTAAAGTAGAACTTTACTGCCGATTTATTTTAATTTACGATTGTTGACTACTTTACTGCCGATTTCGGATAAAATAATTTTTTGTCAATCTTAAGTCTATTTTTAGTTAATCAAGCACTAACATTAGTTGTTTGAACGGCCATTTTGTTGAAATATTCATCGATGTTAGGATATTGCAGTTGGTGACCGGTAACTTACGTGACATTTGCAACATAAAACCTGCATTTTAGGAAAAAATTAATAGATTAGGGTTGTCATAATTTAAGTTCCCATTACCTTGAAATGCTACATGCTTATTACACTAAAAAAAACATTGAGCGAGAATTAGTTTTCACAAAAATAAAAGGATACAGCATTGGAACAAGTTATATGAGAATTGACCAAAAATACATTAAGAAGATATTTTACAAATTCTCAAAAAACTTTGTAAGAGGCCAACGTGTTTACCACCCTTGTTATTTCTCTAGTTATAGAACTTACATAAAAAGCGACCCCTCGTCTCAGTCTCGTGATCAAATTGTGATACTATGTCGAGCTAGATGCTCGCCAGCTGAACGTAGTTGGCCGGCAGCATGCCCACCTGCCCGGTACGCTCGACTTCGCCGGTCATCCAGCCGCCGTCGATCCGGCTGACGTTGATTATCAGGTCGCCGTCGACGAAGCTGACCTCGTCGTCGTCCTGCGCCTCGTAGTCGTACATGGCGCGGTAGACGCGACCCAGCGAGCCGTAGTTGTGGTTGACGGGGTCCATGTCGTGCACGGAGCCGATGTGCCGCGCGGGCGCGGCGTTCACCGAGCCCACTTCCGACGAGTAGATCAAGGTTTGCGAGGTGCGGTTCGAGTACGGGCTGGTGAATTGCTGCGCCGAGTTTTGCGGATCGTAGTCGCTGATTTTGCCGATGCTGTTCGGGTTGACTGTCGAAAAATTTTGCACGTTAGAAAAAATATCTAAATGGGATTTTAGTAGAGATGGGAATCGGAAAGTTTCCATTTTAAGGAAACTTTCCGTTTTGGAAAGTTTCCAATTGGGAATTTGTTTTCATTTTGAAAGTTTTTATTTAAGCTACCGGAAACATTCCTTGGAAACTTTCCTTGTTTTTTTCATTTAAATGTCAATTGTTTAACCGCTGATTTTCATTAAGGCCATAATACAAGGCCAAGAAACTTTGAATAAGAATTTAATGTGTGTTAATTTAAAGCAGAAGAAGTATAAATAATGTAAGTTATGTTACATAACCTGAATGAAGCCGGATTATTCAGCATCATCACAAAAAACTTTTTTAAAAAAAGGTAAACAAAATAAAAACAATAAACAAAGTTAAAATCATTCTTACATTTTTGTTGTTTATTTATAGGCATAGCACAATGCCAAGAAAAAAATCTAGTGTTTGGAATTATTTGTTACTTTACTTTTTACTTTTCAATATTCCTATATATTAGTTACTTTGTCCCTTTTAATTTTTTTTACGTAATATCTAGGATTTACTAGCAGTGAATTTCTAGTAGTAAACATTTTATTTTTATTTTGTAGGTTTCAGTATACAATAGGAATATTCCAAAGTAAAAGATACTAAAAATAGTATTGCAGTTACATTCTTATAAACATTTTTTTTTTAATTTTTTTTCTTAATAAAATTTGACAAAAAGTTAATGTGTTATATATTTTTGCAAATCCCTGGCATAAAAAAAAATATTTTCGCAAGGTTTTTATTTGGCAAAATTAGGTATCGTGATTGACTGTCCAATTCCTTAAAAATTAATAATTTAAAGCGTAACGGGCGGGACTATTGCAAAGTCCCGACCGTTACGCTTTAAATTATTAGTTTTTAAGGAATCAAAGAGTCAACACGATACCCAATTTTGCCAAATAAAAACCTTGTTAAACAGCTCCAGTTTAGAACCATTTATAAAAATTTGACATTGGCAATACAATAGAACAACATTATTTTGTAAATAAAAACACGGCAACTATCCCATTCGTCACGCGTGGAATGGCCCTAAACTCCTATTCTTAACAGAAAAAATTTTAATTTCAAATAGGTACATGTTTTTTGTAATATATTTACTAAAACATTAAAAATGTGCCGCTGCTTTAAAAAATTATTAAATTTATGATGGTATAATAAAATTTTTAGAAGATATGTTATATTCGTCAGTTATTTTCAAATCATAAAAATCTTGTTTAATAAAATTGTATACACTGTGCGACAAATTTGGGGTGACCAATTTTAAACCGGATTTAACTGATTTTCCCTCAAAGTATACCTACTATTAAATTTTAATAAGTTAAAGTAATAAAGTTAGCTCGATTTTTTTTATTGCAAAATTCGATTACAAATTGTTCCTCGTTCCGACTCTTTGTGAAAGGGTTTTTCATTTTAAAATAATTTATATTTATGAATATTTAATGGAATAAAATTTAGTTTAATCAATTTTCTTAAAAAATTGCATTTTTTTCTCTTTCTTTTGTCTACCTCACTTAACATTATTTTTTTAATTTAAGACCATAAAAAGTTAATTTCTAGCCCCAAGAATTTTTGTTCAAAAAAACAAATATTTGTAAAAATAATTTAATTTTTCATTTCAATGTTCAAAATTTTGCCTTTTTTATAATTATAAGTCGCCTATTACTTGAGTTATGAAACGTCAATATTTTTTTTAATTAACTTTTATTACTATTTTTATTTTATTTTTTTAATTTAAAATAATAATAATTTAAAAAAATGTAAATTTTCTCCAACTTTGTTGTGTTTTTTATTACCTAGTACCTACTAGAAATATAATTATTAACTTGGCTATTCAAGAGTATAAATAAAAGTGTTTTTATTTAAATTACTAAAATAATGAAACAACAGTATTAATTTTGTATAAATTAAATATGTTATGAAAATAAAAGACAACAAGAATAAAACAAGATCTTAAAATAAGTGTTAAAAATTCCGACAGTCGTAAAAACTCCCTAAAACCAGGGAAAAAATCACAAAGTTTGTAACATACACTGCTCGTCAAAGATAACGCATAATAAGTAAAAAATTCTAACTCTAAAACGCCTTTACCAATCTTTATGAAATTTTGTATAAAAATACTTTAACTACTTTAACTTGATTTTTTTGCTCAAAATTGGTTATTTTTGACGACTTTGAAGCGCCTTATCTTCGCAACTGTTCGTTTGATTTGTACAAAATTTTCAGGGTATACTAACAAAAATACGGTCTTTAACAGCATATTTTTTATTTACTTAAAATTCCCTAAAAGTTATTTTTTGATTAAATAAAAGGGCTTTAAAAATATTTTCTCGAACACGTAAACTGAAATATAAGTTAAAGTATTTTTATTCAAAATGTCATAAAGATTGGTAAAGAGTTAGAATTTTTTTACTTATCATGCGTTATTTTTGAGGCGCAGAGTATTAAGTTAGACCAAAGAAAAAGTAAAAAATTCAATTTTATGAACACTTGGCCCTTAAAACTAGATTTGATTGCATCAATTGTTTATAAATAGTATGTATCAAGTTTGATAAACGCCATTTTAGTCACGAATTTAATATAGGCTAGCGAGCGATTGCTTAATTACATGAGTGTCTAGAAAAGTTTATGAACTAGTTGCATAATAAAACTGACTATTTTTGTATAGATGTCGCTCTAAAAAATATTTAATTTAAGATTAACCGTAACAATGGGAATCTACCGATATATCGGTTGTTAGTCCATTTTTAAGGGATAAATTTCGATTTACACAGAAAAATTTGACATTTGCCGCCGGTAGATTTCCATTGTTACGGTTAATCTTAAATTAAATATTTTTCTATATATAGAAGCAGTTTTTGATATCTGTCAACTAACTTTAACCCTTGACTAAAAACCTGTTGCCAACTTTAGACCGTGACTAAAGCGCCATAAAACAATACATTGTCAATGTTTATTTAAAAGATCACTTGTGTCAGGAAGTGTGTCATGGAAACATCTACGATGATGGGCGTTTTAAAGGTGGAAGTATAAAAAATAAAAACCCTTTTACAAAGAATTGACCATACACCATAGAAAAAAAATCGAGATAACTTTTACAAACCCAGAGAGGATTTAGAGGGTATTAGTACCTATGTATACTTTCAAATTAATTAATATAAGTATGGCTTTTCCCAGTGGCGTAACAAAGAGAGGGTAGAATATAAAGAACAGAATTATTATCTTGTACTTATTAACCAAATTTCCCGCACGTCGCAATTTATTGACCAAAAATAAAAACAATTTAAGTTTCACCAAATTTTTTATTGTATTTGAAATTGTTTCTTAATATCTATTTCCCGAAAAAATTAAAATATGCAATTTTTGTAAAATCTGTTTAACGATACCTAAACTAACCTAACTTACGAGGGGGGGAGATACGAAGGTTTATCCAAATCGCTATTTGGTATTATTAAGCCTGAAAACCTTTTCGGCATTGATTTTTTTTTAAATCGTGGCATTTGACGGTTTTATCGTGAGAACTGGCAACCCTGCCTATCAATTACTTACCGATAGCGGGCTGTGAAGATTGCATCAAAACATTCTGAGGCGGCGCGTGATGTACGACGGGTTGCGGCTGAGGCTGATGGTGCTGCTGCTGCTGCTGTTGCACCGGCGGAGGCGGCTGGTACTGATTCGCGCTAATCACAGGCGGCGCATGCGCATTCACGTTCGTGTGCGCGTTTATGTTCGCATTCTTCTGGTCCACCTCCTTGTACCCGTTCTCGTTAATCGACCTCATCTGTTCCATCTGCGCCTTGCGCTATATTAATTAATAAAATATAAATAATATAACCTTTGCTGTCATTTTTTCATTGTTAATTTTGTTTTTTTTTTAATTTTCGTTCGCGTCTTAAAAATATAGACAAACACGCAAGATGTTTTGTGCTGTTGTACTTTGGTCCCGAAACTGAGTTTTAAAAACTTAAAGCGTAAAGTTCATTTTGTTTATCTGGACCAAAATTGGTTGCTTTGATTACAACAAACTAAACTAGTTATAGTCGCGGCCAAATCTGTATGGGTGCACGTCATCAACGGCATATGACGTCAGCGTTAAGGTCTATTCATACGTGCCCAGACACAATCTAACGCTCGTGTATTGTTGACTGTTTATAGCGGTGGGGGCTGTTATTAAGATGGAATTATAACGTCCTTGTTATAATCTTCTGCACTAACTAATTAGGAGTTTGTTACAGGCAAATTTTTATTAAATGTGTTTAAAGAGAAAACAAACGGAGTTTATTACATTTTTATTACATATGCACATAACAAAAAAATACTAAATTATCAGAAACACAAAAATAATAAATTACCAGTCGTTCTTGTCATCAGAGCAAACCAGGTCAGAATTGAAGTCTGATTATTTCCCCAAATTTATTATTTAGGGCGCAATGTCTTCGAAATCTATTAACGGCTAGTTGCCAACAAGCCTTATATCATTGTTTGCACAATCCAGGGATTTAATCTTATAAAAACATAATGTATAATATTATTTATAATAATTTGCAACAAACGATGCTTCCGGACGAAATGTCACAATTACAAAAATACGTCAAATATAAAATGACAGCGACCCATCAATAATATTGAACGGTGCGCGCCAGCCTTAAGCTATTACCAACTGGCACACACAAAAATTACTAAGTGAATGGTTTTATTTTGATAATTTCGTGAAAAAACGTTTTAAAACAAGGAAATTGTTACAGTTCTTGGTAAACAATACGCAAATGAATGATTTCTTTTTAATAACACATCAGAATTACGCCTTAAAAAGCAAATTTAACGGCAGTAACTTTACAATTCAAAGTTGGTAATGCTGACGTCATTATATCTCATTGATGACGTGCACCCATATAGATTTGGCCGTGACTATATAAATGTAATTATAATGTAATTGTGGTTATGTTTAAATTAGAGATGCGACTTGAAAAAATACGGTCCGTTTTTTGTTTTTTTTTCAGGTTTTTTTTATTGTTTTTTTTTCAAATGTTATTTTTCAAGATTAGTCACATTTGCCTAATTAATTATGTTTTCAGTCCAGTTCATGAACTAAGATTAGCTACTAAATGACATTTAGTAAATGTAAATACAGTCTCGCGATATGCACGCGCCACCACCACCGAATTGACCAATAAGGGCCGCGCTTGTTTTGATTTGGTCCTAAAAAAAGGAAGTATGGAATTTTATTTTTTAAAAAACAATAGCAAATTCTTGTAGAACATTTATTCATCGGTGGTTAAGTCAGAACATTCCGTGGAGAGCTAAAAAAATTTCGAATTTTTTTATTACGGTATTTGTTAGGATTGACCGTTGCACGTTTTTCATATAAAAATCTCAAAAGTAGAAACTTCAAGCTTCAAAATGCTTTTTTACGGCTCCAATACGACCATTTTTAACGAAGATACAGCTATCCGAAAAATCCCAAAAAATTTGGAATTTTTTTTATCCTTTAATTTTTTCTATTAGTGTAGAAGTTTTAATAATGAAAAATGTAATATATTTTACATTTCACTTTATTATTAATATACATTTTACTTAAAATTTCATTTTGAAAAATTACTACATTTTTTAAAATTGATGTTATTTATTGCTTTATTGTAGCGGATTTGAAAAAAAAACAAAAAAAACCGATTTTTTTCTAGTTTTTTTTCATGTTTTTTTTGTACATCAGAAAAAAAAAGGTTTTTACATCTCTAGTTTAAATTATTGTAGGTTACATTGAACAGTTGTCAAGTTGAGTTGTCAAAATTCGTAGTTAAAAATGCAAATAATTTGAGTGAGTAAAATCATAAAAAAGTAGTTAAATATAGGTGACTCCGGCCCAGGAGAGACAAAGTATTTTTAGCTGATAATAATCTTCGCTTTGAGAAGAATTTATATAAAAGAAATCAAAATTTTATGTGAACACGTGTACACGTGAATGTTGTCCAATCATTGGACTCCAATGGTGAATGGGTATTTTGTTAAAGCCACTGGACGTTAATACTTGTAGTGGTTTAATAATAATTATAATGTATATAGTGTCCAGGACTATTAATGATCAGTAACTTGCAAATTGAAAGAAGATAGTTTCGTGATTATTGCTTATCTTCTTCAAACCAAATGGATGCTATTTTCAAAGACAGGAAAATTAACTACTAGATTTTTCACAAAAAAGATGAACCTAACAGAAAATAATTTTTATTTTTTGTTTTTTTATTTCTCCTTATTTTTTAAAACTTCAAAAAATTTTGATCTGTTTAGTTGAAAATAATGTGTTATTTAATATTTTTAAAACCAAAAACCTTACTTTTATACTCCAAAAATATCCATAAGGCAATGTATTTTTTCTGCCATTGAGGCATTTGGCATAACTTCATCGAAATTAAGTTTTTTCCTTAAAAGTTCTTTTACTTTAAAATCTGATATTATTTTTGATATAGTTATCAGATAACAGATTCTGTACTATTTAATTAGGATCTTTAGCAGAAGTGCCATTTTTTAAATACTAAAAATACTAAACCAATCTGGCATAAGCTACCAACTTAATAAAAAAAAACACGAGTTCAAATTTAAAAAAATGAACTGTACCTGTAGTTCTCCGTGATACGCGACGTTGCTGATAATTTTCGTGTTCTGTTTGATCCGAAGCGTTTCCGGATCGTCCGCCACCTGCGTGAACTTGCCCTTGCTTTTCTCGAAGTCGGCGTGGTAATTGACGTTGGATTGCAGCTTCGTGTTCTCGGCGATGCGTTTCAGTTCGGGGGTTTCCGCCATTGTGGTCGCTTTTGCTTTCGGTATATGACTAAAAGATTATTGAGAATTATACGCCAAAATACGTAAAATTACTAGGTAACTTTTTAATAAAATGTGCACTATTTTTTAGATATGCATATTAAGAAGTCTTAAAAAAATAATAAAAACTACAAACGATTAAATTTTGAAAAACATTAAGTAGATAAAGGTTGGAAATTGTAGGCTCAGCTTCATAACTCAGAACCCAAAGCTTTCAAAGCAATTTTTTTTATTGTTTTAAACAAGAGGACTTTTTTTTGTAAAATTACAGTGTTTTATTTTGATTGGCGACAATTCGGTATTTATTTAAAAATATACCAATAAAAAAATATTTTTAGTTTGTAGTAATCAAAAGGGCCTATCTTTAAAAAAATTGCAATTTGTCATTTTCATGACACTCTACATAGCGTTTCTGAATTTGGCATACCCAAAAACCCCTAAAACGATAATTTTGTAATACAGTTTAATACATGATGGTCAAAAAGCAAGTTCAAATTTGAAAAAAAAAATTTTTTAAACACTCACACAAAGATTTTGCAAAAACATTCATTTGTTAACACCGGAATTTTAAAACCCTAGGTATTACACAAACAAATTTGCTTAGATTTGTAACTCTAGCTTATACAGAGTGTTCACAAATTGAAGTCAAAAATTATAAACAAATAATGGTGTTTTAAATATTAATCTAAATAGAGACAAAATATTATTGAATGAAATATTTAAAAGTAATCTTTTAATATTATGCTTCTAATTAAATTTTTATTTTTATTTAAAATAGCATTCTTTTTTATAATTTTTGAATTTGGGAACACTGTGTAAAAGCTAGAGTAACAAAACTAAACAAATGTGTAATACCTAGGGTTTTAAAATTCCCGAAAAAATTTAGTCGGCGCAAAAAAACTGTTTTTTCCGGAAAAAACAGAAAAACTGTAAAATTTTCAGAAAAATTGACTTTTGCTTTTTTTCATTTTATTCAAAGGGTAATAGAAAAAAGTCGATTTTTCTGAAAATTTTCAAATTTTTACGGATACTATCCGTACACTGATATCGAGAAAAAATTGAATTTCCGACGCAGAATATAATCATAATATTATGATTATAATAATTACCTTTTATTTTAATTCAGTAAGAATATTCTACCGGGTCGCAAAAAACATATTTGGTGGTGTTAACATAACTTTCATTTTATTTGACACCGATTTATAAAATTATAATTTTGTAATTTAACTTTATAAATAATTCATTATTTTGTAATTGGATATTTTCAATAGACTCCTTTTTGCAAAAAAGAGCCAACCGACAGTATATTTAACGTTTACGTTTATTTTCTTAAATCAATTTAATTCAATTCAATGTTTAGTTTTATTTTTTTTCTGTACGGATATTTTTTTTTAATTAAAATAATGTTAAGTTGTTGATTGCTACATTTTTAAAATGTGTATATTTTCCAAAAGTTAAAAAAAAACAATTTTTTTCTATTCCTAGAAAAAAGTTTTTTCCCCAATTTTTCCGTTTTTTATGACACTTTAAAACCCTAGTAATACCTTAAGAAATGTTTTTGCAAAATCATTAATAGAAATTATGCTAAAAATGTTTTTTTTTTTCAAATTTGACCTTACTTTTTGATTATCCTATATAAAATTTTAATACAAAATTATCGTTTTAGGGGTTTTTAGGTACGCCAAATTCAGAAACAATGTCCATTTTTAAATTTAAAAAATGCCCAATAACTTTTGAAGTTTTTGTGTTCTTTTATTATTCACAGAGCCAGGAAATGACATATGACAATTTTTTTTAAAAGGTAGCTTTTTGAGTACTACAAACTAAAAACATTTTTTTTAATGGGATTATTTTTAAATAAATATCGAATTGTCGCCAATCAAAATGAAACACACTGTAAATAAAAACTAATAAAATGCAACCAAAATATGAAATAATATAAATAACGTAACTCATACAATAAAATGACCCCTCCCTGTTTGGATCCCCCTTTATAATATGTCAGTATCGGGTCTGCTGCAAAATAAAAGTTTTGTACCTACACCTGAGATAATGAATAAAATGTAAATGTTAAGTGCCATCTTCAAAGGGGCGTAGCTTACTTATAAAGCATTTTTGACACCATGTTCTTGGGAACTTTTAATTATACAGTTTGTTTTTTTTATTCCCAATTTAAAGTAAAAAATTTGGAAATTTAATTGCGATAACTTTGCCTTTGATGAAATATAGGTGACTTTACGCATAAATTAAGAGATCGTTTTCTCCCTTAACATACCAAAAATATGTAGCGAAATTTCCTTTCGTAAAACAATCCAAACCCGAGGGGTCACCCACACCTGGGAATCCCTGGACATTTTAGAGGGGGAATACCATAGGAATACAATGGAAATACATAGGAATACAATAAAATATAATGGGAATACATGGGAATCCCTGGACGTTTTCCCTTTGGGTGGTTGACCCCTCGTCCAAACCCCTTTATTTTTTCATTTTTATTCTCTGCACTGTTCTTCAAAATATCATATATTGTTGTTTTGCTAAGCTAAAAATAATTCATGACTTATTTTGGTAAAACCAAATGCTTCCTTTTTTCTTCTGTTTTCTTTGGCATTGTATATTATAATTACGACAATCATATGATACATGTCCAAGTATTTAAAACAGGAGCAATGATTTTAAATATTAAAAATACCAAAGTATATTAACATACAGTATATGTTGGTCAAATGTTTAAAATTCCGAATAAAAAAAAACAAACTTTATTTTGTGCTCTAGAATCACCCCTAAAATTTTTGGATGGAATTCGGAAACACCCTGTATATATTTTTAAGTTAACTTTATGTTGTTTTTGTGTCATATATTAGGAGCAAAAACAGCTACCTATTTTAAAAAATATAATGTTTTGAAACTGGCAGATACATAACCTTAGTTCCTTAATCAAATGTCAAAGTGGGCCTTTCTGTTGAGGAGCTTGGAACAATAGAAATTCATAAATAATGAATAATCATTTCCTTTAAGTTATTATAGAAAATCGTGTTAATAAAATTGTTTGTTTAATTATTTCATGTTTTAAACACAGGTTATCAAAAAATTGGTCACTAACGCCATACTTCAGGAAACATTTTAAGTGAAAATTAAAAAAAAATCGACAGGTCATCAAGTTTTTTATTTTATCAAAACTCGGCAACGGTGTGTATTTCCTAAGCCGAAACATAACACATCTAAAGACTGTTGTTATGAAAACAAAATAAACAAAGAATCTGAAGAGAGATGAAGTTAACATGGAAACTGAGTTATAATGAATTAAAGTCTTGATTTTTTACACAAACTGTCATAAAATCGATCTGTCAACCTTAACTGCCTTATTTCAATTGTTTTAATATCAACTTAAATGTTTACAAACCACTACCGAATAATAACTACTTGGAATGTATTATTATGATTGTGATAATTTTATTTTTTTGTTTTTTGGTTGGTTGCATGATTATAAGGTAAAAATCAATAGATAATTTAGGTAGGTATGCATAATTACTACATATTTTGATAATTTTAAAAACAGTTATTGCACATGTAATGGTGTGCATATTAAAATAAAATTATCTAACAATTTTAAAACATTAACTAATTTTTTCACGATTTTATTATGTGTTTATCGTGAGTAAATTTGCTTTTAAAACAAGCAATATCAAAATATTTACCAGTTTTATAGCATAATTTTGCGCGTAATAACTTAATTTTCCATTAAACGTCCAGATTTGTATTTTAATTAAAATTCAATTTTGTAATGGTTTTAATCATGCCAAACCATGTCTAAACAGCATGACTGTTAAATAATGGATTTTTTAAACGATTTTCAATAGTTCAATAAAACACGCAGTGACTAATAATAATTATTTATTTATATTTGATGACAAGACTATTATTGCAAAAATAATATTTATCTGGAAATGGATCTGTATCATTTATGTGGTTGTAAAGAAATGACTGTCAACTTTAAAAATATTAATGACAAACAAATGTGGGTTTAACGAAAATTTTATCATAAACAATAGACGTTGATCTATGAATCTATGAACCGCAATAATAAAATTAGGCAGAATATAATAAAAAACACTTAATGGACAATTAATAAATTATAATCTACAGTACTTTTAATTAATCTGCATAACAGATAAAAATGCATAATGAAGCAAATTCTATGAAAATCCTAGAAAACTTATTCCGCATTACAAAGAATTCTCTTTATTTATATTTATTGTTGAACGAAAAAATATTATGCATATTTAACAAAATTTCTCCAGTGAGGCCATTCTCAGTAATATTTATATTAATTCAATTATTATGAATAGACTAACGCATTGTGTATCTAATATCACATTGAACCCATACTAAATTAATGATAGAGGTCATTTCATTGGGTCAAGCTCAACACACCCTTGCCTTATGAGGTCAGTAACTTTTAATTGAAAAAAATCGAAACAGATTAACGCCTAGAAACCTGAGCGTTGACATAAACACAGTTTTTTATATCTCGTAAATCTTGAACTATATATCATTCAAAGAGCTGAAGGAGACAACAGTGTACACTTTATAACAGTTTTTACAATAAACTTTAACTGTTTTAATACATTCATTAAAATAATAGTTATTACTGTACTGATGTTATATGGCATATGCTGAGATTTGTTATGGAATATTTTATAAATTTTTTATTGTCTAATGGTATTTTGTAAAATACTTACGCATCACAGTATGGTTCCTTATTAAATCCTTTATAAGTTCTCATGTTTAATGCCATTCCACACTCTTTGCATTTAAAGCATGGTTTATGCCATATCTGAAAACATTTTAAACAAATTACATTTATGTAACAATCTACAACCTATTGAAACATAATTGAAAGTTTTACGACCTAATATGGATCTATTTGAAAGCACTTATACATGGTGTCGGAAAACGAGTTCTTTTTTGCAATATATACCATGGTATATGTATATTAGGGTGATTCAAAAAAAGCCTTTTTTTAAAAATGAACCCGCACTGGCCTAAATTATAAAGATTACATTAAAACTAAAAGATTAATACCAAAAAATCCAAATTCGATGAATATTTAGAGGTCGCTCAAATCGATTTTCGTATTTTTGCACATTCGAGCCGCGAAATTATTACTACGCAAAATAGTAAATAACTCCGTTAGTTTTTATTCGATATTATTAAAAATTTAAGGGTTACCTAGTTTTTTAATACCCTCTGAGACAGTGTATTGAACTTTACAGAAAAAAATTTTTTTTTCATGAAAAAAAATAATTTGTTAATAAAAACGTATCATCTTATAAAATAAGCAACAATTGGAATCGCACTATGATGGTACCGTAAAAAAAATAAGAAAATAACACTTAAATTATTTAGCATACATAAAACCTGCCGAAAGAAATATTTTATTTGATTTATATAAAACATAACCTAATAATAATTAAGTTATTCAAATTTTTTCCATTTTCATGCGATTTTATAAATAATTTATATCCGTTTTATTAATTAGGACGTATTTTTATAATATTTCTTTATTTTTGATACCATATTTAATTAATTACACTAAGTAGTTATTCATTTATGTCCTTTTTATAATTAAAATAAAAAAATCCACTGTTCTACATCGTTTTCTTTGCAATGATTGTTTCTAATGTTAATTTTTTCAACCATTTTTTCTTTTGTTTCAGTAGGTACTCTTTTATCAAAAATGCCAAACAAATTAGCTCTTCTATTTGCAAATCTATATTTTTAAAAACATAAAGTTCATGAAGTGTTTTCAAATCATTTTTGGGCGCGCAAGTTGCGTTTGGAGCTTGGAACCAGGCAAATATCTAAACGAAATATAAAAATACAAATTCTATGCAATGACTTATTTTCATTGTTAGTGAGTTTAAATTGATCCCGAAATAAGATTTAGAGAGTATATAGCTTTGTTCATCCATCGGGCATGCTATCTATCTCCACCAAGGTATAAGATGTTTTTCTTTAATTTCTCAACAAATTAGTTTTGGTACTCAGACGCTTTTGAATTAAGTAAATAATATATATATATATATATGTAAATATGTATATATATTTATATTTATATAATTTATCAACTACCTGCTAGTAGGTCCTACTATCAAAATTTAAGAATAATAATTATTATTGTGGTATATCAATTTAGGAACATCTAGACAGAATCAAATAATTTTGGTATCAAAATTTGAGAATTGTTGTATGTCAATAATTTTAACAAAATTTAAATTTCTGCTTAAGCCATATCAATGCAGTGAATAATTTTGTAGTTAACGTTATTTTATTTTAGTTGTAAAAAGGACCTAATTTAATAACTACCTACCTAGTTTAATTAATTAAATATGGTATCAAAAATAAAGAAATATTATAAAAATACGTCATAATTAATAAAACGGATATAAATTATTTATAAAATCGGTTAAAAATGTGAAAAATCTAAATTACTTAATTATTTTTAGGTTATATATTATATAAATCAAATAAAATATTTCTTTCGGCAGGTTTTCTGTATACTAAATAATTTAAGTGTTATTTTCTTAGTTTTTTTACGGTACCATCATAGTGCGATTCCAATTGTTGCTTATTTTATAAGATGATACGTTTTTATTAACAAATTATTTTTTTTTCATGAAAAAAAAATTTTTTTCTGTAAAGTTCAATACACTGTCTCAGAGGGTATTAAAAAACTAGGTAACCCTTAAATTTTTAATAAAATCGATTAAAAACTAACGGAGATATTTACTATTTTGTGCAGTGATAATTTCGCGGCTCGAATGTGCACAAATACGAAAATTGATTTGAGCGACCTCTAAATATTCATCGAATTTGGATTTTTTGGTATCAATATTTTAGTTTTAATGTAATCTTTATAATTTAGGCCAGTGCGGGTTCATTTTTTAAAAAAGGCTTTTTTTGAATCACCCTAATGTATATAGAATATATTGTTTAAAATGTAAAAAAATATCCTGTTAAAATTTGAGCTCTTTATACTAATTAATACTATAGGAAATTAAACGTTCTACAAAAAAGTGTCTATTATTTTATAAAATATAAATTTATATAAATAATAATACTAAGTTTAAATAATTAATTTTTTTCAAAAGTTATTCAAGGTCAAAGTTGAATTTACAGTAAATTTCCTACTGTTCCGCTGAAACAGCAAAATTTCATAAGACGTTTTTTTGTAGAGCGTTTTATTTGCCTTAAACTAGGCCTTAAATTATCTTTTACAAAATGAACGTTCAATTTCCTACAAAAATACGTCTTGGTCTCTGGTGTAGGTACTGATCTGATGATGAGTTATAAATACACATTTGAAAAAATTGAACAACTTAACATCATTTTAATTTAAAAAAATATCCTTAAAGAAAAAAAAAACTTAACATTGAAATAAATTAAATTGATTTAAGAAAATAAACGTAAACGTTAAATATGGGTCTTTTTTTCAAAAAGGAGACCATTAAAAATACCTATTCAATTACAAAATAATGAATGATTTATAAAGTTAAATTACAAAATTAGGTATAATTTTTAAATCAAAGTGTCAAATAAAATGAAAGTTATTAACATAACATAACAAAAAAACATATTAGGTGCTGTATTAACATACAGCACCTAATATGTTTTTTTGCGACCCGGTAGAATATTCTAACTGAATTAAAATAAAAAGAATAATAATTATTATTATAATCATGATATTATGATTATATTTAAAATCGGAAATTCACCTTTTTCTCGATATCAGTGTACAGATAGTATCCGTAAAAATTGGGAAATTTTCAAAAAAATTGACTTTTGCATTTTTTGTAACCCTAAAAAAATTCTAGTAAATTTTTCTGAAAATTTCCCATATTTTCCGGAAAAAAGGTTTTTTCCGCCAGCCTAATTTTATCGGAAATTTTAAAACCCTAGTTATAAAGTTTTAAAAAAATCCCATGTTATTAATTTTCTTAGTAAGAGCGCAAATTTTAATTCATAGCTTCAATATTGTTCGGCGGCGTATAATAATTACTTTTCAACTAGTACAAATATCTTATGAATATAGAAATTGATATAAGCTCAAAAAAATTTATTTAACTAAGATACTAATATATGGAAGATATTAAATACAAAATATTATAACTAACACCATTTATCTCAGAAAGGATTACTGTTAACTTTCTACATTCCCTGGTAAAGTCCTAATATTAAAACCTGGGACACCCTGTATAGAAAGTTCCTCAGAAAGTGCATTATTATTTTTACAAAGTGTTCATTCTGCAGTCATGACTTTTGTTTTTTATAGGTACCCAGCTTAGCTTTCCACAATAGTAAGATACTGTGTTTTTTTGCTTTAGTACTCACAAAATTAAAGCATATTTAATTATTTACTATTTACTACTAACATGATTTACATACCTAGGAAATATTTATTTTTAGATTTTTTAAAATACATTGTTCCAAATAATACCCATGCAGAATAAATGGTAAATAAAAGAATAGAGAATAGAATTAGGCTAATTCTATTTCCAAAAAACCTGCTAATTCAATTATAGATTTCTTGGGCTTATTTAAGTAAAAAATCGAATTTGGGGCATATATGCTTGCCTAAAAAAATTAAATTAAAAAAAAAAATAGCCAAGAATCAGTCAAAATTACAAAATGAGTACCACACAATGTCTCATACCAAAATTCCATGATAGATTATACCTATGAAAAAAAGTTTCAAAAACTTTTAAAGTTCAAAGTTGCAAAAACTTAAAAAAACCTGGATGAATAACAGATGAGTAGGCAGAACAAAATTTTGAGAATGTTTTTTTTGTAAAATGAAACTATAAAGATTACAAGCTTGTTAAGATTTCTAAAAAAAAGCTCAAAACACAACTGTTCAAACCCCCAAAGCCCCCCTACCTTTACCACTGATGAATATTGCATTTATTTTACTCAATATATTGAGTAAAATAAATGCAATATTCATCATTAAAAATATAAATAATGAATTAGGTATTTTAGCATAATTAGGTATTTTAGCATAATTTGTATTTGTAAGTAATTAACTAAATAGGTAATTATACAAAAATGTTAACTCCAATTACCTAATAATAATAACACTAAACCTATTATAGAACTACGTTATTAGAATTATAACAAAACTAATTTACAAATTAATGAACATGTTCTATTAAAAATAGAATAATTTATTTAAATCTAAATTCTACAGAATTTAAAATAGTAGTAAATTTAAGCCATAAAGCCGGAAAACACACTTACAGAGAATAAAAGAGAAAGGAAAGAAATTAAAAGACATTGCTGATTTCCCATATGTAGGATAAACATGCCATACAAATACCATTTAAATTGTTTAACATTTGCCGTATTTTGTTGTTACATTGATTAATCGAGGTCTTTAATTCTTCTGACTCACTAATTTTACAAATTTATGGCTTAATGAAATAAGTAGGTAACATCTATTTAAAAAATATGATGCTTCCAAACCTCTCGAAAATTTATGTTAATCATAAAATTCCATTATAAGGGTGGTTATTTAATTATAATTAGGTAAATAATAACTTACTTTATCCAGACACTTTAATTCTTCAGTGGGATACACGGTTTTTTCACACCTAGCGCACTTTTTGCTCATGTTTTCACTGATTTTATTCACTTAAGCTCAATGTCTAATATTCCTAGTTTGTACGATTGTTGACCCGTATTTAACTGAATTAAATCGCGTATTTTATTGTAATAAAACCCAACCCAACACCAACCGTTTGCTGCTTATTCTAATTGTTCTTGTTTTCTGTCGTTTGGAAAATAAATCTCTCTTGTGTTGGCAGCACTTTTAGTAACTCTGACAAACATGGCGGCAAATCAACTTTAAATCTAATATTTTAGCAATTTGTTTGTTAACATATCTAAACAAAGTTTTATGTAAATACTATAAATAATTTAATTACTTTATTTGATTTATTAATTATCCAGTAAAAATAAAAATCAGTTCGTTTTAAAATTACCAAAACTAGGGTGAATTTATGGACTTGGCAACAATGACATGTAAAATATTTTTAAGGTTATGTCGATATAACCTCACTTTTCTGTAATTCAATAATTCCTTAAAATGTCGAAAGTTATATTAGGTGGAGGTTTGTCTGGGTTATCAGCCGCGTATTATTTGCTGAGAAAAAATCCTGCATCCTGCCTAACATTAATAGAAAGCTCAAATAGATTAGGTGGTTGGATAAAATCAAATCAAATTGAAGATGTCATTTTTGAAGAAGCTGCTAGAACGCTTAGACCGAGAGGTGAGCCGGGAATAAATACATTGGAGTTAATAGATGAATTAGGGTTATCAAATAAAGTGAATCCAATAACATTAGATAGTCCTGCTGCAAGAAATCGGATGATATATGCTAATGGGCAACTAGTTTCTTTGCCTTCAGGAATTAAGGATTTATTTGTTCGTAACCCGCCCTTTAGCAAGCCTTTAATAAGACACTTTATTAAAGATTTAGTTACTGCCAGAGAGGTTAATAAGGATGAGTCCATATATAGCTTTACTAAAAGACGTTTTGGTGAGGAAGTTGCTGATTATTTGATAAGTCCCTTGATTTGTGGAATTTGTGCTGGAGATGCAAAAGAGATTAGTGTTAATTTTATAATGAAGGATTTGTTTGAGTATGAACAAAAATATGGCAGCATCGGAAGAGGTATGATGTATGCATTACTTTTTAAGAAAAAAAATGCCTTAAATCATAATGCACTATCTTTGAGGGCTAGAAATGAGAAATGGTCTGTATATTCATTAAATGGTGGTTTGGAAACCTTAACAAAAACTTTGTCAGATAAAATAAGACAACATAAAACTTTAGAACTAAAAATGAATTCACAATGTAAAGAAATTAAATTTGGAAATCCAAGTGCTTCTATAACTTTAGATAATGGTTCTATACAAAATCATGAGCATGTAATAAGTTCAATTCCTTCATATCAACTATCAAATTTGATTAAAAATTCACATCCAGAATTATCAAGTTTATTAAACAACATTAAGTATGTATCTGTATGTGTAATAAACTTAATGTTTGATGAAAACATAATTAAAAAAGATGGTTTTGGGTTTCTTGTGCCACCAAAAGAAAAAATACCAATACTCGGGGTCATTTTTGATAGTTGCTGCTTTCCGAATAAGACAAACAAAAATGTGGTGACAGTAATGATGGGAGGGAAATGGTTTGAGGAATATTTTTCCCATGAAATGACAGAAGAGGAATTATTAACTGTAGCTACAAAATATTTAAAACTTACAATGAATGTTAAAAAGGATCCAGTTGCCTATAAAGTTAATTTGTTGAAGGATTGTATTCCACAGTATAAAGTGGGACATAACGAAAATGTACATAAAATTGAAGATTACATAAAGAAAAATAATATTCCTTTGACTATTTGTGGATGTTCTTACTATGGTGTAGGTGTAAATGATGTAATATTATCCACAAGGAATATGGTACAAAAAATCCAATAAAATAAATGTTATTTGTAAAAAAAATCTGTGATATTTAAAATATTTTTATTATAAATAATAAATTAAATAAAACGAACATTGTTTAATATTTAATTAAAAAATATTACTATAATACAAAGTTCACAGGCAAAAATTAGTAAAATATTAAACAAAAATAAAAAGTGGAATGTATAAATATAATTCAATAAATAAAATAAATATTTTGTAAAAGTCCTAAAGTAATTTTTCGTTGTTTTTAAATTCAATTTATATTCGCATTTTCTGAATATATCATTTACTTACATTAAGTACACTGTAAAGCTTTAGGAATACACCTTCATCTAGGTTTGGTAAGGCTTTTAAAATCAAATGCACATTAAATAAATCAAAAAATCATACTATAAAAAGCTTATAGTATATTTCGCATAAAGTTGTATTTAAAAAATATCATAATCATAAAAAATAAAGATTTCACATTTAATTACGTTTCAGTACAAAAACCCTGGCGATTCAATTCTTTGTTTGTTTAATGTAAACATTGTACAACTATGATAATATTGATACTATAATTTTAGGTAGAAAAACCTAAAATGCGTTTTTATTCAATGTGCATTCAGTTTCATTTGTTTATTATTAACTATGTTGCGCAGTGTAGACTATCGTAAGTTTTTACCTTATCCGGAATTGACGCTGCCTCTACAGGCACACGAACCATTAGTTCCCTTAAGGTGCCCATGTACACTATTTTTCTATAAAATTTTGAACTGCGGAGAAAAAAAATTGTATTTATTATGCATATTATACAAGGTGTCCCTAAAATGCCTGTACTAAATGATACTATATTCCTAAGACTGAAATAATGAGATATAAGTTATAATATATGCTTCCATACAAAAGTTGATAATAACCAAGATACAGGGTGTTAAACTTGTAAGATCGTTTTCGATTTTAACTTTAGAAAAAAATTAGGTTTTTGGGGGTTTTTTAGCCTGGAAAAATTAAATTTCTTAAAAAAAATTAATGTAGGTTGTAGAGGGCTGTTTGCGATTAAAAAAAAATACATTAAGAGACGCTATAAATTTAGTTACTGACATTGTTTTTCAAAATTGTATGTTTTTAAATATTTTTTTTAATATTTATTTTAAGCACAAATTAATTACAAATTGTGTGAGTCACAATGAAAACGCACATTTCTCGAAAACAAGGTGTACCTTTTTCTGCGTAATAAAGATGAAAAAAATAATAGTTTTATTAAAACGCGAATACACTAAGGCGCAAAAAAGATGTGACAATTTAAACGTATACCTCTACAACCCACATTCATTTTTTTAAGAAATTTATTTTTCCGTCCTTAAGAACCCCCAAATATCAAATTTTGTGCAAAAACGTTTGCCTTTTTCAAAGTTATTTAATAAAATCGAAAACTTTCCACTTTATCAACTCTTGTATAGAGGTAAATTTAGTTGTATTAAATTATTTTGTGAGGTTATTTTGTACAGGTCTTTCAGGGACACCTTGTATCCCTATTATAGCAGTTTTGTATGATAATAAGTATAGCAGAATAATTATTTTAAAAATGAAACCCGACAATTTTAAAAACCTGCAAAATTTTTAATATGGATTTTTTACTGCTAGTAGTTTACAGCCTGTACAGGTTACTACTTCTCAAGGAAAAAATGCTTAAATTAACCTCAATCCATATAAAATATATGTTTTATATAATATACAGTGTGTCCATGGATGAGGTGACAGGATTTTTTTTACATTTCTCAGAATATGCCATTCTTGATAAAAGTTTTTGCTTGAAATCAAATCCCCAGAATATCCATCATTTTTAATATCTATGGTTAATTGTCATTTTCTTTCCAACAAATCAAGAATTTGTCATTTTTACCTATGAACACGGTCTTATATAAGACCGTGCCTATGAACAAATATAAAAAAGTATTTTTGGCGATAAATTAAAAAGTAAAAGCTTTAACATGTCAATAAAAACGATTGTGTTTAAGAAATGACAAATGAACGAAAACTGACCAAAAATGATTTTTATCAAAAAATGTTTGGTCCAAAATTTTCAGTTACAAAATAACCATAGACAATAAAAATGATGGGGTTATTCTGGAGTTTGATATCAAGCAAAAACTTTTATATGGAATGTATGTTCCTCTTTGTAACATACTGTATATTATATGATAATATTCTATATGATTTTAGGATTTTTTTATAATACAACTGCTTACCTTATAAACGGTTTGGCCATAAAAAGCATGGTTTTGATCCACAAAGACGGATGGACCAAGTACAGGTGGCTCAAATTTTTTCGCAATTTTCTACCTACGAGTTGGTAGCAGCGTTTCAACCAACTGAAAGATGGCAATTTGGTTGCGCCACCGTGTAGATAAACTAAGACATAGTCGTCGGTAACCAGACGTTCTAATGTCCACAAAACGTAACTAAAAAAGATGTTTAGTAAATCAATTTCAGTAGGTAGGTATGTTTAAAATAAAACCAAATGCCAAATTTTATGTCTAAAACAATACATTAAAAAAAAATGTTAACCACGCCGTCACTCACATTTAACGAGTTACTGAGACTCAGGAGATGATTTAGATTTTAACTCTTAGAACAGCATTGTTGTCACCAGAATTTCTAAAGTATAAATGTATGTGTAGAGATACGCTTTTATAGTAAGGCTGTACAAGAACAAGAAAACAAGGTCTTTTCTTGCACATCTATTTCCACCACTCCATCAGATTGATAAAGATAAATCTTGTTCCATTTACTTAGTTATAGTATATAGATAGTTTCTATAAGAAGGAAAATGGGATCGATAAAACATACAAACTACTTAACACTTAACAGCTGATTTATAAAAAGAGAAATCACTTTGTAAGAAATTAAAAAAAAATATAAAAAACAATAGTCAAGCCACGTCAAGTGGGACCAGAAAATTTCACGAAATCACCGATTTTAAAAATAATCACATTATTGTGTGGTAGGCATGACGCATATGTCACAGTAAAAAAATTGTTTTGAAATTCTCTTTTTTAGTAATGTTAGGTATTAAAGTTAATAATTTTTTCAAACTTTAGAGCATGGTAAAATTGAAAAAATATAATCTCTGGGACCACTCTGTATAATTGAATTAAATTTTACATTTGTAGCAATGTTTAGACTATTGAATGATCATTTAATTAAGGTAAAGTTGTTTAAATAAAAGAATTTTGCATACATTTATTATTATTATTATAAACAATTGAAATTTTTTATGTGTTCTTCACGCTGAAAAAAAATTAATCTTGTGTCATAATATGCGGAAAACGTTCCCGTTTAGTAAAATTTATACAAAAATTTGTCCTTCATAGGTCATTCCGGAGATATTAATTTTTTTCTACTGCTGTGCGCTTGAGCAGTACGCAGCGCGCTTCGCTGCTAGCTCGTTAGCACAGCTTTCCGTTAGAACGTTAGAACCGACAAAAAATTTAATATCCCCGGATTGAGATAAAAATTTTTGAGTAGATTTTATTAAACGGGAATGTTTGCCGCATATTATGACACAAGATTAATTTTTTTTCAGCGTAAAGAACACATAAAAAAATTTAATTGTTTATAATAAATGTATGCAAAATTCTTGTATTTAAACAAATTTACCTTAATTAAATGACAATTCTATAGTCTAAACATTGCTACAATAGTGTGTAAAATTTAATTCAATTATACAGAGTGGTCCAAGAGATTCTATTTTTTCAATTTTACCGTTTGACAAAATTATGAACTTAAATAACATTAACAAAAAACTGAATTCCAAAACAATTTTTTTACAGTGACATATGGGTCATGCCTACTACAAAATTATGTGATTATTTTTAAAATCGGTGATTTCGTGAAAATTTCTGGTCCCACTTGACGTGGCTTGACTCAATATAAATCATAGTTCTTTTTACAGTGTACAAGAAGTAGGACAAAACCAGGAAGTATAATATGATCTTTGAAGACAGCCCTTAACAGAAAGTCAAGTGCAGTGTAAGAAATTAAAATAAAATTTGAAAAACAAAATTAATTAAAATTAAATCTTTCTTTTTGCATTGTGCAGGAAATGTGCCAAGAGAAGGAAGCTAATCAGGGGCGTGCTGGCAGAATCAATGCAGGCCTGGACTAGATGGTAGAGCAGTCCAGGCCCAAGCCAATTTCATATAAATTGTAAAAATACATTACAATTAAATACCTCGACTGATAAAATGTCCCGATAACTCTCTTCGCAACAAAGCTAGTTCAATTATTAAGTCACAGTCTAAACAATTTTTCACCTTTCTCTCCACAGCAATCAGCATAAAAGCTTCCAAATTTACATCACTTCACACTGATATTAAAGGAAAGTATTATCACAATAAATCAAGACAAAAACTGCGAGAGGGGGCTTTTGTAATTATGTTTCTGTTTCTCTATAAATTCGAGCTGATCCCCCATTCCGATAATTATAATTTATAAATTTACTAAAATTGCATTTTATCGAAGTGGCCCCGGATCAGTTTGGATTTTCAAAGAAACGGAACAATAATTACGAAAGCATCCAAAATATCCCCACGGTTTAGGGTTTCCACCTGCGACTTCTTGGTTAAGGGTTAGCATAAAAAATACGTGTTTTAGATTTTTTTACGGGAGTCAATTAAAACTTTCTTTTTTTTAATTTATTTTAGTGTTTAGTGATATAACTTGAAAAAACTTTTTGTTTGGTATACCCTATTTGCATACCATAACAAGTCCAGCAGACCACCATGGTAGCGCAGGCCACCGGGCATTCGCCCGGTTTTCGGCGGCTCAGCACGCCCCTGAAGCTAATGATCTTCAAGGACAGTCCATAACAGAAACTCAAACTGCAGCATGCTGCTGATAATGAAATGGCCCGGGAATCCCGGGCTGGGATTGAAAACCAGCTTATACCATACCATAATATAATATTTTTCCCAAGTTTAGTTTGTTTTATTTAATGTTGGGGTTTTTAATTGGCAACTAAACCTAAATTGCAATTATTTGTAAATATAATTTTGTAATAAATAAATTTAGAAAAAATATGTTGTTTACATTTTTCTTGCAGCGTTAATGTTGTAACTTGACACTTTTAATTTCATTCTTCATATTTGCTTTAAAAACAGGATTTTTTCTATTATTGAAAACATTTGACAAGATGTTTTATTTGAAAACCAATTATTTAAAACAAAACCTAAAAACTAAAATAAAATTTTTAAATATCATTTAATTTAAAACAATATATTTTATTTGATTGAAAAACGATATAAAATATTTTTATTAATAATACATTCATGAAATGTAATTATACCTATAGGTATCGTTTTTTACGTGTGATCTTCAAATTATTCGACAATTTAATCTAAAAATCGAATATTTTTGTACAAATTTGGATAAATTTCATGAGAATAATATTTAAATTTAAAATATCATTTAAATTCAAAGGCGACAATGAGCTAAGATGGCGGTAACTGGGTGGTGCGCAAAGTGAACCAAAATTCGTCCTACTGAAGAACATACCTTGTTTTCTTGTACCATGGAACCGCTATATTTGAAATTCTCAGGACAACAACTTAAACTTTAAGAGGACCCTGAATAACTTCAATGATTGATGTTCAATCTCTCGATATTGTACTTACAGAAACAGGTTATCCATGACGTAATCGTAGTCCACTCTCGATTTGTCGGGCAGATAGCATGCGGAGAAGAGCACGATGGCCGTGTTTCCGCCAGCTCTCAAGTAGCCTCCGTGCGAGAGCACCCTCTTGTAAGGCTCTATGACGCGCATGTCGATGGTGCGCTGCTCGCCGCTGGGCAGCAGCATGCGTTGCCAGTGGCGCGCGTGCCTGCGTTCGTCCGCTGCGCTCAGCGGCTCGATTGGTTCAGAACTGTTATTGTCTGAATAATAGAATAAGAAAAAAGATAAACAACTTGTACCTAAACTGTCTCTCAGCAAAAATAAATAAATTGATTTATAAGTATAACGTAACTTCGCTCATTACACTGTAGGGAGGTGAAAATATCACAGCTAAACGCTCAGAAACGTAAACTTAATTTTTGGTCGTAGATCGGCCATTTCAAGCGCGCTAAACGCACGAATTACAAAACTGTTTTTATAAAAAAAATTGTAGATTATTTATTATATAATATTTTGGCATCAAAATTGGCAAAAATATTCTTCTTTTATTAGGTTATACATTAAATAAAAAAAAACTCAAGAAATATTTTATGAAAGTAGATATAATTTTAATAATTGAAAGGTGTGGACGGGACAAAAAAAAGATTTATCTTGTCCCGTCCATCCCTGTCAATTATTGAAATTATCTCTACTTTTATAAAATATTTCTTGCGATTTTTTTTATTTAATGTATACCCTTATAATAGAAGAATTTTTTTGACAATTTTGATGAAAAAATAATATATAATAAATAAGCTACAATTTTTTTTATAAAAACAGTTTTGTGATTTGTCCCGTCCATCCGCTTGAAATGGCCGAGATTACAAATCCGTGTTTGGTTTAGCTGTACGTATCACGTCAAAATTCAAATTTACTTAATTTTCAAGTTTTGGAGCATCCCCATTAGGAAATTTTTAAAAAATCAATTGGACTGGACCCACAAATCAGTTCCAAATAAAAAAGACAAACATCTTGTAAAATTTGAGCTTAATTGATCAAACGAAACACGTGTCCCTGAGGATTTTTTTAGATAATTTAGAAAATTCAAAATGTTTTTTGATGATTTTTTTTATTGAGTATAATTGAGGATATTATATTATATAATATTAAACGAATTAAAAAGCATAGGAGTATTGGCACAAGAGGTGAAATATATTACTTTATAAATTATAATATACCAGTATACAGTGTGTCCCCGGATCGGATTGCCAATAGGAAAAACTTTTTATACCTGATGCAGCTAAACCGAGCACGGATTTGGAATCTACGACCAAAAATTATGTTTACGTGTCCGAGCGTTTAGCTGTAATATTTCAAGATTTAAAAATTTACCTACAGTGTTATTGACTGGCATTGGATAAACCTCTTTTTTGGTCAGTTTTTGCTTATTTGTCATTCTCATAAAATGTTATTATCGCGGTAGGTAGACATTTCTCGAGAATTCTTTACGGATGTCATTAATATTTACTGATGAAAAAATAAATGATGCATGAAACGGCGATGAAAATAGTCATTTTAAGGTGCCACAAGTAGTATCATCCCATTAAAAAAAAAGAAGTGGGTGATCATTTTTTTTAAATGACTGGAAAGCCCACAAAAAATCTTAATCTACGTGTTTTTGCGTTTTATCAAAATATTTGAAGCTCTACAGGGTGTTTCTTTTAACTTGAGACAGCTCAATATCTCGAGAAATACGCATTTCACGGAAAAATGTCTTAAATAAAAGGTTAATGTGACTAAAGGGGACATTATTTGGTGCTAGCGCTAGCCACCCCCTACCCCTTCTTAAGGGTGAAACGGGGGGTAACTTTGGAAAGTCAAATGGAATGACCCGATTTTTTTCACAGAGTTTGGTGGTACATAAAAAAATAAATAACTTTTATTTAAAACTTTTTTCAATTTACCAACAGATGGCGCTGTAATTCAAAATTTAAGAAAAATGAGTTTCCTTGTAAAATGTATTTTTTGAAACGTTTGAAAAACAAAAATTAACATTAACAACAATAGTCGGCTATGAAAACTATTTATAACAAATGTTCGAAATGTCGTCATTCCATTTCAACACATTTTTGAATGCGGGTAATGAATTCTGGCACGCAACGCGCCAACATATCGGGCGGTATCGCCGCACAGGCGTTCCTGATCCGCTCCACCATGTCCTCCCAAGTTGTAGGAATTGCAGCGTAAACTTTTTCTTTCAAGTAACCCCACTGGAAGGAGTCTGGTGGCCAAATTACTGGACCACGTCTACTGATCCACCGCGGTGCACCGGCCATTGAACTCCTGATCCAACACCTCTCGAGCAATTGTCGAATAATGTGCAGGACAACCATCTTGCTGGTACCACATGTTTTGGAGCCGTGCTAGTGGTACATCCTCCAAAAGGTCCGTCAGATCGTTTTCTAGAAAATTCCGGTACTTTTCGCCATTTAATAATAATAATAATAATAATAATAATAGCTTTATTAATACTTTTGTCATCTATGGGTGTACAAGTCATTTGATAAAAAAATCAGGTACAAATATCGAATAAAAATCACATCAGACGAATATATAAAACAAACTTAAAACATTATCAATACAAACAATAGAACACAGTTTACAATGACTTATAGTCTAAATATTCTTTAACAGAGTAAAAAGAATTTTCCTGTAACAAAATTTTAACTAATGCACCGTCAATAAAGAAGGGCCCGATTAATCGTTCGCTTAAGGTACCGCACCAAACGTTTACCGACCAGGGACGCTGGTGCTCCACTTGGTGGCGAAATGGAAGGACGACATTTCGAACATTTGTTATAAATTGTTTTCAGACTATTGTTGATTTAATGTTAATTTTTGTTTTTCAAACGTTTCAAATAATACATTTTACAAGGAAACCCCTTTTTCTTAAATTTTGAATTACAGCGCCATCTGTTGATAAATTGAAAAAAACTTTTAAATAAAAGTTATTAATTTTTTTATGTACTACCAAACTCTGTGAAACAAATCGGGTCATTCCATTTGACTTTCCAAAGTTACCCCCCGTTTCACCCTTAAGGAGGGGTAGGGGGTGGCTAGTGGTAGCACCAAATAATGTCCCCTTTGGTCACATTAACCTTTTATTTAAGACATTTTTCCGTGAAATGCGTATTTCTCGAGATATTGAGCTGTCTCAAGTTAAAAGAAACACCCTGTATATTGAGTTAGTTCCAGTTAAAGTCCCCACCCTGTATATTTTCCTGCACGTCAAGTGCGCCAAAAATTTCTTTTCAGTTTCCATTTATAACTTATTTTTATACTGAATTTATTTTTATATTGAATTATTTTGGCAATATTTTTTGTTTTTAATTAAAAATTTTAGTAAAGGCTTTAATAATCTTATTCCTGTATTAAAGCATTTGCCTGCTCAAAGTAAGCGTGGGGAAAAGTATAACTTTGCGTGCGTATAAGTATTAATTTACGCACGCCGATAAAATGTATTTTTGGTAATAAATTGAAAAGTAAAAGCTTTGAACATGTCAATAGAAACTATTACTTTTGAGAAATGTCAAAAACTGACCAAAATGATTTTTTTCTACACCGCTACTTTGATATTATTGACAGTATTTGTATTTTTTTTATATAATGGTGACCAATATAACCGCGCTGACTAACAACGGGAATAATCTCATTATTCACGTTGTTAGGCATCATTGATTGGCTGATTTCAATCTTTACTGTGATTTGAACCAATCAGGTATTAAATTGGGAAAAAGTGAGGTTGGAACATTTTAACAGATTTCAGATTTTTTTATATATACGAGGGGCGACATTAATGATAATTAAAATCGGCAGAAAGTAAAATTTTTTTACTTATAAAAATTATTTCCTTTAAGTAGGAAAAGCATATGCTATATAGTATTACACTCGAGATAATGAGCATTATTCTCTCAGATAATAATATATTATTATGAAACATTTCCAAAACACTTAAAATAAAAATGTGTCGCAAATTTTGGGGGTTTAAAATCAAGCAAAAACTTATATTTAGATTAAAATTTTCTGATGAATATAAAATAGTGCTCACCATTCCTACTATTTTATTTCCTTTATTAAAATCGGTTAAATTAGTAAATTTCTAAATAAAAAAAATATATAAACAGAAAAACATTTGATCGTCAGGTTTACGAAATATTTATAAAAATGTTTTTTTTTAATGTGACACCTAGTATATTTTTTATATATATGTATATTTTAAAGGGCAATTTAATTTGGAACCAACAATTACTATTGCATAACTAACCCTAACTTTAAAATTAAAAATTAATAAGCATTTGAACTTTTTGATGGTTGTTGAAGTAACCAAATTGTTTATTTTTAGGTTTAGGGTATTTATGCAAAACTAATTTTTAGTTTCAAATTAAAATTTCTTTTAAAATATGTGAGAATATACATTTAATACGATTTAAAATAATGTAATTTTTGTGAAAATTTTGAAAACCCGACGTTTAATTGTTTTTATGTTCTTACCATTTTAGGATGACACAAATTTGCTAATTTTACCGACTTTGTAGCTCCAATAATAACGGAGTTGGCAATGGTAAGCAGATAACAGTATAGAGACATCTTTTAATAGAAACTTTTTTACCGTCAACAATGCGATTTTTCATTTAACATACCTATTTAATTATTTTTTTAAACTTTTTAAAATATGGATAAATGATAATATTATTTTTTATACATACCATCAGTTTCAATTTTTTCTTCAGAATTCTCATCATCCCCCGCAAAAATATCCTCCGATTTTACACTATCTGTATCACCAGCCAGTGACGAGTCGTCACTGTCCTGACTCCGATTTACCGACATGACCGATATCTTTCTTAATTTATTACTTTTCTTCTTGTGGGCGAGAAAATTTAAATTCCCTATAAAACAAAAATTCAACCTTAAAAATGTTATCCTACCTACTTAATTTATGAGTTTACCTTCTTTTTCGTTCATGGTAAGCGCTACATTTTGCAGATTAGAACTTAAATGGGCTTCATAAACCGACTTATCATTCTCATTATCGCTTCCTTCATGTGTGGTTTCAACCGGAAAATCGAATGGCGATTGTTTTTTTAAAGCTGTTGGACTGTCTGGAAAATCTATCAAAACACCACCATTATTAAAACATTTAAATTGATTTAACTTGCAAGGAAGTTATTTATTAAAGCATTACAATGAAATTTGTTACAATTAACAAAATGTTCCCCATACCTATATGTTTGCACACATAACATAAGTGTTTACAAACACGTACTGCTGAACTTGCACCTTTAAACTTTAATTTTTTTTTTAATTTACATACTTTTAATTACTGCTTACTAAAGAACATATAGGTACTTTTTACGTTATAATTAACTAATTGATTGAAAATTTAAAATTACACATTAAAAAATTTAACTTTGCCTTTTCTTTATTATTTTGGAATAAATTAAAAAATAATAATTTAGTCAGAGTACAGTATTCTTCATCACACATAGTGTGCTGTGGGGAATGCCAGGCTCTGGTTGGTTTATTGCTTTTTACAGAGATCATTTAAATAAAATAGAAATTTCTATAGAGAGTAGAAAATGTAAAGAAACACCCCCTAATACACAGTGTGCACCAAGTATCATTCTATGTGTATACTTCTGTAGGTATTTTTTTTTAAAAGATACTTGATACACCCTGTAGAATATAATCTTACACCTAGCATAAATATTTAGCATACATAATTAGTGGTAATTAGTAGAGCTTAAGCTATTGTTAGTACTTTTTAGGTCTTATTTTTTTTTAATCTTACTGACCATCAATACGGTTTTTATCTTCAAAATCTTCAATATGGGTGGAAAATTCATCATCTATACATGTTATATTAACAGAATGTAAGTCTAAATAAGCGGAATCTGGCTCGAATAAGGATTTATCAAGCTTAATTTTTTTTAGTTTTTTTGAACGGGGAAAAGTGGTAAATCCTGAAATATTAATTATGATGAGTTAAATTTGTAATAAAATATTTTTAATCAATAGGTTTGAAATATTTACATAATAAACACATTATTCTTATCTACTTGGGTATGTATGTTTTTCTTATCTATAAAATATGTAGTAGGTATTTTTGAACTAAAAATCATTATTTTGCTTGTTTTTATATAGGTGAGTTGTAATATTACTTTATCTAGATATTATAGAAGTTTTTAATATTACTTTAAATTGACTTTATAATATTATGACAGAAAAATCCATACTTATACAGGTCTAAGTGAATTCTTAGAGTTATATTAGGGTATTAGGGAAATAAGTACACATTTTTTAACTAAATTTAGATGCCTAGTTTTCCAGTGAAGAACTTAATTCATTATTCTGGAAAGTACATTTGAATTTAATTTATTCATTCTCATAGAAGAAACAGTTTTGGTCCTAAATCAGAAATAGGCTCATAAAAATAATTTTTTTGCTCTTGTCTAGTCTTGCAAAAATCATTCTGTGAAACTTTAACATGTATAAGAGAAACTAAATCTACCTACATTTCAATAATGCTTTCTGGAATACATGGGTTTCTTTTACTAATACTCATGAAATTTAAAAAGTTCCTGTAATAAATATATGTATTTACTAAATTTTATTTTGTTTTGTTTAAACAGACCAGAAAGTATTGCTATGCAAAACTTTCTAACCCTGATACTGTTATAAGCCAATTTACCTACACTGTAATAATTCATTTCTGAGACAGCATGAAACAAAAATTATTAGAATGTTTCTGAATCAGAACTTCTGATTACCTTTTGGTACCTGTTAAAAAGGTGATAGCTATTTACCTAACCCCCATATAAATAAATAATAATTCACCAAATATATATATTTATACAGGGTGTTTAAAAACAATGTTAACTTGCACTGTTTTAAAGATACATGGTGTTTGTAATTTTTTTTTGCTTTTTGGATATTCTTGGGCTATTTAAAAAAAAACTTGCACCATTTTAAATATACATGGTGTTTGTTATATTTTTTTTTGTTTTTTTTTGACGATATCTCAGGGACCAATATAAAGAACTCAGCTTTTGTATACATCTTATCCATTAACATTAGCTACTTTTTGAGCCCTAATTTAATTTCAAAGCAAAGTAGTTATGAGATAAAAAAATTGAATAATAGCTTAAAAAGTTATATGTCTACAAGTTTTGTTTCTTAAATGGTAACTGAGATATTGTTAAAAAACATTAAATTTTGGACATCCTTTATCTTGAAAATGGTGTGTATGAGGACCCTGATTTCTTAGAAGTAGGCAGGGAGTCCCACCCTCTATTTTCTGACACATCTTTTGAAACACCCTGTAAATAATTTTGTATGATTTGTACCTAGGGATTTGTAATTACCTCAATAATTTTTGTAGACATGTAAAATCAATTATATTTTATCAAATAATGTTATTTTATTTTAAATTGTGTAGGTATGAAGGTACATCCCAATTTATTAATAAATATTTAAATGAGAATTGCCTCACCTGACAAAGTATCATTATAATCCCCTATAGAATCATTTAATTGTTTATCGAATATATCCTGATAATCACTGTTGGATCCCAATGTGCTGCTATGAGCCTGGGGATTAAAGCTATTCTTTTCATGATTGGTTTTACTTTTTGGCTTTTCAGGAATCAAATCAGGAAAATCAGGCGAAATGGGCGAAGTCGGCGAAATCATTAACGGATGAGAATTTGTAGCATTCTGGCTGATTGAAGTACTAATAAATACGATATCGTTACATTTATCGGTACGATTTTCGCTTAAATTAATATCGTGGCTTCTTGTATTTGGACTAGAATTTATTATATCTTGACTAGATTGTTCCACGTTCACGGAATTGTCCATTTTCGCTAAAATTATACTGAAACAAGGGGTTTTAACTGAGGTTTCACTATCGGTTTGATTGATAAATAAATATTTTACATCTTATATTTGACAAAACGTCAACAAAACTGTCAGTTAACTGTCTTAAGTTGACAGGAAACACGGATAAAAAAGGCATCTATCCTCGTTAATTCAAATGTAGTTTAGCAACCCCCAGGTAGGTGGCGCTGCTTATAATTTAATTTAAAATTTCCCTCACTTTTCAGTAAATTTACGTTTTTGGTTTTCAAGAAAGATAAACATTGGGTTGAGATTTCCGCACAGTTTTAGTAAGATTTATCTGTTGTGTGAAGCAAAAATATTCTTGTTATCGTCTTTGCGAATGTTATACATGGTGTTAAGTTTAACTAAATTTAAATAATAACGGGCAATGTTAATGGTGAAAATTATGTCAAAAATGTTTATTGGGATGGTTACTTTATTTTCGTGTAGATGTCGCTTTATACAAATATTTAATTTTTAATCATTTTTTAGATTATATCCTAGGGATTATATTTTTCGTAAAAAAATTATAGTATGCAACTTGTTTATAAACTTTTCTAGGCACTCATTTAATTAAGCAAATGGCGTTTTTCATATTTGATACATTATATACCTACTATTTAAGTTTATGTAAATAAAAATTCAACATTTTTGTATTCCGCATTTTTTCTCTGTATTGTTTAATTACATAGGATATCCTATATATGTTTATAATATATATTGTTATAGAATATAAAAATATGTCTATACTTATAAGGAATTCCTAATAATTATTTTTAGTACCTATACCCATGTCCATTGCTAATGTAAAACCATATGTGTAAAACGACAAAAATGAGTATTTTTATTGTTTTTTAAATAAAAAACCGATTGCATGTTAAAAGCTTTATTGAGTTATATAAAATGCGGAAAGGCACCTAAAAAGACAATTGAACAATCCTGTTATCACAATCCGTAACCTGTTAAAAAGTGGCTGATTTTTTTGTATTAATAAATTTTACATTAGAAAAACAACAATATATACAGGTTTTTATATACAATTATTTTGACTTGAAGAACACTGGAAATCAAATGATATGTTGTTTATAGAGTTTATTTTGCCTAGAGAATATCAAAAATGTTGGACAGACAATATAAATATCCATTGGTACAAAATTATTTACAATAAAACATAATAAATAAATAAGAAAATACTAAGGTATTATTACGATCATTCTAATACAATTAATAGTACTTGGGTGCTTCCATTAAAACACCTTGAACATTATTGGTCAGTCTTGATGTTATTTAAGAGTCACTGGTTACATCCTTTTCTTCCTTTTCTGCATCGACATCCATTGGAGTTGATTCAGTATCAGATCCCTTCACCTCCAAGTCTAAATGCTTCTCACCTTCCTCCTTCTCGCAAGTTTCTTCCTTCTTTGCGTCTAACTCATCTTCGGGCGGTTCCGTTACGATCGGGGGATTCTTTTCGACGGAATCGTCCGAATCGCTGTCGGAATATTTCTCCGATTCCGACGTGGAGACGTTCTCTATTGCTTTGGGAGCCATGGTGGATAGTTCGAGCTGGGGAGCGGAGGGTTTCTTCTTGCGCGCCGGGTTGAACACCGAGCAGTAACAGCACCGGAACGATAAGAATTCGAACTCTTCTTTAAGAGCCATGCCTGAAGAAAATTCCACCATTTAAAAAATTACAAAGGGGTTGGGACATGCAATTTTGTATTACGCATACGCATACGAATTCGATATTCGTATTTTCCGACGTTTATCAAACAACTTTAAAGAACGCTGCAGCGTTTTGAAAAACGCAAGATTTAAAACGCTTCGATGACCTTGGAGCGCGTGACGTCACAATACTTTAGTCGAGTGCCTTTGTCCTTATGCAGGGTTGGAAAAATTCTTGGTTTTTTATATAAAATCCACTGCTTTTTTAGGTTTTATTGTTTTTGTTAATTAAATACAGATTTTGGCAAAAAACAACATTTAAAAAGAAATACTGTTATAAGAACAAATAAAGTATTTTTACAATGAAATCTGTATAAAAATAAGGTAGTGAAAATTTTATACCTTATTTTCGCGGTCGATGGTCATTCGTAAATTACCCCAACTTTAAAATTAAATTTTGTTTGATCATTTGTTGGTATTCTAAATTAGAATTTCTAATATTAATATTATTAATTATTAATAAATATATATTAAAGTAGTACCAGCGCTTTATGCGAATGTTCTTTTAAGTTTTAGCTAACGACTTAATGAGTGTATTGCTTTTAAATACATACATACATATAAATGTGTTTTTGAATAAACTAGAGGCACAGCAGAGTAAATACATGAGAGCCATAACGTCCGCCCCATGGTTCGTCACAAATGCCCAGCTCAGAAGGGAGCTTGAACTAGAACCACTTATCACCACCATTGGCAAATTCACAGAAGCCACACTACTAAGAGCCGAGCTCATAGATAACTCCCTTCTGACTGGGTCTCTGGACTACAATCCAAACAATCGCAGGAGACACAGAGGAAAAAAAAGGTAAAATATTTAAGTTTACGAAAAAAAAACAAAAAAAATGAAAAATACCCACTTAAGAAAAACCCTGAGGGCTTTTTCAAGTGGGTTTTACCTATTGATGTAAAGAGAAAAAAGTAACATGGTACTATGACTATAAGTTTCATTTTATTTCAATGTTTTTTCCATGGATAACTTGACAGAATAAATTTTTGTAGTTATTATTGTGCATTTTTCTACTTAAAATTTTTGAGGGGTGGTGAATCTAGTGCCGTGCTTAGATTTTGTTTAAAAAAATCGCCAATATGAATCCTTAAAAATTTACTTTTAAAAAACTGACAAAGTAGGCCTTTTAATTTGTACAAATATTGCGTTTTTTGCTCCAAAAATAGTTTATCAAGATCTACACTTTAAAACAAGTTCGGTTAAAATCGCACAATAAATAAAGATTTTACAGGGGTGAGTCGCAAATACCAACGTATGTGGCTTTGTCGTGCGTTTAAAATTCATCTCGTGGAAGAAATTTTTTTTTGCTGGGAACATTAGACTGTGCAGCTTAGCTGTAAAACGACGGTTTTTAATATAAATCTCCCATTTTTGTTGGTACAACTTTAGAGTTTGTATGCTACTATGGTGTAATAAAGACACGTCATAAATTGTTTTTTTAATATTTTCATAAAAAACCAAAAATACAAACGCTATTTTAATTATTATGTGAGTTTATTTTTAATTTGAAAAATTTCTTTACATCGCTAGTTTTACCTACTGGGCAGCCAGCCCTGGAAATATGAGATCGTGGTTTTAATAAAAAAGAATAATTTTTTTATGACACAATGGAATTATTGGTCTGCGATTATTAAATTTTTAATAAATATTGAAAATTTAGTAATTTTAAAATATCTTGGAAATAAGGAAATTATGAGAATTTTGGAAATCTTAAAAATATGAGAAAATTTGACAATTCTGATTATTTTGTTGATTTTGAACATTTTAATAATTTTGTAAATCTTGAAAATTAAGTAATTTTTGTAAATTAAAAAAAATTGGAAATTGTGAAAACATAGAAAATTATAATAATTTAGGAAATTTAAAAATTTTGATAATCTTGAAAATTTGTCTTTAATTAGTAATTAGGGGTGGGCAAAATCAAACCGTCGATTATTTTTTTATAATCCATTATTTGATTAATCGATTATTCAATTATTGACTAAGCAAGTATATTATTTTAGTATTATTATTTTACATTCTATCAGAATTTTTACTTATACCTAATTATCTAATCATAATAATTATTTAATTGTTAAAATTAAAACTATAAAATATGTAAATAGCAATAATATGAGCAATTGAGGAGCATTTTTATGATTTATGCTAGGTTTAAAAAATGCTGCTAAAAATTTTAAACTTGTATTGCATGCACAATATAGGTCTTAAGTATTAAAAAAACAAGACAATTAATAATTTAATCGATTAATCAGTAATCGATTAATGAAATAATTGATTAATCGAAAAAATTGAATATTTTAGATAATCAATAATCGATTATGAATTTCGATAATCGCCCAGCCCTATAATTATTATATACTGCACGTCAAAATAAACGCATAATAAGTAAAAAAAAATCGAAAACGCCTTTACCAATCTTTATGAAATTTTGTATAAAAATACTTCAACCTATATCTCAGTTTACGTGTTCGAGGGTTTTTCGAGAAAATATTTTTATTTAATAATTAAAAAAACGTTCGAGGAATAACTTTAAGTTAATTTTTTTAAGTAAATAAAAAATATGCTGTTAAAGACCGTATTTTCGTTAGTATACCCTGAAAATTTTGTACAAATCAAACGAACAGTAACGAAGATACAGCGCTTCAAAGTCGGTAAAAATGACCCCTTTTTTATTAAATAATAATAATAATAATAGATATTTATTGATTATCACATCATACATAAAAATAATATATAACAATAACAATCAAAAGGCCATTGACCTAAGTCCTTCAGCCATGGCACATTAGTAAACAATCTTTACTGTTTATAAATTAAAGGAAACAAAACGTAAAAATCTAATTTAGTTATACAAAAAAAAAAAAATTAAACATAACGTAAACAAACTTGTGTGATTATTCCATCAAAGCCAGAATTACTGTTTCTTCTATGATCGATCTAGTGGGATATTTGATTGTCCTACGTATTTGTGGATCTCGTGGAAGTGACACTGGGTCCAAAAAATGATTGTTGGCTTCCCTCAAGGAAAAGTTGGTGGCCAGCTTAATTAATCTTTCAGAAATTGGAACGACCTGTAGTTTATTGTATAGCAGTGCGTTGGGCGGATTGTACAGTGGATTTCCAGGGTGTCTCAATTTCGTGATTTTCCGTAGTGAGGTAGTTTCACCTACTTCAAGGGTTTTTAGTGTGGGTTTTTTGGAATTAATGAATAGGGTGGGAGCATATTCTAGGATAGGTCTGCAGATGGATTTGTATATAATGGCGGCGGTTTTGAGATTTATACCATTGTTTTTCTAAGTGAGACATCTGAATTGGCTGGCTCTGGAGACATTTTTTTTTGGCACTGTTGACATGTTGTTTATTATTTTTCTGAAAAGTGGTATTTTTTGACGACTTTGAAGCGCTGTATTATCGTTACTGTTCGTTTGATTTGTACAAAATTTTCAGGGTTTACTAACAAAAATACGGTTTCTTTATTTACTTAATAATAAATTTCCTTATAAAAGTTTTTTTTCGAGCATTTTTTATTATTAAATAAACGGGCTTTAAGGATATTTTCTCGAAAATCCCTTGAACACGTAAACAAGTTGAAGTATTTTTATACAAAATTTTATAAAGATTGGTAAAGGCATTTTAGAGTTGGATTTTTTTATTTGTTATGCGTTAATTTTGACGCGCAGTGTATATACAGTGTGTCGCACTTAAGATGAAGACACCCCCATATTTTCGCTATTTGAAGGAATATAGGTTTGAATTTTTTCACATTCATACATGTTGATGGGTCACATTTTTTAAGCTACTCAACTGAAATCTGAACTTTAAACTTGGCCTACTACAAATTCACAAACGGGGCCAGTTGTCGATATTTTGCTTCGCGTTAGAGATATCGAAAAAAGTTATTGGAAAAAGTTGTTCAGAATATTATTCTAACCCCATATACCCATTTTTATAACAAAATTCGCATTTTTAATTTTTTTTTATTTTGGTCCACACAAAATTCATTTTTTAGTTTGATAATAAGGGAGCCATGGAAAGTAATAATTTGATACTAACTAGTGTTTATGACCGTTAAATAAATAATTAAAACAATTTTTGGAAATTACAAATCAATTATAATTTATTAAATTAAGGAAATAGTATAAAACAATAATAAAACTAATACAAATAAATAAATTAGAAATGCGAATTTTGCTATGAAAATCGGTATACGAGGTTAGAATAATATTCTTTTCTTTATATTTTTTTCTAATAATTTTTTTCGATATTTCTAACGCGAAGCAAAATATCGACAACTGGCCCCGTTTGTGAATTCGTAGTAGGCCAAGTTTAAAGTTCAGATTTCAGTTGAGTATCTTAAAAAATGTGACCCACCAACATGTATGAATTTGAAAAAATTCAAATCTCTATTCCTGGAAATAGCGAAAATATGGGGGTGTCTTCATCTTAAATGCGACACACTGTATAATTATATTTATATATTATTATATCCCCTGTTCAAAACGATTTAAAGTTAAAAAAGAATTTGCCTCACCATTGTGACTGCTGCACGCCTTGCAAATGAGCGCGAACCTATTCGAGGGCCCGTCTCCGACCAGATAATCGACCATCTTGTCGAGCACGCCCCTGTCCCGTGGCAATACGCCCCTTGGCAAAGGCAAAGGGGTGCCAGGGATCATCGACATAGACATCTGGGTGGCATTTGTCATGCTTTTTACCATCGGCATTGGCCGTTGCTGCTGGATACGACTCGGTTGGATCGGCGTTCCCGAATGAGTCAAGGGCGTTATGGGGTTGCCCATCGATAGACGACCACGAGCTTGGGGCACGTATCTTTGTCTCAGACCTGGAAAATATTTATAATATGTAATTAACAATAATACTGTGGATCCCATTGATCTAAGTCTTAAGGACAAAAGGACAAAATTAAAAGTAGGCTTGTCTTTTTAAATAGCGTTTTAAAATTTTAATATGGTTTGATAAAATTAATTTTTACCATTTTAAATAAACTTTGACCTTAAACAATCTTGACATTTTAAAATAAGTTCGGAATTTGTGTTTTGACATTCCTAAATTTGTTTACGTATATATATATACACTTGTATATAACACCATAATTACATTGTTTGCTGAGATATCCAGGGGCGTAGCTACCGCGGTATCAGCCGTATTAATGATACGGGGCCCCGGGTAGGGGGGGCCCGATTGACTTCAACATGCTTAAGCAAAAAACCTATTACCCACATGTTGAGGCATGAAATTAAGTAAATAAATAATATTTTTATTTAAATGTTTATACTTCGATTTATTAAATTAAAATTTTCCTGAATACCCTCCTGTTCCAACGAGGCCGTGAACTCATACGAATTGTTTCTGCCCGCACCTTTCCGCTATGCGTTGTCTGCGCATATTGTTCTGTGCTCTGCGCCGCATACTGAGTCTGCTTTGCGTGTTATTATCATAGGTTATATTAATAGCAAATTAGAAATAATTATTAGCGTTACAATTATTTCAAATGACTTGCCTTTATTGTAAAATAGAAACCTATTAAAAGATTTTGAAGAACGGTAAATGTCTAAAACCAGACCAAATTTTAAAATTTGCTTGTACATAAAAGGCTATGTATATTTATAAAATTATAAAAAATTGGTAAATGCAAAAAAATGATTCCCTAAAAAATTTGTGACACCCAGAATTTTTTTTGCCAGCAGCTTTCCCCTACCAGATTTTTGATACGGGGCCCCCCTCATGGCTAGCTACGCTACTGGTGATATCACAGCAAATCACAAATAATAAGAAAAATAAATATATTTACATATTATTCTTAAAGCTATACAGAATGTTATGTAATTAATGTTATATATTAAAATGGGTCGTTCCTTAGGGTCCATAAAACCAAAAAGTACGCCACTGATCTACAAGGAACTTTAGGCTAATCTGGTTGCCTAATTTAATTCATTATGTTATGGTTGGTAACAAACAGCGTTTCCAGATTCTGTCAAAAAAAGTTGCCAGATTTTGTTTAAATTTAGCTTAATTACAAAAATGACAAAATCAACAATGCAAATTGTTAATTTGGCATTTTTATTAGTTGTTGATTATGTCATTTTTGTAATTTTAGGTTATGTCACATAACTTATGTGGTCAAATTGTAAATATCTTAACTAAGGGAAGTGCTTTTGGATTTATTTAAACGAATTGAATGTTTAAAGTTTAACCTGTGAACTTGTCCTAATTTCATCTGAGTTAACAGAAAGAAAAAAACCGATGAAAAAATTAATTTTGTGGTTATGGAGTTTTTAAAATAGGTACTAAATTTACTATTAGTAAATTACTATTAGTAAATTAGCTATTAGCTTAAGTAATGGCAATTTGCAAGACACATTTTTAGTAACAAATTTTTACGACTGGCAACGCGCAGTTACTTTGTTTTTTGGTATCTTTGTACTCACAGAACACAAGTGTGTAACCAGTGGCGTATCACAAAAAAATATAAAAAACTTGTAATGCAATTCTTTATTTTGGGCAAATAGTTTTATAAATATTTTTTAGTTACACCTAATGCCAAAAGCCTTTTGACAAAAGGTATTCAGTATTTTAATATATTACATTAGTTACGTAACACCCTGTATATACAGGGTGTACCAGAACTCGCGCCACAGAAAAAAGGGGGCGTGTTGATAGCAATGGAGATGCCAAATTTAAAAATATGAAATCGAATGAGAGAAAAAATCGACAGCCAATACCGAAAGCTCTCGCCTAGGTTAAACATAGGAGCTATAAACATTGCTAGGAGAAAATAGAACATTGTTGTCTTAAATTCTTTAAAAATATTTTGGCTAAATGTTTTTACTAACTTTTCAAAAAGGAATGTCACACTTCAGGATGCCAATGTTTTAAATAATTTAATTATTAAAAATTAAACATCTCTATTGAGATTTTGGCTCTGGGGAACATTTAAAACATTGGTGACCTGAAGTGTGACATTCCTTTTTGAAAGGTTAGTAAAACAATCAGTCAAAATATTTTTAAAGAATTTAAGACAACAATGCTCTATTCGCGACCTGAGAATTAGATTGTTTATCTCCCAAAATTTAAAGAGGAACAAATAGCAGTTTAAAGTATAATTTATATGCAAATGAAATTTTAAAAAGCTGTTTTTCCGTGTCAGATTTTTAAAAGAAAGAATCTCCCAAAACCTAAACACGGAAAAACAGCTTTTTAAAATTTCATTTGCATATAAATTAAACTTTAAACTGCTATTTGTTCCTCTTAAAATTTTGGGAGATAGAACAATCTAATTCTCAGGTCGCGTATTGTATTCTGTAGTGGTTACTATAGTAACCACTACCCACTCTAGCGGGATTATCTTCCGGCTGCAGCGTGCAACTTCCCTTATGCTCTTCCTACTATTTGCAGCAAAGGCATTGAAAATAGCTTATTTATTTTCCGCTGTTTTAATACATTAAGGAGCACCTTCAATTTCGCGCAGAATAACTTTACAGTCCAAGGGACGATCGGGAAAGAGCTGGGAAAAACATTTTTTTATATTGTTTTAATTGTAAATTTTTTCTCAGAATTTATTTATCCAACCAAAAAAAAATTAAAGTTTTTCAAAAAAAGCTATTTTTTTTTAAATTTAATCTTAAAACTTGACTAAATGGCACGTTTTTTTTTAAATTTTGATTTTGAATGTATGTTCTTTTCAGAAAAACATAAATTTTTCAGGTTGGCACTTTAGAATTATTTTTCTTTCTATATTTTGTTCAATTAAAAAACTCCATAATAAAATCAATTTAAGTACATACATTTACTTAACCATTTAAATTAAATTTAAATTTTATCCGAAAATTTGAATGAATATTTGTATAAGCCTAACGTACGTCACGTAGGAATGACGCCCCCCTTCCCCTCGTCAAAATTGACAACACATCGTCACCTGAGAATTATAGTGTTCTATCTGCATTTTCTTTTTTTTATTCAGGTTAGTCTTGTTTTAAGTCTTAAAGATGATATTGATCTATCTATATATAATTGGGGTAGAAATTGTAAAGTTTAAGGCTTAAACTGTACAATTTCTACCCCAATTATATATAGATAGAACAATATGCATCTTTAATACTTAAAACAAGACTAACCTGAATAAAAAAAAGAAAATGCAGATAGAACACTATAATTCTCAGGTGACGACATGTAAAAGTATAAAAATAAATAAATAATGTATTCATTAATTAATATTCACACTGATAAATTTATTAAAGGAACAATTTTATTAAAACCTGTTCAAGTAGAAATATAGATACAACTTTTTTATCTGCAAAGTAATATAAAATTTTATACAAAAGATTGTTTTATTATTTTTTGTGTCACAATTTGATAAACTTTCCTTTCTGCAAATAATGCACATTTTTTGATACAGTTAATTAACAAAGAGATATCTTGGCCTTTACAAAAACTGTTTCCAAATAATGCTGATTAAGAAAGTTGCCAATCACACTTTTTGATTATTAAAATGATTTAGTGAAATAGCTTATTATAAATTAGTTTTAAAAACGCTCATTTAAACAATTTAAATTTGGATTTTCCAAGGCTGGGTAATGTATAATTATAATTTCACTTACCTATGTTAATATGTAAATTATGATAATGTTTATAATCAGTACCAACAAATTAATACATAAGAAATTTCAATCTTAACAGTGAAAGTAGGAAAAGGAATAATTTAGTAATATAAATAAAATCTTCCTACCTGTTTCACTATTTCCTACTGATGGAGTCCTTGGTACAATTTCCATTTTTTTCTTGGGTTCTTGAGCAAATTTATCCAAAATTAATTTTGCAACTTTGTAAGTTTCAGTTTCCATAACATTATCTATCATTTTCTTTTTTTGCTCATTTAAAGAAACCAACTTATTCTGATTTTTACGAATTTTCCTGTTGTAATACCAAGTTAATATACGTTTCATAAACCATATTCTAAAAACAATAATTTGTAGACGTTGTAAGAGAGTTTTAGGACATTTTAGAGAGTGGTACTTACATTAATGGTGAAACTAGAAGTGGAAACAAACATAATGCCTTTTGCTGATTTGTAAGAAAATTGAAATAAAAATATAAAGTAGTTAAAAATATAATATAAGCAAGTCCACCAAATACTAATAACCTTCGGACAAATCTTTTTTGCCTCTCCTCTGTATTTCTCTTAAATTCATCAATAGATTTGATTTCATTTTCTAATTTTTCTAGCACTTCATAGGTACTTTTATTTTTCTAAAATGACAACATTAACAACATTATTTTTTGTTGTTTTCTACTTACTCTAAACTTCCCTATTATTATACCCATCTTAAATACAAATCGACTGTATAAATTAATTCAATACAATGAATAAGCAAAGGATTTCATTTGATATGGCAAAAAAGCAACTTCCTATATAACCTAAAAATAGGCGGTCAATTAAATTACTGTTGAGCATCACTTAATTACAATTATAGATTACCTAATGTCTATTTATATTGGTATTTTCTATTTTAAACCATTTTTATTAAAAAATTTAACATATTTTTAAACTGCCCAGTGGTGACAGAACAACAAATATATCTCTGTACCAAACTACTGGATAGGGAATTTTGGGTTTTTGAAATGTTACTAAAAATACCTGAGGTGACGTTGCCAAACGTATTAAAAGTAACAATTTAGGAGAATTTTATAAATAAAATTAATTAATTTAGACTGGGTTGTTTTTTATTATATGGAAGGTAAGCACAATAAAAATGTCTTAAGGATAAAAATTTTTATTTAAAATTAAAATTTCAACAATAACAAAAAAATTATGTTGTTTCAATTTGAGGGGGGGCCAAGGACTGGTATAATTTTGAAACGGCAGTTTGGACGATTTGTTGGAATGTTTCATCTCCAGCACATTTAACTTCCTAAAATTTCAATAAAATATGTAGAAAATATATAATATATATATGTTTTTAAAACTTACCAAGTTAGTTAAATCAATATCTGCTTTTTTATCATTCACAGTAACATATAATTTTTCTCCCTTAAATATTTTGGGTACAGAATCTTCACCAAACATTTCTTGAAGCATTTCGATTAAACATTCCTAAAAAAAATAAAACACTAAAAATGGTAAAAAAATCCAAAAACCTGGAAATCATTTAACAAATCGACAAATGGGCAAATTAAAATTCAGTTAGAAATTGTTTCATACAAAATGTGATACAAAATGTGGTACTAATTTAAAATAAATATTATACAGAGTAGCCTGAAAATAGCAATTTTACACCATACCAAGAAGTTTATTATATGTACAAATATTATTATAATTTTTTTAAGTAATAGTTAATTTTTTTTATTTACAAAGGCCAGTATATTCACCCCCCTTTAAATTTACTAGATGGATAAGTGTCAAAGTTACAATTGCTGATATAATTGTAACATATATGACAATTAAGCATTAGGTAAATTTAGTGAATATATAAAATCAAATGAAAAGTTAAAATTTGTTAACAAAGTTAAGATATTAAATTTAAAGTTTTGATTTTTCAACACAAATTGTCAAATTGTTAAATTGTCTTGGGGAAGATAAAAATTATCATAAAAGAAATATACAATTCTTAAGTATTTAATAGACTCACTGAAAAAAGTTTATGGTTCCCAAATAAAAAGAATAATTAAATATGGGACAGAAGCATTGTTTATTTATCCTAAATATATTTTTATTCCTGACACATAAAGTTTCACTAAAGTAAATTTATCGTTATTATTTCGACTATTTAGAGGTAATAAACAATATATTCACTATTCATAAAAAGTATTAGCTACACAGTTTATTTATCCCATTTTTTCTCAGTGCAGGATGTCCCGAAAATGAGGGGGGTTATTTTAAGTTTAAAAAATATATATTTTATGACAAGAATTAGTTTTATTATTTATTTATATTACGATTCAAAAACTCAAGTGTTGTACTTTCAAGAAGACTTGTGTACTTACTTTTAAGGCAGTATTTAAAAAAGTTTTGAGGGGGTTTAGTTACAAAAAACCGTTGCAAAAAAATTAAAAATCAGTATACAAGCCATTTTACTAAATATACAAGGTGATCCAAAAGGCACCTTCAATAATTTGAGAATCATGAAAAACGGTAAAAAAGGTAAAATTAATTTTCCTAATTAAATTATATTGAAAACTTAACAGTTTTAGATTTTTTTTCTCTAATAAGAGATATTATTACCCCTGATTGTGGTATTAAAACTAATTTAATGCCTTACTGTGGTACCCATTAAAAAACAATTCACAAAAAATTTCAATAAAATATGTTGTTTAGTTTAGAAATTATTATTAAAAAAAATATATGCAACTTTAACACCTTATAATTCTGAAAATGTTGAGTTTTCGATATAAGTAAGAAAATTAATATTATTTCAACGATTTTTATTGATTCTCAAAGGTTTCTTTTGGATCACCCTGTATACAGATTTTAATCGGGGAAATTTAATAGTAAAAATAACTCGCAAAAATAAGACGAAAAGTTTATATGAACTTGTATGCTTTGAAGCTTTGTTTTTGAGATATAGGGTGTTAAAATTTATTAAAAAAAAATATGGTCACTCCACTGCTTTTTTGATATCATAATTAAATTAAGTAATTAAATTTACATATTTTTTGTCTCCTGCATTTTTCTCTATCTTGCTTACTTTTCAAGAAAAAAGCAAATAAATGAATTGACTTTTTTTGATTTTCTTAAAAAAAAATTTTAAGGTGATAAAATATCATTATTTATTATTTTTCTAGATTTTAAACTGTTTATTATGATTTTACAAGTTTTACTTTGATATTTTCCTATAATCTAAAAGAAATTATTTTAAAGAATTATACAGTATGTGTCAAAAATAGCGCAAGTTGTAGGGGGGATATTTAGGTATAAAAAATAAAAATTTGTTACTGACAAATTGTTTTTTTTTATTTTAATTTTTTAAGGATATTAGTTAAGTATAAAACAAAATTTTCAAATAACGTTTCGAAAATTAAAACTTTTTATTAAAAAGTTAAATTTTTAATGATTAAAGTTAGGATTTTCTGACAAAAACTGGCAAGATGAAAGATTTAGTTTTTGTCAGAAAACCCAAACTACGAGCCCTAACCACATAATGTTCAGACACTTCATAATTTATACAGAAATTTTTTTCGTGAATACTATCTCAAAATTATTAGAAGTTATGAAAAATTCAGCTTATTTTGGCATATACCCCTCGAAGCGATTTTTATTTTTAAAAAGTTTACCTTTTATTTTTAGCTTTTAAAAAAAGGCTAACTTTTTAACTTTTTTTTGCATGAGTAAAAAAAGTTATAAATGGGCCCATTAAAAAGAACATAAAATATTATACAAACCCTGAAAATTTGGTAAAAATTGTATAAATAATAAGAAAGTTATAGCGATATATATAAATTGCAAAAACTCTTTAAAAATAGCATTTTTAAATTACTTATACTTTTTTATAACTTATTTATTTTTTACCAAATTTTCAGGGTTTGTATAATATTTTATGCTCTTTTTAATGGGTCTATTTATAACTTTTTTTACTCATACAAAAAAAAGTTAAAAAGTTAGCCTTTTTTTAAAAGCTAAAAATAAAAGGTAAACTTTTTAAAAATAAAAATCGCTTCGAGGGGTATATGCCAAAATAAGCTGAATTTTTCATAACTTCTAATAATTTTGAGATAGTATTCACGAAAAAAATTTCTGTATAAATTATGAAGTGTCCGAACATTATGTGGTTAGGGCTCGTATAATCATTCAAAAATTTTAACTTTTTAATAAAAAGTTTTAATTGCAATGTTCTGTGATGTTAACTGTATAGCTGTTTTGTTTAAAAGTTTTAAATAAAAACCATAAAGATGTATAAGATTCTTACCTTAAAATGCATTCTATCCACTTTAACACTTGTATACATGTTTTTAATAGGAATGTCCAATAAATCTGCTTGAAGAACAGCTGATACAATTGCATCAGCATACATATCATTTACTGGATTAGCTTCCCACTAAAATAACCAAAAAAATGTCAAAATCATTTTATTATTGTTAACTTATACTTTAGATAAGTTTTCTTCTTTTCGCTACCCAATCCAAGGACCAATTAAATACATTTTGTGTATTAAAATCACTCTTTGGATTAAATAGTGAAAAGAGAACTTATATGCTAAGAAAACTCCAATAAAATATTTACCTCCAAGGTAATAATTTTCGGTTCAATAGTTATTTCGACCGCGTTAAACGCCTTCATTTTTTTATCCCCATCGATTGGTTCCAACAATCCAGCCACCTGGGTGATCATGTGCCTTAAAACACCCATGTTGCCTTGGTAATGAAGACTCTGTCTTTGCATTATTTGGCTCATACTCATGTCGGTGTATTCTGCAAATTAGTGCTCAAATATGTTATGTGCATGATACAAGAAAACAAGGTATATTCTTGCGCATCTGTTTCAACCACTCCATCAGATTGGCGAAGAGGTGGGAGCACCCAGTCGCCGCCATATTGACTATTTACGTTTTGATGCGAGTTGTTTTTTAAGCTGTTTTTAAGTTTTGTAAGTGTAAAAAATGTCCACCTGCCAAGTGAAAATCTGTAAAAACAATGCCAAAAGAAAAAACCTGGATATCCAATACATTTCCTTAGTATGGGCTTAAAAAAATTGATGTTAAGGATAGTTGGTAGATTTATTTTAAAAACAATTAAATAGCAGTAGTTTGTTAGAGGTACTTTTCTTTTTGTATACTCAGATTATCTGTGACAGATATATAAATAAAAAAATTATTTAGGTTATTATTTTTGTTTGTTTTGTAGCTTGTATTTGTTCCATTTACTTCGAAAAGAAGGAAAATTACATAAAAATAACATAAAAACTACAATCCCATAAAAGTCTTTAAAAGTGGATATGGTTCCAACTTTACACTTAACAGTTGATCTATCAAAAGAGAAATCAAGTACTTTGTAAGAAATTAAAATAAAATTGGAAAAAAACAATATAAATCATAGTTCTTTTTACAGTGTACAAGAAATAGGACAAAACCAAAAAGCATAATATGATCTTTGAAGCCTGTAACAGAAACTCAAGTACTGCAGTGTACGAAATTAAAATAAAATTTGAAAAACAAAATTAATAATTATTTTTGCATTGTGCAGGAAATGTGCCAAGACAAGGAAGCTAATGATCTTCAAGGACAGTCCATAACAGAAACTCAAACTGCAGCATGCTGCTGATAATGAAATGGCCCAGGATTGAAACATCCCAAAAGCATTAGAAAACCAGCTTATACCATACCATAATATAATATTTTTCACAAGTATAGTTTGTTTTATTCAATGTTGGCTCCATGGTGGTCAAATTGTAAATATTTGTAAATACAATTTTGTAATAAATAAATTTAGAAAAATATTTTGTTTACATTTTTCTTCCAATGTTAATTAATTTTGTAACTTGACTAAGATGACCAACTTTCTAAAATGAAAAAGCAGGATAAAACATGCCCCTCCTCGCCCTTGTTTATTATTTAAAAATGTGCTAATAACGTCAATGAAAAAATTAGAACAAATCCTAAAAAAGATGAAAAAACTCATAATTTAAAAAAAAATTAAACGAGGTTTTTCCTTACTTTTTTACTATCCCAAAGGTACTTTCAAAAATTCAGATTTGTAAATTAATTTTTAATCTTAGCCGCGACCACTTTTTTTCAAATTAGAACAAATCCTAAAAAGTTGGGAAAAACTCATAATTAAAAAAAAAATATAGGAGGGTTTTTCTTACTTTTTTACTATTCTGAAGGTACTCCAAAAAATTCAGATTTGTAAATTAATTTTTAACCAGTGCCCCGACAACTTTTTAAAATAATAATAGAACAAATCCTAAAAAAGTGAGAAAAAGTCATAATTTTTTATAATATTTTTTCAACGAGGTTTTTTCTTACTTTTTTACTCTTTTAAGGGCCGGTTTATCAATGCCTAGTTAGAGTTGCAGTCAGTTATCTGGTAGATAATTTCCATGGAAACCATTGTTCTCACAACAATGAAATATGAAATTTAAGATAGACTAACTGAAATTTAACCAGAGATTGATAAACCGGCCCTAGGTAGTTTCAAAGTATTAGATTTTTAAATTAATTTTTAACCTGAGCCCTGACTAATCCAAAAAAAATAAGAACAAATTCTAAAAAAGTGAAAAAAACTCTTAATTAAAAAAAATTGAAACGAGGTTTTTTCTTACAATTTTACTATCCTGAATGTACTCCCAAAAATTCAGATTTGAAAACTAATTTTTAACCAGAGCCCCGACCACTTTTTAAAAAAATAATAGAACAAATAGTGAGAAAAATTTATAATTATTTATAATTATTTATAATTTTTTTTTTCAAAAGAGGTTTTTTCTTACTTTTTTACTCTCTTCTAAATGTACTTTCAAAGTTTTAGATTTTTAAATTAATTTTTAACCTGAGCCCCACCCACTTTAAAAAAATAACGTCAATAATAAAAAAATTAGTATAAAAAACCAAGACCAAATCTGTAAAACCAGGACAAAACCAGTACACAATTAAAACCAGGACACATTAGCAAAAACCAGAACCTGTCCTGGGTAAACCAGGATGGTTGGACACTTTTAATTTAATTCTTTATATTTGCTTTAAAACAGGATATTTTATTTTATTGATAACATTTGACTTATAAATGGCTTTAAAACAAGATATTTTATTTGAAAACCCATTATTTAAAAAATTTAACATTAAAATTAAATTTTTCTTTTTTCTTTTAGTAAATATTTACTTTAAAAGAATACATTTTATTTGATTGAAAACCATATAAAATAGTTTATTTCTTGATTAATATTTTATTGAAATAAAATTATTCGATAATTTAATCTAAAAACCGAATAATTTTATAGCAATTTGGATAAATTTCATAAGAGAATAATATTTAAATTTAAAATACCATTTAAATTCAAAGGGGGGAATTTCGTCCTACTGAAGAACATACCTTGTTTATGTTTTTCCACGGGTACTTACTTGACAGGTCATCTGCAGACAAGATGTGGTAGTTGAAGTTCCTCTTCACAAGGATACCGGAAAGGGTTTTTCCGGCCTTGGGGCCTTCAACAGCCAATGAGCCCATGACTTTGGCGGTTTTTTCTCCTCTAAAGTACAGTTCTACCGAGTGCGTGTTTCGGGGGTTATGCAAATTAATTGTTGTGTTCGGGTCGTCTTCGTATTCCCTTTGGAGGGCCGCTTTCAAACGGCTCATCTCGTTTTGCTCGCCATGAACCAATACCTGCAGAGTAAAAAATATACAACGTTAAATTGTAATGTTATTCTAAGTACTTACAACATGTGGCGGCTTTAAAATCCTGATAAATTCACTGGTCTGTTGATAATCAGTATGCGCGGAAAATGAAATATAATCAACGGACATTTTTAAGGGTAACTTTTGCCCCAACATAGTCGTAATTTCTTCTGGTTCGGATAGGACGGTTTTTGCCAAGGTGCCCTCAACGCAGTAACCTAATTAAAATAAATTGTTAATACTTTTTTCTTTCATTTATATATATTTCGTAAATTAAATGGGGTAAGTACCGGCAATGATGACACCGTTTTTTGACTCAGTGCACCAAGATTCGAATAGTTCTCTGGATAGTCCGCTCTGCATCATACCGGGTGAAGCCATGATGACGCATGGCCCTATGTCTTCAAAGTGATCAATTCCCTAAAAAGATGTGTAGTCATTTAATTATACGGTATGTCCGGGAAATGTTTGATTCCTTGGCTTGTAAGTTGCTTCGTTTACCCGCTAGAGGGTTAATAGTTTGTAATAAATTTATCCTTAAAATTTCAAAATATTATTGTCCAATTAAAAAGATACAAAGTCGGTTAAATTAGACAAAAATTAAAAAAAAAACTAAAACCCTTTTAAAAACAAAAATCGTTATTAGGTACTTTGTTATTCCTAAAAATATTGAATCAAGGTAAGTTTTACATGTAAACATACACATTAATCTATATTTTCATCCAATTTCTTTGCTACTATGTTTTGAGTTAGGTACCATCACCTGGTGATCACTATCTTTTGTTTTTATAATGGCCGCCATAACTTATGTAGTTTAATACAATACATCATTGGATTCCTTGATTTTTTTGATCTAATCTTGTAAAATTTCAATATGGCGGCCATAGGAAAAACAAAAGATAGTGGTGGTATCTCAAAATCCAATAGGCGACAAAAATCACTAATTGCCAATTTTGACGCGCAGTGTACATTTTTATCCAATTAGTAATTGGATAAAAATGTACACTGCGCGTCAAAATTAACGCATAACAAGTAAAAAAAATCCAACTCTAAAACGCCTTTACCAAACTTTATAAAATTTTGGATAAAAATACTTATATCTCAGTTAACGTGTTCAAGGGTTTTTCGAGAAAATATCCTTAAAGCAATTTTAATTAATAATAAAAAACGCTCGAAAAAAAAACTTTTATAGGGAATATAGTAAATAAAAAATATCCTACAAGTGAAAGACCGTATTTTTGTTAGTAAACCCTGAGAATGTTGTACAAATCAAACGAACAGTAACGAAAATACAGCGCTTCAAAGTCGTCAAAAATGACAATTTTTCAGCAAAATAATCAAAAAGGGGTAATTTTTACCGACTTTGAAGCGCTGTATCTTTGTTACTGTTCGTTTGATTTGTACAAAATTTTTACGGTATACTAACAAAAATACGGTCTTTAACACTATATTTTTAATTTACTTAAAAAAAATCTCTAAAAGTTATTTTTAGAACGTTTTTTTTTATTATTAAATTAAAGGGCTTTAAAAATATTTTTTTGAAAAACCCTCGAACAAGTAAACTGAGATATTAGTTAAAGTATTTTTATTCAAAATTTCATAAAGATTGGTAATGGCGTTTTAGAGTTTGAATTTTTTTACTTATTATGAGTTAATTTTGATGGGCAGTGTAGATAAATGTGTATGTTTCCATGTAGGGTTTTAAAAATTCCGGAAAAAGAGCTGCGGAAAAAAGATTTTATTCCGAGAAAAAAAAACGGAAAAATTGGGAAAATTTCAGAAAACTTGACTTTTGCATTTTATTTTTATTTTATTCAAAAATTGGGAAAATTTGAGAAAAATTGACTTTTGCATTTTATTTTTATTTTATTCAAAAGTCAATTTTTCTGAAAATTTGAAAATTTTGATTATAATTATATAATATTATGATGAATATAATAATTATTCCTTTTATTTTAATTCAGTAAGATTCTATTCTTTTTTGTAACGGGCCGCAAAAGTAACATTACTTAAGGTTTTTTCTATAATAAAGGATTTTTTTTTTATTTTATTTAAAAGGTTTAAAAGATGTTTGCTACTTTTTTAAAATGTGTATATTTTCCAAACAAATTTGGTAATGCTCGTAAACCAGCACCAATTAATATAAAAATTGGTGAAACCTTATCCACTTATCCCTTTAATTAATTTACAGTAATGTTTTAAAACACATTTATGAGCAAAATTGTTCTTAATTTGAATGTGTTTTCGACATGTTAAAACATTATGAATCTTAATATTAATATACGTTTTTTATAAAAATATAAAAGTTTATTTTAACAACCCGCACAGCAACCCTGTGTTCAGCTTTTCTCAGGCCGTGATTTCTCATGAACTGAGAAATGAATAAAAATTAATTTAAAATTATAAATGTTTAAATATCCAATTGCAATGTATTTGTGCTAATATTGTGCAATATAAACATATCCACGTATTTCTATGATTCACAAATATTTTTAATAAGCACGGAATTCCCATGAGGCCAAGCAGCAGATATACGTAAAATATTTTTAAATTATCTACTGTTGAATGATTCGCGCGCGTTGTTGGATGTTTTAACCGCGTTTGTATTCGCTTGATGACCTTGAAAAGTAAGCATAAACAACTCTGTGCCAATTACAATAAATCTTACTTTGGTTATTTCTTAGATGGCTACAAAAACATGGAAAACTCGACTAATAGAAATTTTGGAAAATCACAGAGGCCTTGTGGTGGTGCTTTTTGTCCTACCAGCTGGTTTTATATTTGATCTATTCTTAAAAACCAAAAGAAATATCTACAAAACGCTGTGTAGCAGCCCAGAAAAACACGATGAAAGGGTCAGAATTATACAGCAAAAAGTACAAGAATGGCACAAACAACCAAGTGAAAATAGAAAACTTTTGTGCACATCCAGGCCAAATTGGTTGAGCTTGTCCGTGACGTTTTTTAGAAAAGACTTGTGCCATCAAATACCGATAGATTTGTTTGATATTTTGGAGCTGGATGAAGAAAATATGCATGTTCGTGTGGAACCTATGGTGCAAGTGGGTGAAATCGCAAAGTATTTGATACCTAAAGGGTATACTTTGGCTGTGACCTTGGAAATAGCTGACGCCACACTGGGCGGTTTAGCGATGGGGGTCGGTATGACAACGCACTCCCACAAAGTGGGGCTGTATCAGGAAAACGTGATTTCGTATGAAGTTATCTTGGGGGACGGAAGTTTAGTGACAGCTTCAAGGAAAGAAAATAGTGACTTATTTAACGCCCTGCACGGCTCACATGGCAGTTTGGGGTTCTTAGTGGCCTTAACACTCAAAATCGTGAAAATAAAGCCTTACATTAAGCTAACCTATCATCCTATAAGTCGGCCGTTAAACCACTTTGGCAGGGCTATGAGAATTTTTTCTGGACAACCGCATATGGCATATCCAGACATGCATATACCAGATTTTGTGGAAGCTATTATGTTTAACCTTTATGACAGCGTTATTATTACAGGGGATTACTCAGATTACGACCAAAACCTACCAGTAAACCATATAAATCGTTGGTATAAACCATGGTTCTACAAATATGTCGAAACTTTCATAAACAAAGAAGAAACAAAGCACACAGAATTAGTACCAATAGAAGACTACCTGTTGAGGCACAACCGCGCCATCTTTTGGGTGGTTGAATCAATGATCCCCTTTGGAAACCACCCTCTATTTAGGTTTTTATTTGGGTGGCTATTGCCGCCTAAGCCGGCTTTCTTAAAGTACACCACCACGCCTGGTGTAAGGGCCTACACATTCACAAGGCAAGTTTTCCAAGACATTGTGCTACCAATGAAAGAATTGGAGAACCAAATTTTTACAGCCGATGAATTATTTGACGCCTTTCCACTGTTAATATACCCATGCAAAATATACGACCACGGCGAACATAGCGGTCAAATAAGGCGACCAAAAAAGGAGTACATTGTAGAAGGCACAAACTATGCTTTGTACAGCAATTTGGGTATTTATGGTGTCCCAGGCTACGTAAAACGGAAGGAAAAATGGGATGCAGTTGAGTGTATGAGAGAAATGGAACAATTCACTAGACAATTAGGGGGTTTTTCGTTTTTGTACGCCGATATTTGCATGGGTAGAGATGAATTTAAAGAAATGTTTGATTTAACTTTATATGAACAGGTCAGAAAAAAGTATTTTGCTGAAGGGGCATTTCCACATTTGTATGACAAAGTTAAACCAGAGATTGATGTGTTTGAAGTTCAAAAAAACTATAATAAATAATGATAATAGACTCACCTTTAAGTTAGAGATGTGCTTGAAAACAAACGGATTATTTACAGCTATTTGTCTTTTAATTTTATCATTCATTGCATTTATGTAAGTCTGATAAACTGCCATACATTTTTTTGCCAATGAAGAAGCATAATATATGGGTATATCATGTAATTCTGGGTGCTGACTCCAATATTCATCTAACAGCAAGATAAAATTATTAACTATGTAAAAAATTATAACTCAACTAATTACCTAATATTAGTAGCAATTCCTGGGCTCTTCCCAATGCGAATACCGGTATTAAACATCTCCCGCCTCTGTTGACAATATCATGAACTAAATTTGTAAATCTGCTTTCACGATCTTCACGTTTTTCGTGAATGTGAGTTCCATATGTCGATTCTGTTATTAAAACATCCGGGTGGACAGTTGGTATTTCAGCTGCCATCAAATGTCTGTCCTCTTGTCTTGAAAAATCTCCTGTATATAAAATCTAAAAAAAAAACATTTAACATTTGGAAGGATTACCTAATACATTTAAAAAAATAAATACTAACATAGTACAGTTGTATTCAATAAAAAAGCGTACAAGAATTAGAATGAGAGAAAACTGTCAAAATAATATTATTGCTTAAAACCGGCTTATAAAGAGCATTGACGTCGTAGGTTAATTAAATAATATTACAAAAATTATTACCTTTTAGAAATGAAAAAAAACAAACATTAAAAAAAATTTAATATTTTCCCTGTTTTTCTATTACTTGAGCCAATCTATTTGGGATGAACTGAATTAAATTTAATACAATATTTGGATTAATATATTCCCAGCAGTATAGTAGGTTTAGTATAGTTGTATAGTTTCCCATAAATCCTCAGATATCCTGTTCAGGGGTGGACATTTTGGGACGACCTGAACCAACTTTTTGGTTTAGTAAATCTTCCTGTTCCCAGCGTTGCTTAATTTTTAATATATAGTTTTTATTTCTATTATACCACAGTACGAATTGACCATTCTTCTTCGATTCTTGATACTATTTGAGCCTTTTTAACTGACAAGGCATTTTTATTTTCTACTGTCAGTTATAGTGACTTAAGTCAGTGGAAAGCCGGTTTTACGCAATAATGTTGACAGTTTTCTCTCATTCTAATTCTTGTATGCTTTTTTAATGAATACAACTGTAATTTTTATAGTTTAAAATGCATTTTTTTTTAAATATTTGAACTATTTCATAAAATTTAATAACCATATTATGTACAATAGTGGAAAAATTCTCACAACTTTTTTTAGAACAAAAAGACTCACTTCTCAGCCTGACATAAATAATTATTATTAAAGGCGACCTCCTGTAAAATTTCATTGTTTGAAGTTCTTGCACTGGACCCCTCAATAAAACAAAGATAATAATTGTAATTTTAAATACAGAACTTTTTAATGAATTAATAATAGCTTAAAAAAGAAATTAATTCAGAAATTTAATTTTTTTTTGAAAATTTAACATTTTTGTAAAATTAAAAAAAAAAATTTCAAAAAATTCTTTAAAATATCTAAAATCAAATTGAATATTTTCAGTTTAAAATCATAAAATTTCTATAATTTTATTTAACTCTTTTTATAAATAACCTACTATTTTTTAGTAGGTGGTACTTTTTTTAATAAACGTCATAAAAATGAAGAAACATTTAAAAAAAAACAGTTATACAGGGTTCAATACCAATTACATTTTTTTAATGTAGAAATTTTAAACTCTTACAGGTAACTAAAAAACTAATCATTGGAATCATTTTTGGTGATTTTTTTAAACTTAAAATAACTGGTATGCCAATGTATATTTCTGACAAAAAATGTTTGCCAAACTTTCATTTGTTTGATTATAACAGAAATGTTCTGTTATAATCAAACAAATGAAAGTTTGGCAAACATTTTTTTATATTAAATAAATTGTAAATTGTACCTTAACCCCAGCAATTTCAATCATAAACATTGCAGCTCCCAGAACATGTCCTGCATTATAAGCCCAGAATTTGATCCCCAAAACATCTTTCTCCTCATGAAAATTAATGGTTTCAATTTTATCCATACTTGCTTCCAAATCTGCTTCAGTATAAAGCATTTGTTCAGTGGCTATATTACTAAAAACAAACTTATTTACCCTTAACATTACAATAAAATTATTTATTTACCTAACTTTGATGTAATCAGAAAGTAACCACCTATAAATAGCCTTTGTAGCATGTGTCATAAAACAACGGCCTTTAAAACTAGTTTTTAATAAAAACCATGGTAAAGCTCCACAATGATCCAAATGAAAACTAAAAAAAAAACATTATTATAAGGTTAAACATTTGTAATTAATATCTTACTGTGAAATTAACAGCAAATCTATTTCATCTGCTTCGATTAAATCCACAAATGGTAAAGCATCCATCCCAGATAAACCAGGATGTATTCCACAATCCAACTAAAATAAAAACATTACAAAAGCTATCGACAGAATTTTGTCGTTAAGATATTCAACAATGTTTTTCAAACAATTCACATTTCCATTAGCTCTTAACCATACATACCATTATTTTCTTTCCTTTAAACTCCAACATAATACATGATCTACCGACTTCTTGACCAGCCCCACTACAAAACCAAAACATTAATATAAATTCCACAACCCCCAATATTTTTACTCACAGTGGCTTTATAATTAACAGATCACTTTCTTCTTGGGGCACCTGAGACTCAGGCTTTCGTTTATTAGACATGGCTAGAAAATCCAAATTACCCCTTAAAATCCTAGATAAATTCTAGGCTTAAAATAAAGACAAAATATTATTTACCATCGGCGAAGAGGTTATGATTTTAAAACGCCGGCAACATAGATGTCTATAAAATCGATTGAAATTACAGAATCCTGTAAGGTATTAAACCTAAAAATTTTAATAAAACAAATAGATGGCGCTTTAAAGATTTCTGTGATTTAGTAGATATCTTTCGTGACATCCGACGTGGAGCTGGTTATGTGTCACAAATATCATCCTGTTTTCTTGTATTAAACAGTTTATACAGCAATAAAATAAAGACAAAGTGAACAAAAACTCTATAGGCATCAGTAACGGTGAGTTTTCTTAATATATTTTAATTTAAATTGTTATAGCATCTGTGACAATGTTTTTATTGTAATTTTTGTTAGATGGCCACTTATGAAGAATATATTCAACAAAACGAGGATAGGGATGGTATTAGGTTCACTTGGAACGTATGGCCAAGTAGCAGGATAGAAGCTACACGACTTGTGGTGCCCCTGGGTTGTTTATATCAACCCTTGAAGGAAAGACCTGACTTACCCCCAATACAATATGATCCTGTGTTATGTACCAGAAATAACTGTAGGGCTATTTTAAACCACCTTTGCCAGGTGGATTACAGAGCTAGATTGTGGGTGTGTAACTTTTGCTTTCAAAGAAACCCTGTAAGTATTATTAAGAGTTACTATTTGAGTGGTTTTTACAAAGTTTATTTTAGTTTCCTCCACAATATGCTGCTATTTCCGAGCAAGCTCAACCAGCTGAAATTATGCCTCAGTTTTCAACATTAGAGTATACTATTACAAGAGCTCAATGTTTACCGCCTATTTATTTACTTGTTGTTGATACATGTATGGATGAGGAGGAAATAGGGGCTCTTAAAGATTCCTTGCAGATGTCGCTTAGTTTGTTGCCTCCAAATGCTTTGATTGGTTTGATAACTTATGGGAAAATGGTGCAAGTACATGAATTAGGTAAGTAGTAGTAGTTTGTTTTTAATTTTTTACAATTCAATAAAAATTTTAATTTTTTATTATTATTATTTCAACAGGTTAAATTAAAAAGTTTGTGTCTATAATTTTTTTTATAAAAAAAATTCATTTTAACCTTTTGAATACAAATTATCAAAAAGACCTAGGTACCTATTTAAAGTCTGTCCATGATAATTTAGCGGACCAAAGTTATTTAGTTATTAAGCAATTGTTGTGTTGAATGCTTTTAAATATATAATTTATATATATATATAAATAATAATAAAAAACATAAATGAGTAGGTATGTGTTTTAATACTAATAATAATGGACAGACTAGTTTTTTTCACAAATTTCTTTTAATTTTTTGTCATTACTTAAAAGCATAAATGGTGTTATATTTGGGTACATGTTGTTTAATTTCCTTTAAGGGACCATTTAAGATGGCTATAATAAACAGCAAACAATTAAAATATTGGTATTACAAATTATTTACTCAAATAGCAAATTAAACACACATTTATTATTAGTATTTCAACAGGTTGAATTAAAAAGTTGCTGTCTATTAAAATATTTTTATAAAAACAAAAATTTTAACCTTTTGAATAAAAATTATTAAATAGACCTACCTATTTGGTTTTTTCACAAATTCCTTTTACATTTTTGGTTATTACTTAAAAGCATCAATGTTGTTTGGGTATAAGGGACCATTTCTTTACTTTTATATGTTAGAAGCTTCTACCTAGATTATAGAATATCATGATTATGATCTTATTTATTTGGAAAAAACCCGTAAAAATTAGGAAGAAACTTTTTTTTTGTTTCTTTCCCCAACCCTAGGAAAAAATTGATTTTTTTTGGAAAATTTTAAAAATACCCTCCTTTTAATAGGAGCATTTTTTATGTTAGGTATTTTTTTAATTCAATTTTTTCTAAATATGCAGAAAAAAAAAAAACAAAAAAAAATCGTTTTTTTCGCACCTTGCAAAAAAAGTTTTTTTTAACTTTTCAAATACTACTAGCATTTTAAACGGAAAAGTTGGAAAATTTTCAGAAGAATTTACATTTTTCCGTATTACGAGAATAAGTGCCAAATTAAGATTTTACAAAAACACTGAAATTTGACAACGTTTTCCAATTTGTATTAGAACAATAGGGAAAAAATGCAAAAGAAATTTTTTTAAGTTTCCCAATTTTTTATGCTTTTTTATGCCGTTTATAAGTGTTTTATTAATCCAATTTTACAAAAAAAAACAATCAGTTTTTTTCAATCCTTTAAATGGACATTTTCAGAAGAATTGACATTTTTCCGTATTACGAGATTAAATGCAAAATTAAGATTTTACAAAAACTCTGAAAATTGACAACGTTTTCCAATTTGTACTAGAACAAAAGGGAAAAAATGCAAGACATTTTTTTGAAAGTTTCCCAATTTTTTATGCCGTTTATAAGTGTTTTATTAATCCAATTTTTCAAAAAAAAATTAATCAGTTTTTTTCAATCCTTTAAATGGACGTTTTCAGAAGAATTGACATTTTTCCGTATTACGAGATTAAATGCAAAATTAAGATTTTATAAAAACTGAAAATTGACAACGTTTTCCAATTCGTACTAGAACAATTGGGAAAAAATGCAAAAGACATTTTTTTGAAAGTTTCCCAATTTTTTATGCCGTTTATAAGTGTTTTATTAATCCAATTTAAAAAAAAACAATCAGTTTTTTTCAATCCTTTAAATGGACATTTTCAGAAGAATTGACATTTTTCCGTATTACGTAATTAAATGCAAAATTAAGATTTTATAAAAACTGAAAATTGACAACGTTTTCCAATTCGTACTAGACATTTTTTTTTGAAAGTTTCCCAATTTTGTATGCTTTTTATGCCGTTTATAAGTGTTTTATTAATCCAATTTTTCAAAAAAAAAAACAATCAGTTTTTTTCAATCCTTTAAATTGACATTTTCAGAAGAATTGACATTTTTCCGTATTACGAGATTAAATGCAAAATTAAGATTTTATAAAAACTCTGAAAATTGACAACGTTTTCCAATTTGTATTAGAACAATAGGGAAAAATGTAAAAGACATTTTTTTTAAGTTTCCCAATTTTTGTTGGTGTTATATTTGGGTAGGTACATGTTGTTTAATTTCCTTTAAGGGACCATTTAAGATGGCTATAATAAACAGCAAACAATTAAAATATTGGTATTACAAATTATTTACTCAAATAGCAAATTAAACACACATTTATTATTAGTATTTCAACAGGTTGAATTAAAAAGTTGCTGTCTATTAAAATATTTTTATAAAAACAAAAATTTTAACCTTTTGAATAAAAATTATTAAATAGACCTACCTATTTGGTTTTTTCACAAATTCCTTTTACATTTTTGGTTATTACTTAAAAGCATCAATGTTGTTTGGGTATAAGGGACCATTTCTTTACTTTTATATGTTAGAAGCTTCTACCTAGATTATAGAATATCATGATTATGATCTTATTTATTTGGAAAAAACCCGTAAAAATTAGGAAGAAACTTTTTTTTTGTTTCTTTCCCCAACCCTAGGAAAAAATTGATTTTTTTTTGGAAAATTTTAAAAATACCCTCCTTTTAATAGGAGCATTTTTTAGGTTAGGTATTTTTTTAATTCAATTTTTTCTAAATATGCAGAAAAAAAAAACAAAAAAAAATCGTTTTTTTCGCACCTTGCAAAAAAAGTTTTTTTTAACTTTTCAAATACTACTAGCATTTTAAACGGAAAAGTTGGAAAATTTTCAGAAGAATTTACATTTTTCCGTATTACTAGAATAAGTGCCAAATTAAGATTTTACAAAAACACTGAAATTTGACAACGTTTTCCAATTTGTATTAGAACAATAGGGAAAAAATGCAAAAGAAATTTTTTTAAGTTTCCCAATTTTTTATGCTTTTTTATGCCGTTTATAAGTGTTTTATTAATCCAATTTTACAAAAAAAAACAATCAGTTTTTTTCAATCCTTTAAATGGACATTTTCAGAAGAATTGACATTTTTCCGTATTACGAGATTAAATGCAAAATTAAGATTTTACAAAAACTCTGAAAATTGACAACGTTTTCCAATTTGTACTAGAACAAAAGGGAAAAAATGCAAGACATTTTTTTGAAAGTTTCCCAATTTTTTATGCTGTTTATAAGTGTTTTATTAATCCAATTTTTCAAAAAAAAATTAATCAGTTTTTTTCAATCCTTTAAATGGACGTTTTCAGAAGAATTGACATTTTTCCGTATTACGAGATTAAATGCAAAATTAAGATTTTATAAAAACTGAAAATTGACAACGTTTTCCAATTCGTACTAGAACAATTGGGAAAAAATGCAAAAGACATTTTTTTGAAAGTTTCCCAATTTTTTATGCCGTTTATAAGTGTTTTATTAATCCAATTTAAAAAAAAACAATCAGTTTTTTTCAATCCTTTAAATGGACATTTTCAGAAGAATTGACATTTTTCCGTATTACGTAATTAAATGCAAAATTAAGATTTTATAAAAACTGAAAATTGACAACGTTTTCCAATTCGTACTAGACATTTTTTTTTGAAAGTTTCCCAATTTTTTATGCTTTTTATGCCGTTTATAAGTGTTTTATTAATCCAATTTTTCAAAAAAAAAAACAATCAGTTTTTTTCAATCCTTTAAATTGACATTTTCAGAAGAATTGACATTTTTCCGTATTACGAGATTAAATGCAAAATTAAGATTTTATAAAAACTCTGAAAATTGACAACGTTTTCCAATTTGTATTAGAACAATAGGGAAAAATGTAAAAGACATTTTTTTTAAGTTTCCCAATTTTTGTTGGTGTTATATTTGGGTAGGTACATGTTGTTTAATTTCCTTTAAGGGACCATTTAAGATGGCTATAATAAACAGCAAACAATTAAAATATTGGTATTACAAATTATTTACTCAAATAGCAAATTAAACACACATTTATTATTAGTATTTCAACAGGTTGAATTAAAAAGTTGCTGTCTATTAAAATATTTTTATAAAAACAAAAATTTTAACCTTTTGAATAAAAATTATTAAATAGACCTACCTATTTGGTTTTTTCACAAATTCCTTTTACATTTTTGGTTATTACTTAAAAGCATCAATGTTGTTTGGGTATAAGGGACCATTTCTTTACTTTTATATGTTAGAAGCTTCTACCTAGATTATAGAATATCATGATTATGATCTTATTTATTTGGAAAAAACCCGTAAAAATTAGGAAGAAACTTTTTTTTTGTTTCTTTCCCCAACCCTAGGAAAAAATTGATTTTTTTTTGGAAAATTTTAAAAATACCCTCCTTTTAATAGGAGCATTTTTTAGGTTAGGTATTTTTTTAATTCAATTTTTTCTAAATATGCAGAAAAAAAAAACAAAAAAAAATCGTTTTTTTCGCACCTTGCAAAAAAAGTTTTTTTTAACTTTTCAAATACTACTAGCATTTTAAACGGAAAAGTTGGAAAATTTTCAGAAGAATTTACATTTTTCCGTATTACTAGAATAAGTGCCAAATTAAGATTTTACAAAAACACTGAAATTTGACAACGTTTTCCAATTTGTATTAGAACAATAGGGAAAAAATGCAAAAGAAATTTTTTTAAGTTTCCCAATTTTTTATGCTTTTTTATGCCGTTTATAAGTGTTTTATTAATCCAATTTTACAAAAAAAAACAATCAGTTTTTTTCAATCCTTTAAATGGACATTTTCAGAAGAATTGACATTTTTCCGTATTACGAGATTAAATGCAAAATTAAGATTTTACAAAAACTCTGAAAATTGACAACGTTTTCCAATTTGTACTAGAACAAAAGGGAAAAAATGCAAGACATTTTTTTGAAAGTTTCCCAATTTTTTATGCTGTTTATAAGTGTTTTATTAATCCAATTTTTCAAAAAAAAATTAATCAGTTTTTTTCAATCCTTTAAATGGACGTTTTCAGAAGAATTGACATTTTTCCGTATTACGAGATTAAATGCAAAATTAAGATTTTATAAAAACTGAAAATTGACAACGTTTTCCAATTCGTACTAGAACAATTGGGAAAAAATGCAAAAGACATTTTTTTGAAAGTTTCCCAATTTTTTATGCCGTTTATAAGTGTTTTATTAATCCAATTTAAAAAAAAACAATCAGTTTTTTTCAATCCTTTAAATGGACATTTTCAGAAGAATTGACATTTTTCCGTATTACGTAATTAAATGCAAAATTAAGATTTTATAAAAACTGAAAATTGACAACGTTTTCCAATTCGTACTAGACATTTTTTTTTGAAAGTTTCCCAATTTTTTATGCTTTTTATGCCGTTTATAAGTGTTTTATTAATCCAATTTTTCAAAAAAAAAAACAATCAGTTTTTTTCAATCCTTTAAATTGACATTTTCAGAAGAATTGACATTTTTCCGTATTACGAGATTAAATGCAAAATTAAGATTTTATAAAAACTCTGAAAATTGACAACGTTTTCCAATTTGTATTAGAACAATAGGGAAAAATGTAAAAGACATTTTTTTAAGTTTCCCAATTTTTAATGCTTTTTTATGCAGTGTTTTATTAATTCAATTTTTCAAAAAAAAAACAATCAGTTTTTTTCAATCCTTTAAATGGACATTTTCAGAAAAATTGGCATTTTTATAAAAATTCTGAAACAATTTTTTTGAAACTGTCTTTATTTTCTCATTTTTTCGTTTTTTTTCGATGTGTAAGTGTAAAAATTCGACTTGACTCAAAAAAATTATTTTTCCACTGACAAAAAAACAGGAAATGTTTAAAATTGTTTATTGCAAATTCCACAAGGGTTCAAGGGTTTTTTAATAATAATAAAAATACAACCGTATTAATATTGTAAAACCCGTTATTTCCTTTTATCTAGGCACTGAAGGGTGCAGCAAATCCTACGTGTTCCGCGGCACAAAAGACCTAACCTCGAAACAGGTGCAAGAAATGTTGGGAATCGGCAAGGTGGCCGTGGCGCCGCAGCCGCAGCAGCAAGTGCCCGGCCAGCCAATGAGGCCGCAGCAACCGCCGGCGCCGCCTGGCAGCCGATTCCTGCAACCCGTGTCCAAGTGCGACATGAGCCTGACCGACCTGATCGGCGAGCTGCAGAGAGATCCGTGGCCCGTTCCGCCCGGCAAGCGGTCGTTGAGATCCACCGGCACCGCCCTCTCCATCGCCATCGGCCTGCTGGAGAGCACCTACCCCAACACGGGGGCCAGGGTGCTGCTGTTCTGCGGCGGTCCCTGCTCGCAGGGTCCGGGTCAGGTGGTCAACGACGATTTGAAACAGCCCATCAGGTCGCATCACGATATCCACAAGGACAACGCCAAGTACATGAAGAAGGGAATCAAACATTACGAGAATTTGGCGATGAGAGCGGCAACGAACGGACATTGCGTCGACATTTATTCTTGCGCTTTGGATCAAACCGGTTTGATGGAAATGAAGCAGTGCTGTAACTCCACGGGGTAAGAAAAATTTCAGTTTTTTATTTTATGACTACAGTTTACTTTTCACCTTCCCACTCTTAAAATCACTTTTGTAGTTTAAAAATGCATTTTATGAATAAAATCTCGTTAAATTAATTAATAAAGGGTGGGCCATCTATAAGTTGAATTTTAAACTACGTGCTATTAATGAAGGTTTCAACTTAAGCGCCATGAATTGCTGATAGTGGTTTAGTTTTAACATTCCGATTACAAAATATGCACCGAATAAATTTGGATCAACGTTTAGAAATACTCAAAACTTACTTTGAATGTGACTGTGATCGCAGAGACGGCAAGAAAATTGCGTTTGGAAGAAATGAAGCGCCGTCAAACTAAAGTATTACAAATTTGATCAAAAAATTGCGCAGAAATGGAATGCTGGTGGACATAAAACATGTTTCGCATGCTCGTCCTAGACGTACACCTGAAGCAATCGCTGCTGTGGCCGAAAATGTACGCATGAACGCGTCAACATCAACTCGGCGCAGATGTCAACAACTCGGCCTTTCCCGTACCACTCTGAGGATGATTCTGCACAAGGACCTCGGTATGTTTGCGTACAAAGTCCAGCTTGTTCAGGAGTTAAAGCAAGTTGACCATCCACAACGTTTTCGCTTTGCTGAGTGGGCTTTAAACCAGTTGAACGATGACCCTAATTTTGCAAGAAAAATCATCTTTTCGAATAAGGCGCATTTTTACCTCGGAGGTTATGTCAACAAGCAAAACTGTAGGATTTGGGCCACGGAAAATCCACACGTCGCCGTAACAAAGCCTATTCACCATTTAAAACAAAACATTCAAGCTGAAATTGCCTAAATAGAGCAGCAAACTTTTGACAAAGTGCTCGAAAATTGGTGTTCCAGGATGGGCTACTGCCGAGCCAGCTGAGGTGGCCACTTAAATAAAATCATTTTCCATACTTAATCGGAAGAAACATTGTATCAAATAAAGCAAAATTCGTTGAAAAAAAAATAGTTTTTCTTGTTCTCATTGCTATTTTATAATTCAACATAAACATGGCCCACCCTTTATAAAATTTTGTGGGAAGATATCAACTATTTGACAAATTCCCAAAAATAAAAAAAATTGTAGTCTTGTATAAAAGATTTAAAACAAATGGTTGTATTTTGGGATGTAAATGTACCCTTGTCACTTTTAACAGTAAATTATTAGTCCAGTGTATAAAATCATTATTTGTTTTGCATTTGACTAAAAAGTGTTTTCTATTTTAATAAAATTCTCTTTTTTCATTTTTTTTAAATTGTAATGCATTTTTTTTTTAATTGTAATGCGAAAAAAATTAAAAGGTAAATTTTTCTGAAAATTTCTAAATATATGTATCAAGAAAAAAGTAAATTTTGTTTAAAAAAACAAATTTAGTGCTGTATTAACATAGGTAAATATCGTTTTATTTGACACATTGATTTATAAAATTATAATTTTGTAATTTAACTTTATAAATCATTCATTATTTTTTAAATGGATATTTTCCATGGACTCCCTTTTGCAAAAAGGTCCCAACCGACAGTATATTTAACGTTTACGTTTATTTTCTTAAATCAATTCGATTCAATGTTTTTTTTCTGTAATAAATGTATTTGTTTATTAAAATAATGTTAAGTTGTTGACTGCTTTGTATATTTTCAGAAAAAAACAATTTTTCCAAGTCCTGGAAAAAAACCCAATTTTCTCGGTTCTTCTCCGACACTTTAAAACCCTAAAATCAAACTAAATATGCAAAACATAATACAAATAAAAATAATTAAGTTTGTTTTTAAAAGCACTGTTTTATGTTTAAACGTTTTTTTATAAAAAAAACCGTTCAGTTGCAAAATACAACACAAATAACATTTGACTAAATAAAAAATTTAATGTCAAAAGTATCTGAATCATAAAAAAAAATAAACTTTATTGGATTACTCCAAAAGGCTAACGACCTAAGCCTTTCTGCCCTCATATTTAACAGAAAATTAACTTAATAGTTATTATTATATCTTAGTTCAACTAGCACCCAGCGCGAGTTTATTTATGTACAAATTTCTACGTTCTATACTTTTTACTGTTTTTTAATGTTTGTAGTCCAATTTGTGAAGTAAATGTAATTTTAACAATTTTCAAAATAAAATAGTTTTAGTGAAATTATAATTTTTTTTATTTATTTATGTTTTAATAAGAGTTCTAAAATTTGTAAAATTAATTTCGTTTTGAAGGATTTTCCATATTTATTATTATTTTTCTACAACCCTTTCATTTTACCACATTTTGTTCTAAGATTTTTCATAGTGTACGTTTTTCCATTTCCATAATAATAAAAATAAAAATGTTTATATAATTTGTTATATTTTTGTTATATGATTATTATTATTTTATTAGGTAATTTGAAACTAATTTAATTTATATTAGTTTTCTTAAAATTATAAACTTTTTTTGCAACGCTTTTTTTATATTGATAAAGAAATATTTTTTTTTGCAAATTTTTCAAAAAATTGTTTAAACTTTTATGACTACATATTTATAGTTTTTTTTTAATTTTTTTTCATTTGCTTATTTTTGACGTATTTTTTTCATTGGAAACTTACTTAAATTTGAATATTTCTGTCTAAAATTTGCGAATATTTTAGTAAACAATTCGTGAATTTTACAAAACTTGCTAAAATTTTAATAAAAAGCAATTAAAGAATTTTAACGACAAATAGGTAGGTGACAAAAGTGTTAGTATTTGTTGGTGTATTCAATAAATTATGCAATATTAAGAAATTTCCATTGAATATCACAATTTTAATTACAATATTTATATGAATTGAAACTACCAAATAATAAGAAATCAACTTTTTTAGTGTCAGTCTAAATTATGGAAAATAAAATATTTTGTATTTCACAATTCTTTTCAAAATTTTATATTGGATTTAGTTTCAGAAGCGATTGATACCCTCCTTCCTTAAAATACTTCATTTTAATGGAGAAATTCCTAATTATCCATGTTAATTATAATTATATACAGGGTGTCCCAGAACTCGCGCCACAGAGAAAAAGGGGGCGTGCCAATAGCAATGGAGATGCCAAATTTAAAAATAAAAAATTTCTAGGTAATAGTGTAATCGAATGAGAGCAAAAAAGCGGCAGCCAATACCGAGAGATCTCGCCTAGGTTAAACGTAGGAGCTTTAAAAATTGCTAGGAGACGATAGAACATTGTTGTATTAAAAACATTTAAAAATCTTTTGGCCAACTGTATTTACTAAGTTGTCAAAAGCTTTCAAAAAATGAGGTTATTAATCTATGACTGATACTTCAGAACGCCAATGTTTAAAGAAAGTAAAAAATCAAACCAGTTGTTCTTTATTTAGCTTTTTTTGGGCCCACGCTCCCCATAAATAGTTATCATTTCGGTATAATCATCAAGGAAAACATTATGTATAATAACTTAATTTATTACCTAATATAATATTAATGTCAAAAGTAAAGATTGACAGCATTGTCAATAATAACTTAATTTATAACCTAATATAATATTAATGACAGGAGTAAAGATTGACAGCAGTTTTACAATGAATTAAATTCCAGTGGACCAAATATTTTACACATTTTTTATTATCAACAATGCAACCTAAGTATCCTAGCAATTTAAAGAATTTCCTGTGGTGATCTATTGGGATTGGCTATCGTTTTTTATTCTTATCTCCCTTATCCTTTGCGTTGGACAATTTGAATTTTTAAATATGTGTTTCAAATTACTTTCGGTACGTTCCCTTTTTCTCTGTGGCGCGAGTTCTGGGACACCCTGTATATATAGACAGAATATACTTTATCTACTCCTATTGCATAATATTGTTTTTTTTCGCGTTTAATGATAAACATTTTAAATTTTCTTCCTAACAACGGGAATAATGACCTCATTATTCACGTTGTTAGGCATCAGTGATTGGCCGATTTCAATATTCACTGTGATTTGAACCAATCGGGTACTAAATTTAAAATTGGTTAAAAGTGAGGTTAAACATTTGACATATGTCAGATTTTATTTATTTATTTTTGAAAATCATTTAATTATCTATTTATAGGAGTAGATAAAGTATAGTATTATATTACACTGTAGGGAGGTGAAAATATCACAGCTAAACGCTCGGACACGTAAACTTAGATTACAATCCGTGCTTGGTTTAGCTGTATCAGGTCAAAATTCAAAGATATTGGAAACACCCTGTATAAATTTAAACACCCTGTATAAATTTTTTTAAAAAATAAATTTGGCGGGACCCACACATTAGTTCCAAATTCCAAAAATAACAAATTCTTGTAAAATTTAAAGTTAATTGATCAAAAGATACACGTGTCCCTAAGGTATTTTTTTAGATAATTTAGGAAATTTAAAATGTTTTTTTGCTGATTTTTTTATTGAGCATAATTGAGGATATTATATTAAATGAAATAAAAAGCATAAAACTGTCGACACAAGAGGTGAATTATATTATTTTACAAATTATAATATACCAGTATACAGTGTGTCCCCGGATCGGATTTCCAATAGTAAAAACTTTTTTAGACCTGATACAGCTAAACCAAGCACAGATTTGGAATCTACGACCAAAAATTATGTTTACTTGTCCGAGCGTTTAGCTGTGATATTTCAAAAGTTAAAAATTTACCTACAGTGTTTTTTTTTCATTATTATTATTTATAATAATATACTATTATTATGAATTATTGTAGCGGTTTTGTTAAAAAAAGTTTTTTTACATCTTTAATTTAAATTTTTTAAAAATACTATTTAACATTATTTAAAAAACTTTTATTACTACAAAAAATAAATCATAAATTATAATACTACTTTCAGAGGTCACATGGTAATGGGAGATTCCTTTAACTCATCACTATTCAAACAGACATTCCAACGAGTATTCACAAAAGACCAGAAAAACGAACTAAAAATGGCATTTAACGGCACACTGGAAGTAAAATGTTCCAGGGAACTAAAAAGTAAAAAAAAAAACAAAACAAACGAATTTAATATCAAACTGAACAAAACTTTTTAATTTCCAGTTCAGGGCGGAATCGGTTCGTGCGTTTCGTTGAACGTGAAAAACTCATCGGTATCCGATACCGAAATAGGTATGGGCAACACCGTGCAATGGAAAATGTGCACCCTGAATCCCAGCACGACGATCTCCCTATTTTTCGAGGTCGTCAACCAGCATTCTGCGCCCATACCGCAAGGTGGCAGAGGGTGCATACAGTTCATCACACAGTATCAAGTAAGAAAGTAAAACGATTAGTTTTTCTATCTCCAATAATTAAAATTCGCAGTGTCTGCAAAAGAGCAACTGCGCTTGTAATTAGTCCAAAAGCAATTATTAACATTAACATTTTTTACATTTAGCATGCAAGTGGGCAGCGTAGAATAAGAGTAACCACGGTAGCGAGAAATTGGGCGGATGCTACAGCAAATATTCATCATATTAGTGCAGGTTTTGATCAAGAAGCCGCTGCGGTTATGATGGCCAGGATGGCCGTTTACAGGGCCGAAAGTGATGACAGCCCTGACGTGCTTCGATGGGTTGATAGGATGTTAATAAGACTGGTAAGTTTTAAATTTTTTGTAAATGTTGAGAATTTAAAAAATTATAGTAATTTTGAAAATGTCCTCACCTTATCATTTTCTACTCATCAAACCCCTTCATTTGATGCCCTTGTGTTCCCAGCAAACACAACTATAAAGGTTCTATAATGGCCCTTTATAAACTTGCCTTTTATGAACTAAAGGTCCTATAAAGGCTAACTCTAATGGAACTTGCATTAGACTGGGCCAAAAAAATTAACTATTTTTTTTTAAAAGTATATCGAAAATATGGTTTAACAAAATTGACTTAGAGATATTTTTTAAGGAAATTAAATACTCTACAAAAAAGGTTAAAATGAAATTTTCCGTCAGATGAACCGTTTCCTTAAAATCATGCCCTAAAAATTGGTATAGTTTTCCATTTTGATCTTTTAACTTTGTAATTTTGTAATTCATGTAAAAATCAGTACCCAGAAAAAAACCGATGAATATCCTGATGGGAAATCAAATGATTTACAAAAAAAGTCTTAACATTTTTGGCTAAATTCACTCAATCAAAAGTTATTCAAGGTTAAAGTTGAAGTCAAAACGAAATTCTTGTTTTTTACTCTGTAGATTTATTTTTTTATGGATGATAATTTGATTTTTTTCTTTATAAATTCGTATTATATAACTAATTAACAATTTCCAATAAAAAACAACATGATTGTTTAAACGATTAAAAAGGTAACAGTGAAAATAATATTTTCTAAAGAAAAAAGCTTCTTAAAGCAATAAAATTCGAATGTGTTATTTTTTTTTAATTTTCAGTAATTTACGTACGTAACGTAAGATTACGTTACGTTATAAATTGGTCTGCTTGCCACAGGGTGCTATGAGTCCTAATTAAACTGAAAAAATTAAATTATACACTTTGATAATGGCCATTTCAAGCGTTTAAAACGCACGAATTACAAAACTGTTTTTATAAAAAGAAATTCTAGAATATTTATTATTTAATATTTTGGCATCAAAATTGTCAAAAATATTCTTCTTTTATTAGGTTATACATTAAATAAAAAAAACTCAAGATATATTTTATAAAAGTAGAGATAATTTTAATAATGTCAAGGTGAGGATGGGACAAAAAAAAGATTAATCTTGTCCCGTCCATACTTGTCAAATGTTTAAATTATCTTTTCTTTTATAAAATATTTTTTGCGATTTTTTTAATTTAATGTGTAGCCTAATAAAAGAAGAATATATTTGACAATTTTGATGCAAAAATAATATATAATAAATTCAATGTTAAGCTTCATCTATGTTCTTTATTGTATTAATTTTAACGCAATCAAATAAAAATGATCAATATGGGACTGAAATTAACCTCGCCTTCCAACATTGGTAGCTACGGTAATTTTCATGGATAAGAAAAAGTACCATATTTTTAAATACCTTATTATACTGTCTTTTATATAATCCAAAATACTTATTTATTTTGGTCATATATACTGTCTTTTAAATAATCCAAAATACTTATTTATTTTGGTCAAAATAAATTTTTCTAACCTTAAAATTACAAAATTGGATGATATTTTTGTTATAATATATTAACCTACCTTTAATACAGATATTCTTATTCCATAATAGAGAAGCTAGATTTTTTTAAATAAATGCTGTTTAGTTAAAATTATTTTATGGACAAACCCAGATATTTGGACCAAATGCACAAAAATTTTACTTATTTGGCACCATACACTTTAGAATTTCATTAAATGCAGTATTTATATTCTTAAATTCCTAAACCAGCCATTGTTATTGTAATGTTATAATGTTTTATACATTTTTTAAGCCTAAACATAATATTATTTCTTTCATTGACTATACTTTGACAGATACATAACCTGAAAAGCCTTAAATGCCAAATTTTTAAAAGACTGCGTTCCGTACGTGGTCACGTGGTGGGACTTTGAGGTGTGGAGCATAGTACTTTGCTCCACACTTCAAAGTCCCACCACGTGACCACGTACGGAACGCAGTCTTTTGATAATTTGTCATTTAAGGCTTATCAGGTTATGTATCTGTCAAAGTATAGTCAATGAAAGAAATAATATTTATACTGTTACCGTTTATGTTTAAGCGTTAAAAGTTTATAAATCTTTATAGTATCACAGTAACAATGGTTGGTTTAATGAAATTCTAAAGTGTATAGTGCCAAATAAGTAAAATTTTTGTGCATTTGGTCTACATATATCTGGTTTTATCCATTCAATAGTTTTAACTAAACGGCATTTATTAAAAAAATTTAGCTTGTCTATTATGGAATAAGAATATCTGTATCAAAGGTAGGTTAATATATTATAACAAAAAATATCATCTAATTTTGAAATTTTAAGGTTATTTTGGATTATTTGGAAGAGTGTGTTAATATGGTCATATAAATATAGATATACTAAATAATTGTTGAATATGGTTCAAATTAAATTAAAGCTTTTATACTCCTAACAACAAAACTTGTGCATACCTCTCGGGATGCCTACTTTAAGTTTTATTTTATTTTAAGGAAACAAACAATTTTTAGAGATACATGCAATGTAAAAATATTTAATACTCCCATAACATGTGATTTTTGAAATTTTTAAAAGTTATAATGATTTTTCGATGAAGATAAAATTCATTTGAAGCTATACGTAATTGTATTGACAAAACTTTATGTAGCTATACTTTAAGCTGGATAAGAAAGACTACTACAAGTAAAAATATTAGATAGAGTATACTGTGGTTTTATTTAAATTTTAGAATTTATAAGGGTATTTATACCTAATGATTGTTTGATGTAGATAAAATTTTGTCGAATCTTTTATAGGTACTTGTATTGACACTATGGGTATATTAGCTGACAGTGTAAGGAACTTTAAGAAGGTTAGCTATTGAATTTCCAAAAACAATCAATTTACAGTTACAGTACCTACCTAATGGTTTTATATTTGAGATCTCTCATGGTGCTTATTTCCAAGAGCAAGTTATTTAATTACAGCTTACATTTAGGTAGTGGATGACTAATTTGTTTTACTTGGGCATAAATATTTATTTATTTAAAGTACCTACATATAAACATCTTTGATTAATTAAATAAACAAAAAATAATATATTTTAAATAAAAATTTAAAGAATCTAAAATCGATAAAAGTTCAAAAACTCACATATAGAAAAAAAATAAGTTTGGAAATTTGTAAAATAATAAAAAACATTATTTAAAATTATTTAATAATTTGAAAATTTTAATAATTTTAAGGTGTTGTTTTTAGATTCCTTCTTTTAAATTAACCCCTTTTAATATTTAATTAATTTTAAAAATCTTAAAATAGTTAAGTTTTACAGTTGAAAATATTTATGCTGGAGTAAAACAAAATAGACATCATAATTGAACAACTGGCTCTTGGAAATAAGCAATATTAAACATTTCAAATATAAAACCATTAGATACTTAAATGATACTTTAAAAAACTGTAAATTCTTTTTAAAAATTCAATAGCTAACCTTTTTAAAGTTCCTTACACTGTCAGCTAATATACCCATAGTGTCAATACAAGTACCTATAAAAGATTCGACAAAATTTTATCTACATCGAACAATCATTAGGTATAAATAACCTTATAAATTCTAAAATTTAAGTAAAACCACAGTATACTCTATCTAATATTTTTACTTGTAGTAGTCTTTCTTATCCAGCTTAAAGTATACCTACATAAAGTTTTGTCAATACAATTACGTATAGCTTCAACTGAATTTTATCTTCATCGAAAAATCATTATAACTTTTAAAAATTTTAAAAATCACATGTTATGGGAGTATTAAATATTTTTACATTGCATGTATCTCTAAAAATTGTTTGTTTCCTTATAATCTAACTTAAAATAGGGATCCCGAGAGGTATGCACAAGTTTTGTTGTTAGGAGTATAAAAGCTTTAATTTAATTTGAACCATATTCAACAATTATTTAGTATATCTAAATTTATATGACCATATTAACACAATCTTCCAAATAATCCAAAATACTTATTTATTTTGATCAAATTAGATTTTTCTAACCTTAAATTTTTAAAATTAGATGATATTTTTTGTTATAATATATTAACCTACCTTTGATACAGATATTCTTATTCCATAATAGAGAAGCTAGATATTTTTAATAAATGCCGTTTAGTTAAAACTATTTTATGGATAAAACCAGATATAATATATTAACATATTATGTAGACCAAATGCACAAAAATTTTACTTATTTGGCACTATATACTTTAGAATTTCATTAAATGCAGTATTTATACTCCTAAACTCTTAAACCAACCATTGTTACTGTGATACTATAAAGATTTATAAACTTTTAACGCTTAAACATAAACGGTAACAGTATAAATATTATTTCTTTCATTGACTATACTTTGACAGATACATAACCTGAAAAGCCTTAAATGACAAATTTTAAAAAGACTGCGTTCCGTACCTGGTCACGTGGTGGGACTTTGAAGTGTGGAGCATAGTACTTACATGTATATAATTGCAATTTTTGTACATTTTATTAAAATCATACAAAAATTGTTCGCTTAACAACTAGAGTTTTAGTGCCGGAGGAAAACCGGAAAAATTGGGGGAAAACCTGTTTTTTGTTTTTTCCCAGACCTTGAATTGATTTTTTTTTGGAAAATATACACATTTGAAAAAATTATCAATTAATAACTTTATATTTTTTTAATTTAAAAAAATATCCTTTAATACACAAAAAACTAAAACTAAACATTACAAATTGATTTAAAAAAATAAACGTAAACGTTAAATATGCTGTCGGTTGGGTCTTCTTTTGTAAAAAGGAGTCTATTTAAAATATCCGATTTCAAAATAATAAATGACTTATAAAGTTAAATTACAAAATTGTAATGTTATAAATCGAAGTGTCAAATAAAACGAAAGTTTGTATACAGAACCGAATATGTTTTTTTGCGGCCCGGTGGAGTATTCTTACTGAATTAAAATAAAAGGAATAAATATTATAATCATAATATTATGATTATAATGATTATAATCAAATTTTTTTCAGGAAAATTGAATTTTGAATTTTGTTCGTATTAATTACCCTTTGAATAAAATTAAACAATGCAAAAGTCAATTTTTCTGAAAATTTTGGCCAAAAACGATATTATTCTGTTCAAAATATTATATTTTTACAATGATTGGAGATCATTATTTTAGTAACTTTTTCTCTCTTAGTGTCAAAAATTCGGAGAATACAACAAAGACGACCCGAACTCCTTCAGGCTGGGCGAAAACTTCAGCCTCTACCCGCAATTCATGTACCACTTGCGTCGCTCGCAATTCTTACAAGTGTTCAACAATTCGCCCGACGAAACGTCATTCTACAGGCACATGCTGATGCGCGAAGATCTCACCCAGTCGCTGATCATGATCCAGCCGATTTTGTACAGCTACAGTTTTAACGGACCGCCGGAGCCCGTGCTGCTAGACACGAGCTCCATACAGCCCGACAGGATTTTGCTGATGGACACGTTCTTCCAAATACTCATTTTCCACGGAGAGGTGAGAAAGTTTTACTTCGATGCAATTTTATTTATAACGCGACATTTTTTCAGACGATTGCACAGTGGCGTAACTTGAAGTACCAGGAGATGCCGGAGTACGAAAATTTCCGACAGCTACTGCAAGCTCCTGTGGATGATGCGCAGGAAATTCTACAAACTCGTTTCCCAATGCCCAGATACATCGATACTGAGCAGGGTGGTTCTCAAGCCAGATTTTTACTGTCAAAAGTGAACCCAAGTCAGACACACAACAATATGTACGCGTATGGTGGGGTAAGTGATCATTTTACTCAGTTATTTAACGTTTTTTTTTTGACAAAACATTAATTCATTTTAATTTGTTTTATGTGGTACAGGCCATCATGACAGGTGGTGCAAATTCGGTACAGTAAACTCTTTTATTTTTGTGGAAAGGGTCACTGCTTATTTTTTACTAACATGGTTTAGGTATACCAAGGGTCCACATTTGTGATAACACACACATTAAATTTTATCAAAATAATGTAATATTTTTAATTGACACTCTTTAAAAATCACTTTTTACGTGCTAACTTAACAATTTATACCTATTAATTGTTGTTTAATATTTACACTGACTTTAATTGACTATATAATATATCTGTTACGCTCAATATCCGAATTCGGATATTGCCCGAAAAAAAAAAATGCTCAAAACCAGTATTGAGCAACAAATATTTCCCAAACCTGAAATTTTACTTTTATACGGCTGCTATTGAGCGTTACAAAATACAATATTTCCGGAAACTGTTTATTTCAGGAAAAAACGGAAAAATTACACTGATATCAATAAAAAGGAAAATTTCAACTCTGATTATAATTATATGATGCATGATTATAATAATTATTCCTATTATTATAATTCAGTAAGAATCTTCTACCGGGTCGCAAAATACAAATTCGGTGCTGTATTCACATAACTATCGTTTTATTTTACACATCGATTTTATTATTTACTTATAGAACAAAATAATTATTGTCAACATTCATATTGTTACGTAATCCGTTTTTATCATCACTGTGATAGGATTTATTCGAGGATTTATTTTTTCAATAAAAAAAAATTATAATTTTGTAATTTTACTTTATAAATCATTCATTATTTTGTAAATGGATATTTTTAATGTGCAAAAAGGACCCTGTAATAAATTCATTATTTTTTTTAAATAAATAATGTTGATTACTTTGTATATTTTCAGAAAGTCCTGGGGAAAACGGTAAAAACAGTTTTCCCCACAATTTTTCACTGAAAAAACCCAATATAAAAGGTGTCCCTGAAATGCCTGTTTAAAATGATACCATGGTATGGCACTTATTCCAGATACCAAAATAATGCGATATACCTAACTAAATTTAGTTCTATACAAAAGTTGATATTAACAAAGATTTGAAACTTTGAAAAAACAAACTTGGTTGCACAAAATTTGATTTTAGGGGGTTTTTCAGGCCGGGAAAATTAAATTTCCTAAAAAAATAATAAATGTTGTAGAGGGCGCTGTCTGCGAAACTTTACACACGTTGTATGATTACATATTTTTTGTGCCTTGTATGTGAATTCATGTTTTTAATAAAAATATAACTTTTATATCTTTACTACGTGAAAAAGGTATACTTTCTAAATGTGTCTGCGAATAACCGTTTTCGAGATATTTGCATTTAAATTGTTCAGTGCACCTATTTAATTCACGTAGACAGATTTTTATCGATTTTAATATTTTAACTTTGTTTAATCATGTTCATAATTTTAATTAGAGATGGGAAAATTCCCATTTGACGAAAATTCCCGGAAACTTTCCATCGAAAATTCCCGAAATTTTCCGAAAGTTTCAAAAAAAAATTTTTTATTGCGAAAATATTTTTTTTATGCCAGGGATTTGCAAAAATATATAACACATTAACTTTTTGTCAAATTTTTGGTTGCATTAACGACATAGATTTTCTTACAGATCTTGCTTTGAGCATGGTCTTTTTTGTTTTTTTGCACTATTTTGTAATAATTCCAAACACTATATTTTTCTCTTGGCATTGTGCTATGCTTATAAATAAATAATAATAATAATAATAAATTTATTTGCCCAACAGAAAAAATTCCAATTACAGGACAAAGAACAAAAAATAAAAACTATAGTAACAGCATAATAGCAAAAATATAAAACAACTTATACATAGTAAAGTAAGTCTATAAACAAAAATAAACTAATTAACGCTTAAAAAAGTACAAATAATAAATGACAATTCAGAATAATTAATATCACACACGTGAGATATTTTATTAAAGTTGGTACACATAACAAACATTGGCGACCGCAAAAGTACATTTGTACATGCAAAACATTTAAAGGTTGAAACTGACCTAGAATGAATACGCGGAACATGAAAATTCAACCGCTTAAATGTAAGAATGATTTTAACTTTGTCTATTGTATTTATTAGGTTTACCTTTTTTTAAAAAAAGTTTTTTGTGTTGATCATCAACAGCATCAACAGTTGATGCTGAATAATAATCATTGAGGTTATGTAACATAACTTACACACTGAACTATACAACCACATGGAAGGCCACTCACATAGGCTGCGCAAGAAAATTTTACGCCAAATAGAAGAAATCCTTAAGGATCAGATTCGCTAAGCCGTATCTCCCCACGCATGCGCAAATAGTGGTAAACAACAAAAGTTGTAACGGTTTTTTCATAACCTTATTTGTTCTATGCTATTCGTATTTGTGTTTATTTCGATTATCTTTTGTGCTTATCCTGTACGCAGTAACGCGCCTGCGTCGGGAGATACGGTGCGCGAAGTTAGAAACTTCTAGTCGGTGACCCAATATCGATCCCGACTTCTCACGAGCTGACACGAACCGCCTTATAACGTGACGTCATAATAATAATCCGGTTTTGTTCCCCGAACATACAATATTTGTTGTCAAGCTAGATAGCTTAGATGGTAGGGCGTTTGCTTTGCATGCGAGAGGTCCCGGGTTCGATACTCAGAAGTTGTCGAATTTTTTTTACTTTTTTATTTCATAAATTTGTTGTTCCTTTGTTAAAAAGTGTTTTATTTTTATCGTAACATAAATTTGCCCATTTTAGTTGGGTTTTTTGCTCAATGGGGCGGGGGGGGGGGGGGGCAATGGGGCGGGGTCGGTTGGGTTGTGTTGTTGAGTTTGGGTTGGTTTGGTTTTATTACGTAACTAACGTGCCCTTAACATGTATACAGGTACAATTTATTATTATATTATTGTTGTGCCGTCAATTTTAAATGATAATGATGCATTGTATAATATATAATAAATTCTTTGTCCAGTCGGGATCGATGTTGGGGCACCGGCTAGAAGTTAGTCGCGAAGTTCTATTTGGCGTAAACAGCAATTATATGAATATCATTCCAGGTGGTTGTATAGTTCAGTGAACTTACATTATTTATACTTCTTCTTCTGCTTTAAATTAACACAAATTAAATTCTTATTCAAAGTTTTTGGCCTTGTATCATGGCGGTTAAACAATTGACATTTAAATGAAAAAAACAAGGAAAGTTTCCAAGGAATGTTTCCAAGGAATGATTCCGGTAGCTTAAAAGAAACTTTCAAAATGAAAATAAATTCCCAATTGGAAACTTTCCAAAACGGAAAGTTTCCTTAAAATGGAAACTTTCCGATTCCCATCTCTAATTTTAATACAAGGAACAATAAAATATTTTATATACCATTAAGAAAACTTGATATTAAAGTTAATTCACCTGAGCATTTAGGATTAAAAATATTTAATAAATTGCCGCAAGATGTACGGGACTCTAAAAGTATTAACATTTTTAAAAATAAATTGAAAAACTATTTACAGTCTTTGTGTTTGTATGATGTCTCTGAATTTTTTCTCTTGTAACTTTGTAGTATTTAATTAATTTAATTTAGCCTTTAAGTTGTAAGCTGTTTTTTTACTGACTATTTCTATACACACTTGGAAATTGGAAAATAAAGAATATTATTATTATTATTATCAATTATGATTTGAAAATGTGACATATTTTAAGTAGGTTGAGAGATGCTGCAAACTTATTTTCTATCCAACTTCGTCATTGTAAAAATTTCATGTTTTAAATATTTTTAAAAAAATATTTAATTTAAGTACAAATTAATCACATAAAAGAAAATTTAAACGCACATATCTTGAAAACTGTTACTTGGAGCGACATTTACAAGGTGTACCTTTTTGCGTAACAAAGATGTAAAAAGTAATATTTTTATCACAACATGAATATACTAAGGCACACAAAAGATGTAATCAATTAAACGCATGCAAAGTGTCGCAGACAGCGCACTCTACAACCTACAATAATTTAATTTCCCGTCTTGAAAATATCAAGTTTTTTGCAAAAACGTTTGTTTTAAAAAGTTATTTAATGAAATTTTGAATAGAGGTTAATTTAGTTATATCGCATAGTTTTGGAATATCAGAAATATGTGGTTTTATTTTGTACAGGCATTTCAGGGACAACTTATATGTTATAATATAAGAATTATTGTATTTTGTAAAGCTTAATAGCCGTATAAAAATAAAATTTGGTTTTAGTTTCAGCATTTTTTTCGGTAATCGAGCGTAACATATGTATCTACAAACTAAACTGATGGTCAGATTGCAAAATTTTATTTGTTTAGTATTTAAGAAAAATTTAAAAAAAAATTGGCATAAAACTGCATAAAAACTACAAATATTGAAACTTTTATATATATTGCAAAATTTACAAAAATGTTAAAAAACTGTACAAAATGTTTTACATAACAAAAAACAGCCTAAAATTTACTGTAGTTTTTTTAGATTTTTGTAAATTTTGCAATATCTATGAAAGTTTCAAAATTTGTAGTTTTTATGCAGTTACTTTATACAGTACAAAACATTAAACATTTTAAATAAAATTAAAAACTATTAGCAAAATCTTTATAAGAAACTTGCAGTAATCTAAAACTGCTTAAAATGTTTGTAAAATTGTCAAAAAAACTGATTACAAATTGAAAATAAAAATATTATTGAATATTAACAACAAAATAAAACTGTAACTGAATTATAAAAAAAGAAAACATTACTATTACTATTACTATTTTGCAATCTAGCTACTTTTATTTTAATTTGGTGCAAAAATCTAACATATATTTTTTCAGGATGGTGGTGCGCCTGTTTTGACAGACGATGTTTCTTTGCAAGTGTTCATGGATCATCTTAAGAAATTGGCGGTGTCATCTACAGCATAGGGTTAAGAAAAAAACAAATTGTCTATATTATTTTATTCTCAGTTAAATATTAATTTATTTACAAATGGTTTTAAATGTTCTGTAAGTAAAATATATATCTATAAAATGTGTTTTATTTCAATATACCTCACGGATATATTTTTAAAGCTATTATAAATAAGGAATGGACTATATAAATTGGTTTTTCTGACTACATTTTTAGTGATGATTTTTCTTAACATCAATAAATAACCAAAAAATGTACACAATATGGTTGTTTAAAAAAACAAGAATAATACTTAAGAAATATTACACTTTTAACTATTATTTAAATATCACAAAAACAATACAACAAAAATATACATACATACAACAATAAAATTCATAAATTAAATAACTATATAACCTAAACACCCACAAAATTGTAAATTTAATTTAGAAAGCGAATACTCATTTTTTGCTCTACATCAGTTCGAGATAGAGCCTTGCAAAACTCCTCAAACGAGATCATCTGATCACCATCCTCATCTGCCTCCAAAATGGTTCTTTCTGCAATACTTATTAGCTGTTCCTCACTTATATTTGTACCAACCATCATGTGCAAGATGGCCAATAATTCATCTTTGGAGATTAAGTCATCATTGTCTAAGTCGTACATTTTAAATGCAACTACAAAATTAATTTTATGATTATATGGAACCCTATTTAAATTATGTAAGATAATACACATTTATATGTGTTTCTACCATTTTATTTTATAAAAAATTACTTACATTTAAGTTTTTCCTCCCTTGAATTTAACCTATTGTCCTTATGCTTCTTGATAGGTCGAAAATGAGACAAGACTTGCATAAACTGCCTAAAGTTTACCCTATCAGTGAATTCGTCACCTTGAAAAAACGAATTTACTATTCTTTCTCCCAAGGGGTTAATTGCAAGTTCGGGGATCCTCAAAAAATCATCCCTGCTCAAAGTTCCACAATCTCCTCTGTCCAAAGCAGTAAATCTCGAATAAAGACGTTCAATTTGACTGGCAGTAACTACAAGATAAAGATTTCTTATTAAAATAAATGTTTATTTGTGTGAATTTTTTACTTACATCCCGTTTCCTGCTGAATTTGAGCAATTTCTTCTTGCCTTAACAGTAGGGATGATCTATTACCCATTTTTTGGTTTTTAACGATGGATTTTGTACTTTGAACAATCTTTGGTAAGGATTTCACTAAAATCAGAATGACATTTTCACAGATTTTGATAAAATGTACATTTGAACTACAAAATCAAATTAGGGTATAGTGCGTTTTAAAAAGAAGTAACTTTTTCTAATGTTATATTGCATTTAACAACCCCACAAACACAATCTTAGAATAAAATAAACATATATGTTAAAATACGTTCTAAATATACATTATATTAAATAAATATTGTTTAGTAATTTAAAAAAATAATTAACCTTGAAAATGTATTATTATTGTATTGGGTATGGATTTCAACGTTTGACCTACTCACACTGTGTGGATTGTGGACCTACTTTGATTTTTACGGGGGAAATTTAAACAAATGACGGTCAGTGAAGTTTAACGTTACAGAAAATGCTTTTCGGCATCTTTCATTAAATGCCTAGCTGTTTTATGGAAAATAAATTGATTGTTAAAGTTATCAAATATTGCAGCAAAATTTAATATGTAAGTTTTTATTATAAATTACTAATTTGGCTTTTCAAAACTTATTATTGTTTATATTCAAACTTGTAAAGTGGCTACCCTTTTAGCTAATAAACTATTATGGTTTTAAAAAGTTTTATTGAAAAAGTTAATAAACAACAAGTAATATTTCATTTTTCTGTATTTAAAGTACTTTGGGCACTGTTAATAAGATCATCAATTTCTTCAATGCTGAACACCTTTTTCTTGCCTTTTTTTCTTGTAATTGTATTTTTATCCCAAAACATAATATACTCAGGTGAAATAGACTCTAAATGCATTAATCTATCTTCAAGCATTTTAATTCTTTTGTATATATTTTTGGGTGTTGGAGTTTCTAAACTAAGTTGACATTCTAAATTCTGTAGCCTTTCTTCTATGCCATTTTTTGGAATGTAATGCTTTAAATAATCCGAATTTGTTTGGTCTCTGTGACTATATGCATTCAGTACTCTTTGAACTAAAATTAAAAGTATTGTTTTCTGTAGAAATTATTTTCCATAGACAACAATTAACCAATCAAAGCATCCCAGTGTGAAAAGGAATATACCAAGCTCCGATTGGTTAAAATTTGTGAGTTGTTTCCATGGAAAACAATCAGTTAACCAGTAAGAGCACAGCATACTTTATGGCAAACTAGATTGCCATAGATAATGCTATACATGTACTCATTAGTTAATTGTTTTCTTTACCTTCTAAATGTGTTTTCGAGTCTTTCCTTTTGTGTACAACTGCATCAATTCTAGCACATGAATTTTCATCATTTCTATCTCCCACACAAAACTCTTTGATGTTATTATCATTGATTTCTTGGCGTTTTCTATTCATAAAAGTGCTAATTCTACTATTAATATCATCATTTGAGGCTTTTATTTGTATTAGGTGATTTGGGACTGTGGGTATATGCACTTTTTGCTTAATTTCTAACTTGGGTTTTTTATTTTGCGTTTCGTCAGCTAAAAAAACAAAATTTGTATAAGTATTTTTAATTTTTTGGTAACATAATGTAAATAAACAATATATGTATAACAATTCTAATTTTGTACTAATTGATTTTCACTAGAAAAACTATTTGACCACTGACATTCTTTGTTTTCCTTCCACTCAGGTTTTGAGTCAGCATACACTTCTTTTTTCCATATTGGTACGGATTCCTTTACACTATTTATGCACCATTCAGTTGCTTTAATGGCATCTTGTCTATGTGGGGATGATATTGCTATTATTATACTTGCATCTTTTACTGGAACCAAACCCAACCTAAAAAATAATTATTAATAATAATAATAAACATCTTTATTGGTTTCCCAACAGGCTATCGACTGTGGTCTTTCTGCCCTAATTATTAATATTAATTAATAATATTGTATAATAATATTATAATTATAATTATTATTATTATAATATTAATAAAGTAAATTGATAATAATGAATAGATTATTTTAATTTTTCTTTTGGCGACAAAAATCGTAGGCTCATTTGGAAAATTTCTACTCAGAAATAAACTTTAATTTTGCAGTTTTCAAATAAAAATATAAATCTAGATTCTAGATATTTAATAATGATATCAGTCACAACTTTTTAGGATAGCAGCACTTTGAAGTGTCTACAGTGTAGGTAAATAGTTTTTAAGATAATTTTTTTAATTAACAATTTAAACTTTATCTATTGATTGATTGATTAAATTTTTACAAATTTATTACTACATGTAAAAAACTGATTTTATGCTACAGTAAATCGAAAGAACAATTTGTAGAAATTGTCTAATTTGTCCCTAGTTTGACCACCCTGTATATTGTTTACCTATGGTGTATTGCAATATTTTCCACTGAAGACCATCGATCCCTTATTTCCTCACATATTTTGTTCATCGATTTTAATCCCATAGATTCATAGGCTTCATATTCAAGAGTTAGCACCTTTTTACCTTCAAAATTGTCCCTCGTTGTACCAACAAATATAGAAATTGCACCACAAGAGTTTGCTGCCACTAGATCACTAATTTTTTCTACTGATAACTTTTCATTGCTAAAAGCTAGGAAATTCATTTTTGTTTCTTATCCACCACTTAAAGGAGGTATCACAGCTATTTCGTCACCAGTGATTAATATTAAATTGGAGTTTACTTCACAATAATCTTCATTTAGAGCCAGTATCAAGTTGTTCTTAATATCTTGTAAACCATACGTCTTCACTATAATATTAAGCAATTCTTGATAATTAATTGATGAAGATATTGTTAAATTATCAATGTGTTTACCGGCTATTTCTCTTGCTTTAGCGAACAAAACCACTTTGATTTCAACGTTCATGCTTTAATTTTATTTGATTTAGATACCATTGTTCCGATAAATATGACCTTAGCTTCTTGTAATTACAGCAATTATGTATTGCCTCTGTGATGTATTGCACAATCAAAATGGGAGTTGAGGTTAGGTAGGTTATCATTATTCAAATAGTATATAGATTTACGAGGGCTGATCTAAAATTTCTATTTAAAAACTATATTTTAAGATGCGGTTTTATATAATTATGTTTATAACGTTATTATGATTTATTAGAAGGAAAGGTAGTAATATGGTAGGTACCTGCTTATAATATGGAACACACTCTTTTATAAAAGGGGACAAATATTTTTACCTATTGGGTTTAGTCACTAAACCCAATAGGTAAAAATATTTACGACACTAAACTTTAGTGTCGTAATTTTGGTAATTTTCAGGTAAGCTAGATACTTTTCTGTTATTTTGTATCCGAGATACAGAACTTAAAGTTTTAAATTTTAGATATTAGGAAAAAACAGGGGTCCATAATATGATCAGCATTTTTTTTCAAAATAAAAATTGTAAAATTTATATTTTTTGTTTACGATAAATCATAATCAAAAAATTAGCTAAAGCTTAAACTAATTAGTTTTTGTCAATGCTAATTAGTATATATTGAGCTGCGCGGCAAAATTAAGGCATAATAAGTAAAAAAATTCTAACTCTAAAACGCCTTTACCAATCTTTATGAAATTTTGTATAAGAATACTTCAACTTATATCTCAGTTTACGTGTTCGAGGGTTTTTCGAGAAAATATTTTTAAAGCCCTTTTATTTAATATTAAAAAAATCGTTCGAAAAAAAAAACTTTTATAGGGATTTTTTTTTAAGTAAATAAAAAATATGCTCTTAATGACAGTATTTTTGTTAGTATACCCTGAAAATTTTGTACAAATCAAACGAACAGTAACGAAGATACAGCGCTTCAAAGAAGGTAAAAATGACCCCTTTTTGATTATTTTGCTGAAAGTGGTCATTTTTAGCGACTTTGAAGCTCTGTATCTTCGTTACTGTTCGTTTGATTTGTACAAAATTTTTAGGGTATACTAACAAAAATACGGTCATTAAGAGCATATTTTTTATTTACTTAAAAAAATTCCCTATAAAAGTTTTTTTTTAGCGTTTTTTTTAATATTAATTAATATATATTTAAATAAAAGGGCTTTAAAAATATTTTCTCGAAAAACCCTCGAACACGTAAACTGAGATATAAGTTGAAGTATACTTCAGTATATTCTTATACAAAATTTCATAAAGATTGGTAAAGGCGTTTTAGAGTTAGAATTTTTTTACTTATTATGCCTTAATTTTGCCGCGCAGTGTATATAGTAGGGTGTTTCAAAAAAATCGACTTTTTCTTTTTCTTCAAATGGTCGGCAAATTCTTTCAGAGGATGTCAACACAAAGACCTCGTCAAAATTTTAGCTTTTAATTTGAAGATTTAGAGGTCGCGGATCGCAATTTTCTATTTCCCATTTAAATAACATGGGAATTTTTTTTTTTTAACTTTGAAATTTTATACGTCTAAATCAAATCAACTTATGTCAAGGATCATCTTAGATTTTCATAGTAAATTTAACGCTCTACAAAAAAGGTCTCCTATCATTTTTCTATAAATTGATTCCTTCGAGAGTTATTCAAGGCCAAAGTTTGATTTCCATAGAATTTTCGCGTTTTTTTAACATTTATGGTACAATTATCATTATACGGGTGGCCAAACTTAAACAGTGCATTATTCGTATAAAAATAACACTTTTTGTTTAATAAACATGTATCAAAAAATGCTCCCTAAAGGAGCTACGGCCCCCTGAATAGGAGCCTAAGAGGATAATTTTTTTTAAACTATTCCTAGAGGGTTGAACATGAACAAATGAATTTTCGGTAGGTACTTTGGTAATTTTGACATGCTGAATCTAGATCTATGATCAAAACTGTTAAAATTTAATCATAGGCGTAACATTCGGAGGGGGCAAAGTTACAAAAATAGCCCCAACTTTTTTCTGGGTTAATAATTTAATTTTTTTTATGAAATTATGAGAATTTATAGTTTTTTACGAAAAATAGGTATTCTTGATTTGAATTGCTCAGATGCGCCATTTTCGAGAAAAATGCATTTATAAATAAATTACTTTGCATATTATACACATCTCATATTTTCATTAAAACTTTGTAGTAGGCTTTGGAAAAAAGTGACGTTTTTTTGTTTTTTTGTTTTTTTACAACACTTCATATGTTTCAGATATAAATATGTGATTTTTTTACTACATGATGCTAAAAGTTGAAAAAACGAGAAAATTCGATGGAAATCAAACTTTGGCCTCGAATAACTCTGGAAGAAATCAATTTATAGAAAAATTATAAAAGACATTTTTTATAGAGCGTTAAATTTACTATAAAAATCTAAGATGTTCCTTGCCATAAGTTGATTCGATATAGACGTATAAAATTCCAAAGTTAAAAAAAAAAATTTCCTATGTTATTTAAATGGGAAATAGAAAATTGCGATCCGCGACCTCTAAATCTTCAAATTAAAAGCTCAAATTTTAACGAGGTCTTTGTTTTGACATCCTCTGAAAGAATTTGCTGACCATTTGAAGAAAAAGAAAAAGTCGATTTTTTTGAAACACCCTAGTATATAGGTGAAATTTTTTCAAACAATAGCTCAATACTAATTAGCATTTTAGGCGCATTCATGCTCACTAAGAAATAAGAAATAAGAATAAGAAATAAGAAATAAGATAAAAAGTTAAAAGTGTATAAAGTAATGGTTGCGTTCATGCTCATGAACATAAGAAATAAGAATAAAGATTAACAATTGGGTCAGTGAATTATTTTGATGGGTTTTATGTGCTGGCCATGGAGCCATGGTGTTGGAAATCGCGTTGAGTGTCGCTGTCGATTGTTTACGTTTATAGCCAATATAATCCACTATAATAAAATACAATTGTGTGACAACATTTTTAATTTCTTATGTTATCAGCATGAACGATCAATCGCGATCTTATTTCTTATTTCTTATTTCTTATTTCTTATTTCTTATTTCTTATTTCTTATTTCTTATTTCTTATTTCTTATTTCTTATTTCTTATTTCTTATTTCTTATTTCTTATTTCTTATTTCTTATTTCTTATTTCTTATTTCTTATTTCTTATTTCTTATTTCTTATTTCTTATTTCTTATTTCTTATTTCTTATTTCTTATTTCTTATTTCTTATTTCTTATTTCTTATTTCTTATTTCTTATTTCTTATTTCTTATTTCTTATTTCTTATTTCTTATTTCTTATTTCTTATTTCTTATTTCTTATTTCTTATTTCTTATTTCTTATTTCTTATTTCTTATTTCTTATTTCTTATTTCTTATTTCTTATTTCTTATTTCTTATTTCTTATTTCTTATTTCTTATTTCTTATTTCTTATTTCTTATTTCTTATTTCTTATTTCTTATTTCTTATTTCTTATTTCTTATTTCTTATTTCTTATTTCTTATTTCTTATTTCTTATTTCTTATTTCTTATTTCTTATTTCTTATTTCTTATTTCTTATTTCTTATTTCTTATTTCTTATTCTTATTTTAAGTGAGCATGAATCCTAGGGTGTCCCTTATTTTTATTTTTTTTACGCATACCCTCTAATTATATTTATTACGTGTTTATATACTCCCAGTAAAAATTTCAGCTCATTCTATAAACGGGAACCCGTGCCGACTTGCATCTGAACCCTCCGTTAGCCAACGTTAGGCGCGCGGTATTTTGTAACACGGTTGGTCGCGAGGTCTTCGATCGTAAGTCATTTTGTGTTTGTTATTATGTGACCCTTATATTATAAATTATTGACAAATGTTAAAATGTAGTTTTATTTATGTGTATACTTTGATAAAAATGTATATTTTCACAGGGAGTGGCTATAGTTACCCGGAAGGGTCTAGTGAATAGGCCGTAAACTCTGAAATTGATAAACTTAATGGGGTTTACTCTAAATAACTAAAAGAGTCTATTGTGAGAGATGACTACCGAAAACTTATTGAACTGTCTGAAATATTTTTGGGAGGACATCAAGAAAATAAATGCTTATAAAAAGCTGAAATTTCATATAACAGTATATTTTAGCAATACTAATTAGTATATTAATATATTTAAGGGATAAAATCAACTAAATTAGTGAAAAAAATGATAGAAATAAAAGAAATAATATTAATTAGTAATCATATTTAATAAAATCATTAGAAAAATACAGTCATGAAGTATATCTTCTTTTTAAAGTGTTTCGTGTTACAAAATACCGCGCGCGCCTAACGTTGGCTAACGGGGGTTTAGATGCAAGTCGGCACGGGTTCCCGTTTATAGAATGAGCTGAAATTTTTACTGGGAGTATATAAACAAGGAATAAATATAATTAGAGGGTATGCGTAAAAAAAATAAAAATAAGGGACACCCTAATGAATACGCCTAAAAACTAATTAGTTTAACCTTAAGCTTTAGCTAATTTTTTGATAACGATTTATCGTAAACAAAAAAATATAAATTTTACAATTTTTATTAAAAAAAAAAAATGCTGATAATATGGATCAAAAAAACAGGGGTCGACCCCTGTTTTTTCCTAATATCTAAAATTTAAAACTTTAAGTTCTGTATATATTATAATGATCCATATTATCAGCATTTTTTTATATATTACGGTAATATTATTACCCATTACATATTACATCAACATTTTTGTATTCTCCCTGAATCTGCAGCTCTTTATGTAAGTAAACACGGTCTATTCTCATTTGCACGCTACATACTACATATGTATATTTATATGTACATACTACATATATATATTTATTAAGGAAACAAATTTTTGAAATTATTTATTTTATTTACACTCTATAATACGCTATATATTTACATGGATATATTTTTAACTGACAATAAATTATTTATCGAACAACAATACATACATATATAATTTTCTTAAAACGCCAACAATTCATTATAATAAATCT